TTTGTTAGGATTTTGTCACCATTCTACTAAAATTATTTTGGAATATACCAATAACTTTTTGAAAAGATGCACATTTCATAAAAATCCTTTAATTTTCAATATGTCTACTTTCAATGACTACACATATGATCAATGTTACCACATCTATACAATTATAGTAAGATTTATTACTTTTGGACAATGTGTGACATTTATGTTGACATTGTAAAAAGCCTATAAAACAAACACATCTTTATAGAATCAATTCATTTTCATATCTAAATAAAGTTTTGATTTTGCACATTTTGTATTAAACGTTGTTTGTTGCCAAATTAGAAAAATATAGCTCATTTCTGGGGTGTAGCATTTTAACGTGACGTTTTTGCCGTCAAATTCAATTGTAACGTATAGCTACATGTAGTACATGTATGAAACACGGCAATTATTATTAAAATTTCAGGCACCGCAAGTTAAAATTCTGTCTAGAGATCTTTTTCTTAATAACATGGCAACATTTCGTAGAATTTAAAATAATTTTCAACATCAATTTTTCATCCAGCATTACAAAATTTGCCATTTTACGAATCTTAAAAACCTTGCGACATTGAACCTCTAAACATTGTGACACACCATCTTAGTCAATATCCCCACAATAAATCGGCTTAATATCAGAAACCCAACATACATATCGACACAAAATATCAGTTTGATTTAAAATATAGTTCCTCGCACACAAAAAGGACTTTTCTGCCAAATTTTATGTTTGTATTGTTTGTTTTATGGAAATTATCAACATTTTGTTATTGCATGTGCGACTCTCCTGTTACCTATCTACATGCTTTTTTGACGTAATGGATTGAATAGTCGAATTGATATATTTGATAATTGAAATTTTTTTCATCAATATTTTTGTTAAAATGTATTTAGTATACAATTACCGATCGAATGATATATAGTTTTCATATAGTGAATTGTTTTAAAATTATGGAAATAGCGTATATGCCGCCGTAATAGTAATTATTGGCTTTTTGACACCAACACCGTGCGTGACGTCCATGGGAGCGCAATGATCGCAGTCACAACTCTGTGCTGTCGCCGTGTAATCGCAGTCGAAAAATCACAAGATGATAAATCTCATTAGAAGCGCCGTAAAACGCGATAGAAACGCAATGACATCTCCAAGGACTCCGCGACATCTCCGTGAGGTCTCCGTACGTGGAAGCGCAGTCTACTATCACTGCGTTCGTGCTGCATTCGTGCTGCGTTCGTGCTGCGATCATATGCGTCTTCACGGCGCTTGTACGGAGCTCCCACTACGTTGTTGGAGATCTCACTGCGCTGCTACGGCGATCATACTACGTTTCTACTGCGTTCTTATCAGACCGCGATCACACGGCGCGTACTTTGTGCATGCCCAAAGTGATTGCCGTCTCCTGTCGTTCTAGGAGACCCTACGCTACCCTACGGCGTTCAGTGGAGATCTCGCCGCGTTGTCAAGGCGCTGTAGGAGACTCTACTGCGATCACCTCGGCGTTTTGCATTTTTGAGGACGCCGTGCACTCGCCGTGAGGACGCAGCCCCGGTGTGAAAGGGGTTTAATATCGAGGCTCTTTAAATCTTTAAATAGAAAAATTAGAGTACTTTTTAATCAGACAGTGAACTTTGAATTTAAGTTGGATTTTTAGACGTAGACTTGAAACCAAGTTCTTTTGAATAAACTTACAATACTGAGCCTTAAAACGAAGAAGATATCGTTGCAAGCCTTTTTAGATTAAGCCAGAACATTTTGTTTATGCAGGCGTTCTATAGGTATTCCTTTAAGTCTCTTATTTCGTTCTGGTTTTCATACTGTCTTTTAACTTTCTAAATTCAATTCTTTAATTATTTTTCTAAAACACTTAATCTATTCTAACTAAGTTTAGATTTTTTTATAATGAGCCCAACGTCTGGCATAGTCCGCGACAGACTGTTTTTGTTATTTTTTTTTTCAACTATATTTGATGCCCTCCCAACGCAGTGGTAAGAGCGTTTGCTCTGAAGTCACAGAGTAAAGGGATGATCCTTATGTGCGGTATTTCGACGGGACCTCTGTTCGCAGTTGGTGCCCGTAAAAAAAGAGGCCCTTACTACTCGATGGCTGTAAGTGCCGAGTACAAGTCTACCTTCCCATCTCTTTACCAGAGGGTGTTAACATCTTTTTCAATATAACTGCGAAATTCTCAAACAGAAACCAAACAGTCACAAATGAATTAAATAAATTAAATTGGATCTTTAAGTTGAATGGTTTATGGGAAAACTTCTAAATTTCCTAAGTTCTATGATCGATACAATGAAAAACCTGCAAGTACAATTGATCAAATGCTTACTGGAGATTTGCAACTATTTGTTAGTCCATTATTTATACACTGAATTGTTGACGGATTTTTCCGATCATGACAAGGAGCACCCGGCGGGTGTAACCGGTCGGCAGGGGATGCGCACTCTTTTAGGGCATGCACCTGATCCCACCTCTGATATTTTAGAGGTCAATGTTTGATCTGCTCCAAAAGTTTTATTGTTTAATTGACTATGTTGAATACTGTTCGTTATCTCCATATATATTTCAAAGTAAGAATCATTTACCGCGGTATATTTTATATTTAAAAATGAATGCTCCAGAACTGGAAAGTATTATTTAAAGAAGATGGGCGGATAAGGCGAGCATAATGCATATATCGCGACAGATAAGAAGTGAAAAATTTAATCTCAATTATATCCAAATTTTATGTCATATCTCATCTAATATTAAAGTAAACTTAATGTATAATTCTTTTTTACAAAATCTCACAAAATTCTTCAATGTGAGTGGGTTTTCGCACGATTTTTTGAAAGATAATCCTAAAAGTTTGCGATGAAATAAATATTTTTTGGTTTGCAAAAAAATGGTGCGAAGACCCACTATACCTTAAAACTTTTATGACAAAACATTCGTATCTTTCCGAGAAATACTTAAAGTCTATTAAGTCAAGGGTTATATCACAAAGATGATTTAAATGCCCCTACACTTCAGGAGCATAGTGGTTAGTGCGTTAGTCTCAAAGCAGTCTGATACATAGGTATTTTATTGCTCCCCGCCCTTTCCTCCGATGAATCACATGAATACCATGAAATATTTTTATCAATGAAATTTTTTTAAAAAGATTTAATTTCTCTCAGAAAATGTTTTTTCCTCATAATTTCATAAATTTCAATAATGAGATGTAAATTTATTACTCAATTTACATATCAAATGTGATTTCTTGATATCTGACGCTATAGGCATTCTACCCGCCTTATCCGCCCATCTTCTTTATTTGGAATCATCCTCAGGTTGTTGGCTGAGGATCGAAGTCCCTTAATTTTTTTTTTATGTGTGTGTGCAAAGAAATCCACATAGCATACTTGTGAAATTATTCGGAATTTGCAATCATTTTAAATGAATTCGACTGTTCTGGAAAACTGCAATGTAAAAAGAGAAACAACATTTGTAAGGATATGTTGATGAGTGCGTATCATTCTGTTGATTAGAACTCATATACCGAACCATACCTGGCCAAATCGATATGTAGCGGTAATGGGTTGTTTTGGGTTGATTCAATATGTATAGCGGTAATATGAGTTGTTTTTAGCCGGGAAAATAAAGCGATAATGATCGGTCGAAAATCTGAAAAAATGTAGCGGTAATGAGTTGAAAGTTTTGGCAATGTAGCGGTAATGTTGTCCTCCCATCTTGATTTACTGAGACACTTTAATATCGATCTTTTTGGATAAAGATAACAACTAGGAAGAATAAACAAGAAATAAATAGTGGAACCCCTACCTAGATAATATCAGGCTGTCAAAACGAAGTGCATAAAGGAAATCTGGTTCAGTTTGAAAAAGGTATGTTTTCTTACGACTTTAAATTCTTTTAATTTTTCCATAACCACTACTTTTTTATCGATAGCAATAATTATTAACAAATGCAGGTAATCTATCTCTAACAATGTTTGTGCACTCATGAGAAAGCATTTTTTTCTCCGTTTTTACTTACAAAAAATTGAAACTAAATCTATTATTCACTAAAATCTATAAAATCAGACTAATTTTGATAACTTCTCAAGATTACTCCTGTAAAATACATAAAATGATGGACATTGCTTTTATTATGTAAGGTGAATCAACAAATATGCAAGTGCTTTCAAACATACTAGTATATTGCATTTTGCTCAGATATTTTTAATGTGCCCGTGAGAAGCCGTTTCAAATGGGAAAGGGGGGCAACTGAGCTGAAAATCAGCAGTAAGATCTTCAGTTTCGACAGACCTGTTTCAAATCATGTGTGAATTCTCTGATATCCTTACCATACTTATTGGACATTTGAAGGGTTAACTTTTCTAACAGAAAATAAACCAATAAAAGGTTACTTTATTTGACTTTGTTTAGTTGAAATGCTTTGCAACATTGCCTTATCGCTAAATAGCCCCACCCTTTCCTCCGATGAAGGTAAGACAAATATTCCTTGGAGTGCAAAAAATCATTCAAAAACTTGTATCGAATAGATTTGAAATAGCAGAACTGTATAACTACATTAACTTGCTTCATTTATTCTAAAACTTTGATTTCTAAATTTTTTTTGTTATATAATTTTCAATAAAATAAAAATACTTAAACTTAGACAGCAAATTTGTAGTGGCAATTATGCATTTTAACAATTTTTTTTGCATAAACTATTTACAGATTTAGTTTCGACAAACATTTAACGAAATGGCTACCCCCATTCTTGGGCACAGGAGATAATAACATGCGACCTTTGTGACAACTCCACCCAACAGTTTTGTAACAACTGTCAAGTCAGTTTATGTGTGGACTGCGTCAGTAAACTTGTGGACAAATTCAAGTGTCAAACACACGACATTGTTCCCTTTACAAACAGAAAGATACAACTGGTGTTTCCTGAGTGTGAAATTCACCCACACCAGAGATGCGAGGCCCATTGTCTACAGTGCGATGCCCCCGTCTGCATGAAATGTGTCATCACTTCCCATAATGGACACAACGTGAAAGACATACCAAACATCTTCAACGACAAGAAAAAGGAAATCCAAAAGGAAACACTGGAAATTGAATCCAGCATTATTCCAAAATACAAAAAGAAAAACGAAGATAGTGACAGGGATATAACTTTATGCTTGGAAAAATATTTTGATCTCGAAAAAGAAACAGAGAAACAGAGAACAATGTGGCATCGAGAAGTAGACAGCATCTTTAATAAATTCGGAACTTTGATCACATCCATGAGAGAAAACCACCTGGCTGTATTAAAAGCTAACCAATCTAAACTCAGAGGCATGATTCCAGAAATCCTCCAAACAGTTAAAAGAAACAAAGAGATCATGAAGTCCAATAAAGTCTCAGAAGTGACTAACCACGAATCAAACCTTGTTGAATACAGGAACTCTCTTGCAGATCCTAGTGTGCCGATTCCTTCCCTGAAAACCAGTACAGTCCAAGGGAAAGAATTCAGTATAGAGCTAGAAAAATACAAAGCAACTCTTACACAGATATCGCTATCCAGTCTGAAAGAAGAAGTATCTTTTTCATCAACGAGAGAGTTGTTGGACAAAGTCAGAGTTATTGCAACAATTCCAACTGGAGTGAAACCTCTACATAGAGTGGTGGCTGTCGGAGGAGATAAAGCTTGGGTTAGTGGTTTAGATAAAGCTCTGAAATGTGTGAACATATACGGATCTGTAGAGCAGATCCTTGCCCTCACACAGCAAATCTATCCTAGTGATATATCACTAACAAGGGAGGGTGAACTGATATATAGTATTTCTGAAGATAGAACTGTCAACATTGTCAGACGCGAGGGGATAGAGATATTGATCAAAACACCGCAAGAATGGACTCCAGAAGGACTGAGCTGCACTAAGTCAGGAAACATACTGGTCACTCTAAGTAATAGACAGCAAAAAATGATTGCCCGCTATCATGGACAGGAAGTAAAGCAGGAAATATTCAAAGATGAAAATGGAAAAGCCCTTTTTGCAAGTGGTAAATTGGTGCCTTTTATTGCCGAGAACAACAATGGAGGCATTTGTGTTTCTGATATTAATGCCCAGACAGTTGTCGTACTTGATACAACGGGAAGAGTACGATTTCGATACAATGGTAGACCAGCCGGAAGGAGAAAGGGGTTTGTTCCAAGAAAAATTGTGACAGACTCTATGAGTCAGATCATTGTGGAAGATTTAAGAAGTGACTGTCTGCATATTCTTGACCAGGACGGACAGTTCCTGAAATGTCTAGATAGGTGTGGAATACCCAAGCCCTGTGGATTGAGTGTGGACAGTGAGGGGAGGTTGTGGGTAGGACTATTTGAAAAAGGAGAAATAAAGGTGATCAGGTACATGATATAAAACTATGATGTCAAACACATCAGAAAATGGCTATGTACAACTTGTGGACTTGTTGCTTACATTTTTATTTCACGCATCTTCTTTATGTATAGTTATATTATCAATTATTATATATATTTAGATAAAGTATATACAAAACACATACATGTATGAATACATCCTTAAATTTCATGAAAGCTTTTGCAAATCCATTCTGAATAATGTGATTTTGATTGAACTTTGTCGACATTTATGTTATACAGTATGGAAAAGCTTTTTTGGCCAACACAGTTTTAAACATGAAGGCAACCTGGGGCCTTCATTCAAGCAAACCTCCGATTCCCACTGCAAAAAACTATCCAAACGTAAATAAAGACCTTAAAAAATCCGTCTTCGACAACAAGCAAAATGAATTCTAGTTCTAAAATTGGATAGTTTTGGTTCTTACTACAAGATAGGGATGATACAGATTAGGGCGGAACTTTGGATACATGCTGAAAGATAAATAAAATTTTCAGTTAGCCAGTGCGTACGACAGGAGTACATGTAGCAAGTTGACAGGGAATGTTTCCTACACCATGACACCTGATTTCATCTTTAATGTTTTGTTGGTCAATTTGTGTTTGCTCTTCTCTCCATTTCTATTGTTTATTTCGTGTGAATGATGTAGCCCATGTGCCTGTTGTTTATAAAAAGCTTCCTTTTTTACTCCTAAATCTGCCAATCACCTCCAGGCTTAAAATTAAGCTTGGAAGCCTTATTGTACATATGTTGAAAGATATGGAGATAACGAGCAGTTTTCAATATCAAAGTCCATAAACAATACAAAATAGGAGCAGAGCAAACACGGACCTCCGAAACATCTTAGGTGGGATCAGGTGCCATGGAGGAGTGAGCATCCCCTGCTGACCGGTCACACCCGCTGTGTGCTCCTTGTCATGATCGGGATATAATGGAAAAATCTGTCTCAATTCAGTGTATAAATAATGGACAAACAATTGGTATGAAAAACGTCCGTCAGCATTTTGGCTCAATGATAAATTGTATTTGCTGACAAGGTCATTGTATCGACCATAGAACTTACGAAATGATGACTTTAGACGAGACTGCTAGTATTATTATTTCATCAACCTGCTTGTCAATAATTATCTCGTTTTAGATAATGTTCATACGTAGAGTATCCTCTTGCGCATCGAATCAACTGAGGTATATATACTCCGTATGCAGGTGATGAAGGTACATTGCTGCATAAGGAAGTTTATGATAGAAAAGTTAAAGTCATCACGTTTATCATAGAGTTTGGTTGTTAGATTACCATTAACGTCTTTTTCAAGTAAAATATCCAAGTATGAAACAGATGTGTCAGACTCTGTGGTATCTTTTATCTCAAGCTCTCCAGGATATATCGTATCGACGTAGGAATGGAAATTAACATTGTTAACTGACAATACGTCGTTGATATATCTAAATGTCGAGTTGAAGGCCACAGCAAGTGTTTTCTTCTTTTCACGCATTAAGATTTTGCACAAATTCTGCTTCATGGGAATGTAAAAATAGGTCTGCTAATAACAGAGTGCAATTGGTACCCATGGGAATTCCAATAGATAGTTGGAAGACCTGGTCTCCAAAACCCACAAAGATATTGTCAATCAAAAACTCAAGCATCTTTTTGATGTCAACTTCAGAGAACCTGTGTGTTCAATCAGAATGCGTTTTAACAAAAATAATTTTGCAAATGACCAATGACCAGGTAAGTAAATGTACGACTTCCATTTTTATTGATAAAGCAGCTGCCAATGATATCAAAAAGCCTGGACTTTAATTTATCACGGGGAATGGTTGTGTATAAAGTTGAAAAGTTGTAAGTTTTTAAGCTGTTGATTTTGGTAAAATCTTGTGATTTCAAATTGTCCAAAAGTTCTTTGGAATTTTTGAGTACCCACATCTGATTTACACCACTTCTTGAATATATTATTGCACAGTACTCTTGAATTTTTTTTTCCTTCACTACTGTCAATATCTTAGTGAGGAGTAACGAAAGAGGCTTGATTGAACATTTACTGGAACCCGCAATGTATCTTTGTTTGTAAGGATTTTTATGAAGTTTCGGAATCCAATATATACAGGGTGGTTCAAATTCATTTTGGCTCTGTGGAATATTAAAAATATTTAAAACTAGTGTTTATGGTCTACTGCAATAAATGTTTAAGTTAAGGGAGCCAGTAATTATTGGAAAAGTAAAAAAATTTACCCACCATTACCTTTAGTATGAAACCCTATTTCTGGAACCTTATTGCACATATAAAGGAAGTCACCAATCACTCAATAAAATGAATTAATTACTCCAAAACAAAATGGAGAGGTAATCAGGGAACAAATTTTTTGTACAAGAATTTCTTTTTTGACATCTGATCTCTGCCAGTTGAAAACTGAAATACCTTAACCCAATCTATATATTCCTAAATGCGAATTGACCACTAAGAAAAATGTAACAGGTAAAGTATGGATCCATGTTTTTTTAAAAAGAAAATTACAGGTTTTTCTTTCCAATTTGGTCCCCTCATTAAAAAAGAATTTTTAAAAATCCTTTTGCATATGTTCAAGGCACCAGCAATCACATTTCATGAGATGAGGTGGCTACTGCTTTTAAAATTAGTGAGGGTAGTTTGAGGGAGAATAATGGATGGCCGGCCCTGGATAACAATTGTGCCAGATCTTTCTTTAAAAAAGGTAGGTATGAAAATATAATATACCATTTCAATTGATGACAGTTGTAAAAGTTTATAGTATAGTCCTTATTGTTTGTCAAACTATTAGCATTGTCAAGACACCAAAGTAGGCTAAGTCATCATGAACAATACAATGAATGACTGATTATGGGGGGGGGACTAAGATCAAATAGTGAACTTTGATTTGGACAGATAATTCTATTTTTAGGTTTGAACTAAAATCCCAAGGTCTAGTATCACTTCTTCTTTCACTTACATTAAAAATTTAAAACCAATATAAGCAGAAATCATATCTGAAACATTAAACAAACTTGAATTCAATGTTTTCTCCTGCATAATGCAGTGGTTAGTGTGTCTGCTCTAGAGTCAAGAAGTAAAGACGTGATCCTTATGTTGCGGGTTTGAATCCCATGTGGGAAGTGGATACTGGTTCTTGGAATGTGACTGTATAAATCAAGGTCCTGTGTTGCAGAAGGTGCTAGCACAAAAGAGAGTCCTTACTGCTCAATGGCTGTAAGTGCAAAATTTGCAGCTCTTAATTGCTAAGTGGTGGCTGTCTCCATAAGAGTGAAAAAAATTCTCGAGAGGGATGTTGAACAACATACAATCAATTCAATGTCTCAGAATTTTTTTTTAATATTAGTCTCTCAAAGTCAATAAATAATAAATAAAGTTCATAATTATACAATTAAGGATATTTTTTGGACAAATGCAAAATTTTTCATAAATAGAAAAGAAATTTTATCACAGTGAGCAATATATAATCAAAGTATACCAAAATAAACATAATTTTTAAAAATAGACAACAAATGGACGGAGAAAGTAAGTTAAGTGCCACAAATTTCAAAAATAACAAACATAACATTGATGTAAAATGTGAAACAATTCACAAAAGCCATAAAGTGGACATTTTTTGCTAAGTCATACACAAGTATTTTTTTTCTCAAAAATTTATATAGTTCAATCAGTAGTTTTCTAAACAAATTTTAAAACTATTTTTTTTTATTATCTTTAAATTATTTTAAAATTCAATGTGGTATGTGTAAATAAAAACAAAATAAACTTTCATTTCATTACAGTCAATACATAATTAAATATTAAGCCTAGTAACACAATGTTGTAAAATAAACACTGTCCAGTTCCTTTGTCTGGTTCCTACTGCTGAGTCAGTAGTTTCACAAGCCAGGTAGCCATGTCTGATCCGCGGAGAATAAAACCAAATCCTGGGTCAAACAAACCCTCCAGGTTCCTGATGTTGGTTCGACTCACCTCAAACGGAATCTACAAACAATGCAAATCATTATTACATGTTGTCATATAAAAATCAAAACTTAAATTGATACAATGCAATCATGAGATTAAGAAATTAAGTTTAATTGTTTATACATCAGGATAAATATAATAAATATATAAAAAAAACTACGCAATAACTCAAAAACTTATGGTCCGACTAAAGCGCTAGAATTAAAATGAAACACAGTAGTTGTAGGCTTGAACTGTTTGCTAACTATAAGGTTCTGATAAATTATGAAGCTATGATTTTCACAGTTTTTGCTAAGGTATGAGATACAAGACATTCTACACACAAGACATTCTACATGAATTGTGTGACATAGAGATAACTTACGTCGCCTGCGGTGCTGGCTGTTTCGGCCTGGTCAGTCAGGACCCCCAGTATAGTGGTCACATCATCCACACACTGCTTCAGTAAACTCTACAGAGAGAAAGATAGGATAATATTACAACTGTCTTAATGTAAATGTTTAATTGATTACTGATCATGAAAAGAGAGAGTATAACATTTACTGTATACAATGTTTTTTTTGTCTAGTGTCAAGGGCAAAAGAGGTGATAATAAAATGAGGACAACAATTTCCCTATATTCAGTTTGAGATAGAAGCAAAGTAGGAATCAAAGACAAATTGGAAAAGATCCAAGAAAAAAATTTCATATAGTCAATATCTTTATTAACTTTGAAACTTAAGATTTTTATTCGTTGCATTTTATTAAACTGGGCAAAAAATTACAAAGTGATTTTTACTAACTTACAAAGTAAATTTTCCTTACGAAAAAAATTAGGAAAAAAGATTGTATACCTCTAACTGTTCATCTCTCTGAACTTTTGGGGACAGAGCCTTGATTCTCTGGGTCTTCTTAGCCTTGGCTGTGGGGGTAGGGGAGGGAGTGATAGGGTCCTTGGATTTCTTCTCTTTCTCCTGCAGTGAAATTTCTACTCTCTGAGCAAGCAGTGCCAATCTGTAAGTTAAAAAAAAGCATTATAAATAATGACTCTGTCAGTGAATTAGAGAAATATGTTTTAAGCAGCAGTTTCTGCATGATTAAAGAAAACAAATCAGCGTTTTCTCATTAGATCTTCATGAGAAGACTGCTCTTCTTCGTGTTTTTGATAGTCTTCTTAACTGAAATATTTCTTTAAAACAAAGCATCTGCTATCTTTAAATTGTTCATTATCTCTTATGCTGATAAGTTTCTTGTCTTTTGGCTGAAAATTTTAAACTTAAGCATATTTTAATCCATATTTTATTTGCCATATGTCATTATTGACCATACCTGTCATGAAGGTCATTCAGCTGGGACAAGGTCACCCACTGGATGCCCGGTTGGTTGACCTTTTTGTTGGACATGGCAAACAGCAAGAGAATTCTGGAGTCTGGACCCACAGCTTCAGGTCTCTGGGGATCATTTTCCTCCAACGAGGGCTGGTAAAACTGTTAAAAATAGACCAAAAGTGAATAAACACATTGAATAAATACGGACACAATATCAAAATTTTTATTCTTAGAAGGTTTATAAAAGTTGATTTTACTTTTTAATTTTTCTGAAAAATTTATGTGGTGGGGATGTAAAAATGATACTGTGCCGATTTTTAAAAATTTTATTTATTGTTTTTTTGGTGGAGGGGAGGAGGGGGGATGGGGGGGTGTTGTGTGACACCCAATATCCGTACTGACCTGTACTGCCACCTCAGTATCGGTGGGGGTGGTGACACTTTTGTCCGGGGGTTGGTACTGGCTGAGATTAGAGCCTGGAGGGGGCGGGGCCTTCCCTGTGATCCCCTGTCCACCTGTCTGGACGTTCTCCTCCTGGTCAGTTGGCACGGTCAGGTTCTGGATGTAGGACTTGTACAATACACTGGCATCCAACCTACAACAAGAATAAATTTTATAACATGAATATTCATTAAAATGAAAAACATTAATATTCATTAAATTTAAGGTAAAAAAGATTTAAACAGTATTGCAGTTGATTCATGGTTGTTTACCAAATTCACCCTCACCTGACAGCAGTAACGGTGGGCAGACTAAGATTGTCGGGGGGATACACGGCACAACATTTCTCACTGTACACCTGTAGATGTGTGGATAGGTATGTGTGGAGCTTAGCGGAACGCCGCGACCAGATACCACCAAACAGCATGGAGCGCACCACGTCATGGTTCATGGTGGTGTCACACTGGGCATGACTGATAAACCCGAGGTCAAAGTCTGGGCCAAGATCACCAGGGTCGGTGTCATCCTGTGGTGAGTTGTCTGACTTGATGCTGGAGGCAGAGATGGTAGAGGTACTACAAAGTCTCTGTAACACTGTCTGGTAACCTAGAAAATAGGAAAAATTCCATTCAGAAACTCCTTACAGTATGACTGGTCTCTGTCCTTAGATATCATACACATCATAGAAAAGTTGCATGTTTTTTTGGTTTTTTTTAATTTTATATAGTGTTTATTTTTATTCGAATATTATTGAAATAGAGTGCTAACATGATCTTTCCTAGATAACTTAGGATAAGTAATCCATGCAATTGAAGTCTGCAAATTTCTTCACTGAATATTCTCTGAAAGATTTCCTCTTTGTTAAAGCCCATTCAGATTACTATACCCAGGAAGTGGATCCACCCCAGGTCTTTAGCTCCGTCCTTCGCTCGGTTCACCTGTTCTTCATAAGTCTCCACCTTCTTCACTTCCTGTGCCTCAATCAAGGGAGCCAACTCCTCCTCTATTTCATCTGCAGCAAAAAAAAACACAAGGATTGATTTTCTTACACTTGTATAAGGTATAAATTAAAGAAAATGATGAGCTTTCATTTCATCTCCCTATTATGAGGCAAAAAAATTTATTTGAAAGATGTAAAAGAATTGGAAAGGATATCAAAAAAATTTCACGCAGTTTTACAAAATGATTCAAAATAGATGAGATTAAAAATCATATTTCATTTTTTTTAGCCATGCATGACTCTCCTCCTGTAAAACTACTGATCATTAGACATCTTACTTTTATACACTTTCTTCTTTTCCCCTAACACATAAGCACTGACAAGATCCAAAGCCACGAAGTCTGGGATGTTCTCCTGCGCAGTCTCCGGGAGTTTTTGTGACGTGACGCTGACGTCCCCGATCAGTAACACACGAGCTCTCTGGGCCTCTGCCACCGCTGCAGCACATCTGATGGCCAGCCACGCCGCGCGGCGTTCCTTCTCCTGGTCACCCACCTCATCACTCTTACTGGACTTGGTCCTACTGCTCAGACGGTCCTTCTTACTCTGTTAACAAAATCACAGTGTCAAAATAAACTCAATACTAGCACTCTTATAATCATGATACAGATCAATATAGTACCTAAAACCTATCAAGTATTTATGGTAAAGATATAATGCTGAAGAAAAAAAAAGGCTAGAAAAAATACTGCATTATAAAAAATGAGATCAAATCCTTTCTTAACTTAGTTTTTGCTAAAGCATTATTTAAGGTTACTACTTCATTTTTCATATTAAGTGGAATAATTTAAAGTGATTTTAGGGTGTTAAAGCAGTAAAAATTCAATCTGTAATAAAATTCTTAAAAAATCTCTGTCCTCCCATACAATATCAGCAGACATCCAGCTTTTCTATTGATCAATTCTATGTTATTGTACAGTAACAATATACAGATATTGAGCAGAAGTCACACATTTTAAGTAGAGTCCTTCCATTCAGTTTTTAAGATTTTCCCTGCACCAAATAGCAGTTCTACTTTATGAGACTTTAGGCTTTAGAGACTTTCAGAGAATTGTTAATCAAAAGAAGTCAATGCTACAGAACTAAAAGTTTCACACACTATTTCTTGTATATACAGTGCAGGAAAATCCCTCTTTATACATGTATGCCCGATATCCTGTTTTCAGAGCTTTGACACCAAAGTCTAACAGTTACTGTAATCGATGTACATGTATAACAGTACTCAATACAAACTCAGTATAGCTTGAAAATATATCACACATAATACTTAATTGATATTTACTTTGAAATCACAATTAAAAGTTTTCCTTCATGCACAACACAAGTCATGCAGTGATGCGATGAACTGAATATGTCGACTGCTTTAATTCTTTAAAATGAAATATGAAAATGAATTTAATGTTTTAACTTCAAACAGAAGTCAATGAAAGTTGAAATGACATAAAAATGAAATAAAATTTTGCATGCACTTTTGTTTTGCATGAAAAATGCATTAAGCAATAAATCTTTTTTTTTCATTCAAAAATAAACTTATGCACACAGAACTGTAATCAACAACTAATTTTTGTATCAAATTTGAGCACTTGAAGACAACTATTTTTTTCCTTTATAAGCCCAGAAAACAAAATGTTAACAAAGTCCTGTAATATGAACTGGTTAATTATAAGCTCCTGACAAAAATCTAAAGCATGTATTTGACAGTTTAATTACCCTCTCTGGTGTAGACACAGGGGAACCCTGTAATGTCAATTTATTTGTCTGAAATTTTTATTTATCTCTTGTGATTACTATACAAAGATAAATAGGTAATCAAAAATTACAAAGCTCACCTCAACAAATTTTATCAGTTTATGTAATACAAATCTCACATCATATTTTCTTAGTAGTTAGTATTTATCCTGACAACAATATTCATGCAAGTTCTGTTAAAATAGGTCTTAAATTTTATTGTCTATTGACCTGTTCCAAAAACTTTAACCTGGAAACTCATATGGAAAATGCAGGTCAGATCCAGCATCCAAAACAAGTCTCGATTTTCCATCCTTAGATGCATCATCTATGCAAATTTGGTCAGGGTAGGGCTTACAGTTTATTGGAAATAACCTGGTCACTCATCTGGAAAAAGTAGAACAGATCCAGCATCCAAAGCAAGTCTTGTAGTGTCCATCCCTAGATATATTATCCATGCAAGTTTGGTCCCAGTAGGGCTTATAGTTACTTGGGAATGGACCTACTCCAAAAACTTTTAACCTGGTCACTCATCTGGAAAATGTAGGTCAGATCCAGCATCCACTGCAAGTCTTGTAGTGTCCATTCCTAGATGCATCATCCATGCAAGTTTGATTCAAATAGGGCTTATAGTTACTTGGGAATGGACTTGCTTCTAAAACCTGGGACACCAAAACCGAGGCCAACGCCTGGGGTATAGCATAAGCTCAATGACATCTCAACTTCTCAACTTCATTGCGGTGAGCTAAAAATCTACTGAATCGTAAAATTTATTACACACTCTTCTGATTTTACAAAAAAAATCCAAAGAATGTTATGAATGCCCATAGGTCAAATACAGGGCTCTGTCTGCATAATTATATTCATATTCTTTTTTCTTCACTTCCTATCAAACTTCCATCGTTGAAGTTCCATATTCACGATCGTTGTAAGAAAATAGGATGACTATTTTGCTAAATCTTATCATCCATTCAATCAGAAACCCAAATTATCTTCTTGGTGACAGAGAAATGTCTTTTTATAGAATCCTTTCCTCATTTAAAGTAGCAACCAGTAAATTGAGAATATAAATCATATATTAATGATAGATGTTTTTATAGATAGTCATCCCCAAATAAATACAGATAAATGAAGCATGTTTTGTTTATCTATCAATCATGCATAAATCTTGCATCTTTTATATCATGCATAATACATCTACTATCTTTCTATTCTTTCCCTAATGATTGACGTATATAAGCCACACCCCTGACTCCACCCCTTACCTTCCAGGACTTGGTCTTCCGTGAGCTGTCCGTTTTGGCACTGGTAGGTTCCAGTGGATCTTGAGACTCCGTGACAAATTCCAGCCCATTGTTGTCCTTTAGAGTAATCAGCCCAGAACTCTGTAGGTAGACTAGGGCAATCTCCATGTAGGCCTGTCTCATCAGTCTACAACAGGGCAATAAATACAATACAGAGGGCAATACACATAATTTACATAATTAAACCAATACACCCCAGAGGCCTGTTCAACAGAGCCAGTGCTTGCAAACAAATCTTTTGGAGGTATAAGGAATTTGATAGCGTGCTAAAGAACCTGCACTCTGTTAAACAGACCTAAGGACATACTCCATCTGTCCAGAGAGTTTGTGACTTCATTCTATTGAGAAAGGGGCATTGATTATACACAGTCAAGGACATTATTATTTGATGATGTCATTTCTACAGCGCTTACCCCAAATCATGGTCATTATTGAAGCTGGTAGTAATGGCCTCTAACAGAGTTTCTGCTGCTTTCCTGGGTGGGAACTTTCCGTGGTACACCAACATACGCTGTACTTTACCTGTTAATAAAAAATCCATTTGTTAACTATTAGTAAAAAGCTGTTAACATATCAATAAATTAGGGTTTTCATATATACCAAAACACATCTCGGGGGAGTATTTGGACGTTACAGATGCAGCCCAGTTTATCTGTATAATCTATCTTAATTAAAACAGGTTTGGCCTCTGACATTTGATAAATATGAGGTGTATTAATTACTAGTATCATTTGCTTTTTGTGATAAATTTTGCAGTTATTTCAAATGTTATGCCTACAGCTCAAGCCAAGAAATTTACACCTGGCTTACTTAAAAATCAAATTTCAATTTACAAGTACACTGTAATAAATTAATACACATACCAAGGTTCAGTAAGATTTCGGCCTCCAGATTTGCCTCCCTTGTGACGCTGGCCTGGGACAGTTCTCTGGCAGTCATCAGGACTCCCAGGGCAGCGGACCACAGCTGTACCGGGTCTTTATCTGAACTGTTAACAAAGAAATACACATGTAAAATTACTGTTTTCCTAATTATGTTAGCTAGATTGATTTTTAGATTAATTTTATAAAAAAAATGAATGATAACATCTCTTGGAATTTCATAAATTTAAGCACCATTGTCTAATTCTTACCCACTATAAATATAAAATATATTTTTACTAAACAGACATCTTACCCGCTGCGGATGTATTTAGCAGCGTTGCGACTGGCGGTGTGTCCCACCGTCAGATCTGTATTTATTATTCATTTTACTTATCCGCTGCAGATGTATTTAGCGGTGTTGCGACTCCTTAGTTTGACCTGTATTTATTATTTATTTGACTTACCCACTGCGGATGTATTTGGCGGCATTGCGACTGATGGCGTGCCCGACCCTCAGCTTGATCTGTACCAGCTGTAACAACTGTGGGAGGTAAATATTCTTCATAGGACTGACAGGGGCAGAGAACTGTGACATCTGACTGGGGTAATAATGCTCGATTGCCTCCCCTAGTCTCTCCAACTGTAAACAATATAATTATTCGTAATTATTTAACAAAGACTCAACAATTTTTTTTACCTTGTACACAAAGATATATTGAGATTTTGCAAGCAATTTTGAAAATTTATAGTACGAAATCAATTCAATGTACAAAACTTTTTTAAAATATTTAATATATTATGCTATGAAAATAAAAATCTCACCATACAATGTCATATAAATGATTTAATTATCAAGTACTCTTAAATCAATTACAGCATTAAAAACTGCACACTCAATTTTGGACATTACAAAATAACTGACCCCTGGCTTACAATTTTTACATATCTGTACCTGTTTAAGTATGAGGTCCTGGGCCTCTAAGTACTGGTCCAGTGTACGCTCAGTAAACAGTGCTGTCTCATCCTCCCTCTCCACAGCCTCGAGGTCCGTCCTCAGGAGCAGGGCTCGGGTCAAAAGTTGCTCCCCGGGGATAGACAACTTAGGGATCTTCTGTAACAGCTTAATGGCATCCTGTAAAGGTTTCAAGAAGTTAGTTTATTTTCAAAAATAATTTTTTCAAAATCTTATTTTTCCAGATCTTAGAAACTTTCCCAAATTTTTCTAATACAATCTTTGAATAACTTAATATGAAGTTTTGGTTATAATAAACAGTGCAGAATTTTCACATAAATTTTCAATATACAAAAATATTTGAATATCCATAAATTGAAGAAAAAATTGACAATAATTTGTTACAGTATTTTACACAGACCTGCAGCAGAGAGACAGTGTGTTCCAGACTCTTGCCCTCTGTGATGTTAAGTATGGCGCCCTGTATAAAGAACTCAGCCTGCATTTCTACATCGCCACAAGCCTCTGCCTCACCAAGACCCTCAATACAATACTGACGGCAGTCTGCCAGCTCTTGTAGAACTTTAGTTTCAGGGTCTGTAAACAATAAATATAAGGGTCACTCTATAGATCTTAAATTGTTCACTGTATACAGTCATGTATATTACCCTTTACAACTGAATTGAAGTGAATGTTGTTGAATTTGGATAACATCTTGATGACTATATACATGTATAATGCAATTTTCTTAAAATTTATATTTGACATGACCAAAACAGTTAATAAATGTAATAGCTGTAAACCATAGTTTATTTACTAGTACAGTTTTATTTGGTAAACTTAGTGCAAAACTTAGTTCTGAAGGATAACACCAATTATGTTAATACTGTTATTCCTAAGCTTTTTTTTCCCCACAAATATATGCTATATTATTAACTAATGAAAATACTCATGTTTCAACATTAATGATTAACATAAGATTATATATATTTTGTTCTTGTAAAAGTTGACCTTTGCCCTCTCACCTTTGATCTCTCCCAGACTGCGGACCTCCATCATCAGACATTTCACTAGAGCCTGTCGACAGTCCAACCATAACCGAGCATCCAAGCGTGACCGACTCTGGAAGTTCTGGTACTGGAACTGGCTATTTTCCGGATGAACGATTTTAACGTTAGCATGGGTGTCCTTCCTGGGACCTGATCCTTTCAGAGAAGAGGGTCTGAAAATTGAGAAATACTTAAATCAAATTCACTGTGATACCTATTTTGAAATTAAATATAGGGACACTAAGGATAACATATATGGCCAGTACTGTAAAGGAATAAAATTTAATTTAAAGTACTGTAATTACATACATGTATGTGCAACAGGTACAGGACTGAGTTTGTTCCCCAAAGGTTGAGTATATCCACAAAATACAGATCTCCCATACAAATTTTAGAATGATAAGATTTTTTTTATATTTCCCACAAAATAAGTATAACAGAAATTAAAGACTTGCCAGGACAGGTTAATGTTACAAGTTTCCTCTTACTGTAATATTTCATTGAGCTAAGACTCTAAGATTAAAGATGAACATATCAGAGAATATTGCAAGAGTGCAACTAATATGTCATATCTACAGTGGTGAAAGCTTTGAATTGTATATCTCTCATGTGAATATCTACTACAAGATGGCCTCTGTGTACATCTGTGACTGTATAAAAGCTTTTTTTCTGTGATACCAATAAAAATTAAGAAAACATAATGGCATAAGAAATTTGTTCATAAATCAGCTGACTGACCATATTAGATATTTCTCCTTATTTTTTCTTAGTTTTCATTGATTCAGAAAGCATATATTAAGTGACTAAAGAAAAAAAAATCTTATGAAAAAGAGAAAATAACATTTCATTCAGCAAAATAAACAATCATGAATAAAACAAGCATTGCATCTTTTTGATAAATAAAAAATGCAAACAATTGTAAAATAAAATCTTTGGTTGTTGGGCCTAATAACTTTAAATTCTGTAGAAATAAAAAGCAACAAGAAATTGATGGAATAGAAAATTACTGTTTGTGTTATATACTACATCTATTTTACCTCTCCGATAATTCAAAAGGATCTTCTCTGTAAGTCAACAATAATTAGTAAAATAATTAATCATAGATGTCAATTAATTTAATGGATTAAATGATATATAACATAGAACTCCAATACATATTTGACTTAAAACTGCCAAGATGTCATTCTAATTTGTTTAGAAATCCTGGTACAGTTAAACTTTTCTAATCTGAAAATCGCGTTATCCGAAATCTTGTCTAACATGGTTTATACCATATAAGCAGAATTTTTAGCGAGGATTTAATTTTGGCATTATTAGCGAGGGTGCCGAGGTCGCTAAAAATGAATATCGCTAAAAACTATTTGCACTTAATTTGTAACAGCTTCTTCAGTGAGCTTTTTAAAATCTCTAAAATTACATTTTGCTTAAAATAAAATGCCAAATTTTAAAGACAAATCACTAAACTTGCGTCTCGGTAAAATTTTCAATTACCAGGTATACGGTATTTTAAGTCCCTTTAATGGTAAATTCAATCCCACCAATTTATTTAAAACCCATGGTATCGAATTAGACAAGTTTTACTGTATATGCAAATGACTGATATTCCATTCTTAGACAATGACTTCATGGAATTTAACATATACCAGCTGAAAAGAAAAGAAAAGTTAACCCACCTCTTTGTAATTGGAGCCTCTTTCTTGGGTTTAAACAGCTGGGAGTTTTTGAGGAGTTTGAGGGCAGACAAAATGATCCTAGCAGCCATCGGTGCGTGTTGTTTCTGTCGGGAGATCACGGCCTGCTGTAGTTTACACAGGACGACCAACTCTAGTTCCGCTGCTGGCAGAGATTCCAGACCTAGTGATGGAGGATTTATGTATATGATAAGCATGTAACTAAGCTGTCATTACAGTTATTAATTTTACTAGTTATAATAAAGTGTGATATTAAAGACAAAGTTGATTTACAGTTTCCACTTAAATTATAACTTTTACTTATGTCTGACTGATAACACCCTACCCTACCAACCCCAAAAAGAAGCTAATGAACGGGAGGGGGGGGGGGTTAACTAGCATAATACACCTTAAATTAATCAAAGCAAACCAACTGTTGATCACTTTGAAAAGATCTCTTTGTTAGATGAAACAATACAAACAATTCCAAATCATTCTTTTTGTCTGATGATCAAGGAGTCCTATTACAAACCAGATTTGTCGTGTTCTGCATTCTCCAGAATAACCTCAGCAATAGTGGTCACCATCTGATCAGCCATGGTCAGTAGTGTCCCCTTAATCAGCTCCAGGGTCAGGGGTTTCTTACTCTGGGTGAAGCGTCGAGTAGCATGACCACTGTGATGTTCTTCCTCATCCTCATCTCCTCCTGAAAAAGGTCAAAGGTCAATAATATAAAGTTTTCACCCACAATGGAGAAAAAAATCAATGATTTCATAGTTTTTCCGATTTTAAAAGGTGTAAATTTTAAATGCAAATGTATCTTTCCTTTCCCCCTTTTCAAAAATTTTCTAATTTCTCTAAATGAAAATAATTCAATTTCAGTTGAAAACAATGATTGGGACTAAGTTCTGAGCAATGCTACAAACCAATCACAATTCCAGGAACATTTCTGTTCTTTATCTAAGACTTGTGACAGCTCTCTGAATAAGTTGGTAATTTTTCTTGTTCCTTACCTCCATCATCTTTCCTCATGTCCATTGATGACCTCGTAGATTTCCGTGCCCCTCCACTGCTGCTGCTGGACAATTTGAATCCTTTAGAGCCCAGTCCCCCACGGGAGATAGTACTGATAGTGAAAGGCTTAAGGTCCTTCTGTCCATCTGTCAAACTGCAGAAAAAAACATAAATCTATTACAGTGACCATGAAGTATTTAGATTTTAGCAACTTATATACTGAAGAGAAAACATTTTCCTTCATAAGTCCAATTTAACAAAATGAATTCAATTTCAGTTTACATGTATTACTCAATTTCTTTTTTTTTACAACTTCATATTTTTTTCCACAAAAACAAGAAAAAATCATTCAAAGTTTGTTCGATAAAAAAGCTTATTAGATAAAGGATTGTCGACAAAAAGGAGGCAGCTATAGCTAACTGCAGACTTACATGACATCCTCCATCCTTGGGATGACTGGTATGGTGTCCGCCAGGGACACAAACAGGTGGGCCTGTACCAAGGACAGATGACAAGTCATGTGGGGCCCGTACAGGGTGGCCAGACTGGAGGACAGCCTCTTATCTAGGACCATCTCCAGAACCTACAGACAGACAAACAAAGTCAGAATGTAGCTTAATATTAGGACCATTTCCAGAACTCACACATAGAAAAATAAGTGTCCGGCACTTTGTTATTCTAAATTCCCAATAAGCAGAACATATTGAGCAATTTTTTTTATTAACTTAAGTCAAAATCTCACAAATCCACCTCAATGTTTTTGCAGCTAAATGAGTCTAAAAATATTTTCAGGTATCAGTGCATTTCAAACTTAAGTCTACATTTCATAGAAAACTTTACCCTCAGATTGACAGGTTCTGTAATAGGTTTGGATGTGTTGAACTTGAGTGAGCTCATCTTAGATTCCACTTGTCTGAAATGACTGTCTCCGATCTGAGGAAGTCGCTCTCCATGAAGAAGTCGCTGAAGTGTGATGAAGGCCTCGTTAAACAGTCGCAGGTCAGTGAGCACTCTGACTTTGAGTATTCGTCCATCCACTGACCTCTGAAGGTCACGGCAGACAAAGGTTGTCAGGTACTGGTTCAGAGTTAGTAGGGGCAGGACCTACATAGAAGAAAGAAAACTGCCTTTGTACTGAACTTTACAATATTGAATAATTATATATTATTTCACATTTCATGAGAGTTGTTCTTTTTGGCCTACAATCTTTATGCAATAATAATTACATCTGCTGAATATTTTCTCCTTTATTTCTTAAGAAAACACCCATCCATTTGATCACCTGCTTTTCTACAGTCGGCATGTCCTAACTATTTCTTTATCATAAGCTGTTAAAGCCTCTTTTAAAAGCGTATAAATACATTCGCATCATTTTTATCAAAAAAAATCCTTTTATTGAACTTAAAGTTTAAATGATTATTATAAACAGATATAAATATAAACAATAAAATGTACGCATATCGTTATTACTGAAGAAATATCGAAATATCGCCCCCCAAAATCATAACCTGCCTATTTTTCTTTTTTATTTAACATTTGGGGTTTAATATATAACAAAAATAAGAATAAATATAAATATAAAATAGGAACACAATAAAATTTACACCACTTGAGAAAATATTTTTGTTTTACAACATATAAACAACTATTTTGAATAAATTACTCTTATTTGCAAAGAAACAATTTGTCTTATTTCAATGAAAAACAGATTTTATAAAATTAAATATACATTAAGATAAATGTTAAATATGGGTAAGCAAAAACAATTGATAATATTGATTTTTAAGTTTACACTTACAAATAGGTTATGTTTCCCTCTGGCCAGCTCTTCCGTGACCCAGCGGATTGCGGCGATCAGTTGTCTTCCGTCACACCGGAACTTCTCAGACAGCAGGTCCAACCCAGGGACAAGGTTAGTGACCTCACACCCCTCCCCTACCTCATACAGGGCATAGTCTCTGTCAGCCCGGGGGTGGGGCAGAGACGTACGGAACAGGGCCTGTTAACAAATGTAATTTAATTATTAATCAAGGCTGCTGATCAATATCTGTGAAACAATAAACCTGGGCACTCCAAGAAAAAAATCTAAAATTATCGTAATTTTTAGTAAATGCAAGTTTTCAAAATGTAAAAAGACACAATGTTTTTTTATTATGCTTATTAATTTTTATTATGCTTTGGTATTCAATTTCATTAATATTTGTTACCTTGAAGAAATAGCCAGACAGGAAGCAGCATTCCATTCTAAGTCCAAGGTCAGAGGTTAAGATGTACCTAAATTTGAAATAAAAGATTTAAGAGGGACACACTCTAAAAAACATATACCACACATATTTTGATCTATTATCTTATGTCTATCAACCTGATAAGCTAGCTGAACTCTATTTTGTACAAATGTGAGCAGTTAGTCTTACTGTGCTATATTGGAGGCCAGCACACCCCTGATTTACTTTGCAATAATATTGGAACTAACACTCCCCTAACTTACTGTGCGATATTGGAAGCTAGTACACCCCCTGACTTACTGTGCAATGTTGGAGGCCAGCACGCCCCCTAGCAGACACCCCCACAGTCCACATCTCTTGAGGAGATCAGAGCTGATGTCAGTGCTGTCCTTCATCATCCCCCGCCAGGTGTGGAGGGCATCCGTCGTGTTAAGGGTGTGGTCCAGGGACTCAGCCCACCAGCGGTATGCCCCTCTGTAAACAGAGAAAAAAATTATATCTATTTCTGGAGGGGTTAGTAGTCATGAATGTAAATTAAAAAAAATGATTTGATAATAGTAACTTCACTGTGTCAAAGATAAGACAAACAAGAGGTTATGAGGGAAAAAGTAACTGCAAGATTTAAAATTAAAGTTACATGAATTTATATTTTAATGTGAAATGACAATTACCTGATGTTAGAGGCATGGTACTGCAGATTTCCTAATTCATGCATGGCCTGTGCTGCTTGACTTCTCTGGTTCTTGGCCAGCAGCATAGCTACAGAAACAGAAAATGCTGATATCAGATGATAGCAAAAGTTAACTTTTAATAGAGCTATAAAGAGAAAGGCATTACACATCAATCTACAGCCAAAATTGGACAAGTATACCGGTACTATAGATTTCTCATTACTGTATAAAATAGCTAAGAGAGCCTCACTGATTTGTATCAATATTTAAATTTAGTATAGAATAAGAAATATCTAGAATTAATTATGATAAATTTTATATTTTTAATCTTTGTTTGCCTAATTTGTAATTTTACCTCAATTTGTCCAGTTTATTCTTTATATTATGTACATGCATTTGTCACATTCATGTATCTCACGCGTTGAGCTGATATTACAACAAATCCATATCTACCTATTGTCTTTTCATATGACGAGATGACCGTTCCTAGCTGGGACCTGGGCATACATGTGGTCAGTACGTCGTTCATGTCCATAAATTCCTCTCGACTGATGTCCGGTGGCATGGTGGGCTGGGGCTTCGCGGTGGTGGGGACAAATTCTACCCGAGACACTTGGCGACTCAGGAACCCATCTCCAACTACAGCAAAAAAATAACATTAGTTGTACCTTAATAGATAAAGGAAATTCAATTTTAAAAAAAAGTGAGATAAAAGTCTAATTATTTGCATTTTGGTAAAAAAAAAATGAAATAAGACACCCCCACAAAAAAAAAAAAAAAAAAAAAAAAAAAAAAAAAAAAAATATAAAAATAAAACAAAACTATGAATGAAGAATTTAAAACAGGGTGAAATTGTTTGCAAGGTTGAAAGGGCAAAAATAACACCCAGCCAAAATATCCAGTGTGTACAGTGGCTGCACAAGTTTACAAATGGCCTTTCACAATGCTATTAGACCTACCATTCTGCTGTCCTGCTAGGTAGAGTATAAGGAGTTTTCGGCTGTGATGTAGGGCCCTACAGGTGTACTGCGACTTGTCCAGGACCTCCCGTAATGTCTGTAGACTGAGGGGCACGTCAAGGGGTACAGAGACCGAGGTCTGACCGTCCTTAACTACAAAGAGATACAATATCATTGTACCTGTATTCTTAGCTCTGTAAAAAACATCTTTATTTCATTACACAAAGCCTGTCACTCACATGTGCAGGATGAAACTGTGTTATTCAGTCAATTTAATGAACACTTCTGATGATTAATTATTAAGGTTTAAAAAATGGCCTGACTTAAAGGCTTTAAATTGATAACAATCTTGCAATCTTACAATATACATATGCATGTACATACTTGAATATATTCCATGTCCAAGTGGGTCAATGGCTGCCCCTGGAGGGATTTTGGGGAGGTTATTGGGGTCAATGACCAAGGTCAGCTGGGTGTGGAGATAGTCCTTAGAGGTGATGACACCACCCAGCCTCTGCATCAACTGACGGTAGTGTTTCTGGGGTGGTTCCTCTCCCCCCAGATCCTCCAGGAGGGACACAATCTGTCTCTGGGCCTGGACAAGGATCGGGATGACCTGCTCAGCATAACGGTCACTGAAAAGGAAAGAGATATAACGACTGAAAGTAGATACAATAACGGTCACTGAAAGTAGGAAAGAGATCATTCACTGAAAGACAGAGATACAGCATAACGGTCACTGAAAGTAGAGAAAGAGATACAGCATAACGGTCACTGAAAGTAGAGAAAGAGATACAGCATAACGGTCACTGAAAGTAGAGAAATAGACAGTGATACAATATAATGGGTCATTGAAAGACAAGAAAGAGAGAAAGTGATACTCAAAAGTGGTAAAAGCATGTGGTCTAATTCATATGAACATAATGATTTACATGTAACACCAAAACATTACACCAATTACTTAGTGACTCAGAGACAAGATTCAAAGACAAGAAATCTGTAAAGTTAGTTTGACCAGATTGCATAGCTTCGTAATTTTATTTGGTAAAATGAAATTCTGAATTTTTCTGCAAAGTTGTGGACCACAGATTATTACTAATGCAGGTCTAAATTATGAATATTACGTAAGTGTTTTTAAACAAAAATTAAACAACTCACTTGGTCAGTCCACTGAAGCGCATGGCTATGTCTACCAACTTCTCCCACTTCTGCTCATAGAACAACATCTCCAGTACCCTCAGTACAAATCGACTGATAAATCGGATGTCACACACACTGGCGTCGTCTAGGGGGGCCTCAAACTTCAGACTGGCCCCGCCCTTCTCCTGAGTGATGTCCCCTGTCCAGGTCTCAAACAGGTCCCCCAGCTTACGATTCTTACTCTTAGCCTTCAAGTTGAAAAAAAGAGAAATTAAAGTAAGAAAAGGATAAAATTAATGAAAATTGAGTCTCAGACCTGTTTACCCATATCGTTGTCTCTCAGTATTCTTGATTAGATCTGTCCGTGAGATTTGGCATTTGCCAGTAAGATTTCACTTTCCATCGATTTTACATAAATTAATAATAGAGAACAACTGATTTTCTGATTACAAAAACATGGTTTAGGCCATGCAAAGTTTATTACTTGGTTCACAGGCCTTTTTTCAAGAAATATGATGAGGGAGGGAGGCATTTTTTTTTCTTTTTTATTGCCCCCAAAACATAATGAGGCAGCTTTTTACATTGTACAAAACCTCAAAAAATGATGAGGGAGGTGATTTGGTGTTTAAATTTTATTGATTTAGCAATAAAAAGGGTCAATGAGGCACCCTTGGAAGAGATGAGGGAGGGCCTGAGAACCAAAAAATTAATTTTTTTTTGCCTTAACAACATGGTAGTTGTCATTTTAGCGTTTTGGCAAACCAACTTCTCTTATGTGTTTGAAATCTTTCTATCTTTAGCGATTAAAAAGCGTGAAACGTAGACATATTATAACAAAATATAACTACTAAATTCCGAAAGACACGTATTTACGATTTCCGTATTTTTATAATAGCAAAACGTGAGACGTATTTTAGACTAAAAATCCGTATAAAATACGGCGAAATCGTGAGAGTAAACAGGTCTGGAGTCTCCAACAATTTTTTCACTTTGAAGGCGTATATTTTTATATACATTACAAGAAGCAAATGAAGCTGTTGTATAGACTGTTTCATGATAACTGCGGTACTGCTCTTTGCAACGAAAAATCACATGAAAGCAATTGTTACAAATACATCATTTTATTATCTGAATGTAGAGCAATTACTGCAAATAAGTACTACCTCAGTTACCATAAAAGGGCTAATTACCTTATCAGCATGTTTCTCTAGATCGGTCTGTAAATGTACCAGCATGTCCAGTATACAGTCAGCAGCAGTATAGACAGGGAACCACACAATAGATCTCAGATTGTCCACGGTCAGTAGTCCGTCCTCCTGTCCGATCGCCCGTAACAGGGCAGTGTGGGCACAGTTCCACATGGTCCGGCACGAGTCCTGGAGCAAGGTCCAGTGCTGCCCTCTATGAGCCAAGATCTAGAAACAAGGAGAGATAACTCAATGTTCAAGAAACTAAATGATTGACTAGAAAATTAGAACAAACCATTAAGATATAATATTATTTGAGGAAATAAACATTTTTGACAGGTATCAGGGAAAAATGAAAATATCAGTAAATTTGCAAATTGATAAGAAGTAAAGATAGCTCCTAATCTCCTCACTGTTTTCATTTTTTTAATCTTACTCTAAGGCTCTTTTTTACCTAAAGATGTTCGATCTTTTTCTTAAAATGTAAAACCAAAGTACAAAAAACACCACTTTTTTCTAAAGTAAAATGGCAATGAAATTAAAATATCTGAAACTTACCACAGCCTTTTTGAAGTGAGCGAAAGTTTTGGTGAGGGATTCAGTGATTTCCTTGGTAGATATAATGACGTTGTCTATCTCCTTCTGGGTCTGTTTAGGGACTGCGGGGGCATTGCTGGCCTCTGAGCGGTACGTCCTGGGGGTGTCCTCCTGTTCTGGGGGGCAGAAAAACATAGGAGGGGGAGCACTGCCTGTAGAAAATGGGAAAACTTGTTACAGAGGAAGTACTTTAAATTGCAGTAAGGAAAATCATAATTATAATGATACATTATAATTAGACGAATACCAGTTTATATGACAGTTAGATTTTTTATCTGTACTGTCTTAAACGATTTTAATTAAAATCTTAATTTTACATTTCAAATGTCAAGCTTATTGAAAAGACTTTTCATTATTTAACCACAATTTAGCAAAATACATTAAAATGTTGTTTGTTTGTCTGTCTGTCTTTATGAAAACACTAATAGCTAATACAGTTTAAACGTAAAAACGTCATAGTCACAATGATGAAAAAATAAATAATTTTGTTTGTGGCAGAAAAAAAGGTTGTGTGGGGATAAATGCTGAAGTGCTTGAAATAAAAAAAACATCACCCTGGAAATAAAATGCATGCATGGTATACTTGTACATGTGCAGGAAAAATAATTCAAAAAATTTATATAATGAGAAAAAAAGAAGATTTACACAGATTTCATTGAGGTGCAAGGCCCATAAGCATGCATGCAAATCATCTGACAAAATATTTTGTGAAACATGTAGACAAAAATAATAACATATAAGTATGTATATCAACTGAAGCACAAAGGGGAAACATAGGCAAGTACAATGATAGAAGTCCTGTCTTATAGTAGGTAATAAAAATGTGTGCTGCAAAAGGATTTCTTCAAAAAAAAGTGACCAACTTTTAAAATAGAAAATTTAAAATAGAAATAAATACATGGCTCCTGGGTTTGCTTATATGAATAAACTTTTCTTTTAATTGACCTTGACCTTTAAGTTCAGACCAATCAGTAATTTGATTTTAACTTGATTGAAAACCACATTTATATTAATTCAAGTTTTGTTCTAATTGTTTTATCAATCTAGTAAAGAGACAAATTCTGCCATAAAAGTTTATGCACAATGGCTAAATTAACAAAAACTTTCACCTTGACCTTTGACCATATGAATCCAAATTTTACATACTAATGATTTTCCAGGCATTCTCAGCTTATGTAGCTAATCAGAAATTTGTTGGTCACAGCATATCCAAGTAATTGCATCATCACTGATCATGAAAACAATATTGACTTTGAACTTTGTCCAAGTGACCCCAAAATCTATAGTCCTCCAATGATATATTAAAAGTTTTTCTTAAAGATATATATATGAACTTTAATTTGCACCACATATTTGTGAAATGGTCATGGTAATTATATTTTGCATTAACCTTAACCTTAGTGACTTTCAAAACTTTAATTCCTATTTATCTTCCCCTAACAGTCCCCAAACTGCAGTAAATATGAAGTCTTTTTTGTTAAAGAGGTACTTCAGTAAAGCTATCACACTGCATGGAGTATGCAGATATAGATAGTCAGACTGTTAGACAGACACAGTGAATGTAATGGGTCAGCACATTTCGATGTGGGCCCTTATAAGAAATTCTACTCTATACTAAATGTAATGCTTAGTGATGATAATTATAAATATCTCCATTTACTAAGACTCTCAGAATTGAGACACGTCTAATAAACAAAAAAATTAAATGAAATCATAAGACCAAAACCCCAATATAATTGGACTACATGTTAAGCTAAGAGGAAGACAAGCCACCAAATGCAGGACAGAAGTATTTATAAAAGGCTGCCCGAGTGTGGCGATGATCGGGCGACCGCCACCAGATATATGTACCCTCTTTAGTGGTACCCTCTGTACTGGTACCCTGTGTTGTCTCAGTCTGGGACTGAGAACCAGCCAAATCGGGAGATTCAGTTTCCTTCAGATGTTCAGGGACCTCTCCTAGAAGTGAGCACATGAAGCATGCAAAATGAAAGTAAACATGCACTTAACAGAAAACGTGGTTTATAACAGTGGTGAAATTTCTGTCAATGTGGTACTCTTTATAAATTTTTAAAGGATTCTGAAATCTTCATGCAAAAAAATTAATCTGATTATTGACAAACACAAGAATCACCACAGACTACAACAATCAAGATGCCGACATAGACATGCATGTGAATTATAAAGTTGTTAAATTTTATACAAATCCACAAAAACATTAAAAGTTATTAAAGACTCCAAAAATTACAAGATCTTAGAATTGTCTCATGACATTACATTATAACTATCATCACATGTTTGAATGAGAGATCTGACATGCTGTCTTAAACTTCATGAACAGATTCCAATGTTCCTGTAACAAAGTCTTATTAAAATCTGTGGCTTATCATGCTAATATAATCCAAACTAATGCTTTATATCAAAGACCATTACCTGTAGCTAGGGCAGCTGCTATCTCTATACCAGTAGCAGTGGTCCGTGGACGACTCTCGTGTTCTGCTAAGTCGAGTGCATCCAAGCGTGAAGCCTGTAAACGAGCCAGCTCTCTGTCCTCATCTTCATCCAGCCTCTTCCTGCCTCGCGGCTCAACGGGCTTAGCTGGTCCCCCTTCCCAGCCAACCACAAGGGTACCAGCTGTCTCAAAACCAAACCATTCCTCATCCAAAAAGTTGGTTCTAAAAATGTTTGCAAAGAATTTATTTAGCAACATGTAAGTAGGATACAATAATTGCAATTACTCTATATTGTAGAATACATGTAACAATTATTGTATTCATGTGTAAGCATTGTAATTTAATATTTAACAAAAGAATTTTATGATATAGGTGTGCAGACTTTACCTGTACATATTAGCAGTACCCAGTACTTTATCTCTTGTCTCCAGTCTCTGTAGAAAAGCTGAGAAATGACTCATTCCTTGCAGCAACACCAACTGAAAATTAAAGCAACAGATTCTCTTTTATAACACATGGTCCATGTAAGGAATAATTGATAATCAAATACTGTTTATCAATTATTTAGTTTTGTCACTTAGTGAAATGGCCCCACCCTGCTTATTAACAAATATCCCTACCCATTTTATCTGACATCCAAATATAAAACGTCACCCCGCCCCTTTTTACCTGACATCTCCATGGCATCTCATCCACTGTCATCTTCCTGAGTTTCCTCTTTCTGTGCCACTGTCTGAACATGTCTGGGAAGTAGGTGGTGAAGGTCTCTATAGCCTGCAGGAAAAGTTAGGATACATTACATAGTGTAAAATATCAGAAGAAGAGTTAGGATACAGGATATAGTGCAAAATATCAGAGGAAGTGTTAGGATACAGGATAGAGTGTAAAATAACAGAGGAAGTGTTAGGATACAGGATATAGTGCAAAATAACAGAGGAAGTGTTAGGATACAGGATATAGTGCAAAATAACAGAGGAAGTGTTAGGATACAGGATATAGTGCAAAATAACAGAGGAAGTGTTAGGATACAGGATATAGTGCAAAATAACAGAGGAAGTGTTAGGATACATTATATAGTGCAAAATAACAGAGGAAGTGTTAGGATACAGGATAGAGTGTAAAATAACAGAGGAAGAGTTAGGATACAGGATATAGTGTAAAATATCAGAGGAAGAGTTAGGATACAGGATATAGTGTAAAATATCAGAGAGGAGTTAGGATACAGGATATAGTGCAAAATAACAGAGGAAGTGTAAATAAGGATATGTAAAATTGTATTTATTTTACATAGGAAGCAGTTTGGAAAGATACAAAATAACAGAGGAAGTGTTAGGATGTATATCTAAAATAATAGTGAAGCTTTTAGTGTAAATAACAGAGGAAGTGTTAGGATACAGGATAGAGTGTAAAATAACAGAGGAAGAGTAAGGATATAGGATATAGTGCAAAATATCAGAGGAAGAGTTAGGATACAGGTTTTCATTAATCTTATAAGTGCAAAATATCAGAGGAAGAGTTAGGATACATTATATAGTGTAAAATAACAGAGGAAGAGTTAGGATACAGGATATAGTGCAAAATAACAGAGGAAGTGTTAGGATACAGGATAGAGTGTAAAATATCAGAGGAAGAGTTAGGATACAGGATAGAGTGTAAAATAACAGAGGAAGTGTTAGGATACAGGATATAGTGCAAAATAACAGAGGAAGTGTTAGGATACAGGATATAGTGTAAAATATCAGAGGAAGAGTTAAAAATGCAAAATATTCAGAGGAAGTGTTTACATTATATAGAAAATAAAAGGAAGTAAACAGGATATAGTGTAAAATAACAAAATAACAAAAAATATATCAGAGGAAGTGTTAGGATACATTATATAGTGCAAAATAACTTTAGGATACAGGATAGAGTGCAAAATAACAGAGGAAGTGTTGGGATACAATATGCAAAATATCAGAGGAAGTGTTAGGATACATTATATAGTGTAAAATAACATTTAGGATACATAGTGCAAAATAACAGAGGAAGTGTTAGGATACAGGATATAGTGTAAAATATCAGAGGAAGTGTTAGGATACAGGATATATTGCAAAATAACAGAGGAAGTGTTAGGATACATGATATAGTGCAAAATAACAGAGGAAGTGTTAGGATACAGGATATAGTGCAAAATAACAGAGGAAGTGTTAGGATACAGGATATAGTGCAAAATAACAGAGGAAGTGTTAGGATACAGGATATAGTGTAAAATATCAGAGGAAGAGTTAGGATACAGGATATAGTGCAAAAAAACAGAGGAAGTGTTAGGATACATTATATAGTGCAAAATAACAGAGGAAGTGTTAGGATACAGAAACAAACATAGCATCAAAATATGTCAAAATAAAATAGGAAGTGTTAGGATACACCATACCAAAAGTTTGGAACAATTTGGCTAAAATAACAGAAAAGTTATACAGGATATAGTGTAAAATAACAGAGGAAGAGTTAGGATACAGGATATAGTGTAAAATATCAGAGGAAGAGTTAGGATACAGGATATAGTGTAAAATAACAGAGGAAGTGTTAGGATACAGGATAGAGTGTAAAATAACAGAGGAAGTGTTAGGATACAGGATATAGTGTAAAATATCAGAGGAAGTGTTAGGATACAGGATAGAGTGTAAAATAACAGAGGAAGTGTTAGGATACAGGATAGAGTGTAAAATAACAGAGGAAGAGTTAGGATACAGGATATAGTGTAAAATAACAGGGAAGAGTTCACATATAGTGCAAAATATCAAGGAAGAGTTAGGATACAAATATTGCAAAATAACAGAAAAGGATACAGGATATTGTGTAAAATAACAGAGGAAGTGTTAGGATACAGGATATTTGCTAACAGAGGAAGTTTAAATTCTCTAAAATACAGAATTAGGATACATCTTGTTAAACTAAATAGGGTAAAATATCAGAGGAAGTTAGGATACAGGATATAGTGCAAAATAACAGAGGAAGTTTTAATTTTAGCACAATTAATATAAATAATTATTTGACTGTATTTTAAATGAAAAAAAATCACAATGATCTTAATAAAAAAAAATACTGTTAGGATTTTTTATATAGTGTAAAATAAATTATGAGGAAGTGTTAATACATGCCAAATTAATTAAAATATACAGAGGAAGTGTTAGGATACAGGATAGAGTGGTAAAATAAGCAGAGGAAGTCTTAGGATACAGGATATAGTGCAAAATAACAGAGGAAGTGTTAGGATACATATAGTGCAAAATAACAGAGGAAGTTAATACAGGATATAGTGTAAAATAACAGAGGAAGTTTAATACATATAGTGCAAAATAACAGAGGAAGTGTTAGGATACATTTTTAATGCAAAATATTATATAATGTAGGGACAGTAGATAGCAGGATATAGTTTAACAGAGGAAGTGTTAATAAATATCAAAATAACAGAGGAAGTGTTAGGATACAGGATAGAGTGTAAAATATCAGAGGAAGAGTTAGGATACAGGATATAGTGCAAAATAACAGAGGAAGTGTTAGGATACAGGATATAGTGCAAAATAACAGAGGAAGTGTTAGGATACAGGATATAGTGCAAAATAACAGAGGAAGTGTTAGGATACAGGATATAGTGCAAAATAACAGAGGAAGTGTTAGGATACAGGATAGAGTGCAAAATAACAGAGGAAGTGTTAGGATCATTTCTCCTGAAAGATACATTATATAGTGAAAATAACAGAGGAAGTGTTAGGATACAGGATATAGTGTTAACAGAGGAAGTGTTATATTGGATATGCTTGTTAGGATACAGGATATAGTGCAAAATAACAGAGGAAGTGTTAGGATACAGGATATAGTGCAAAATAACAGAGGAAGTGTTAGGATCTCTTTATAGTGCAAAATAAAAAAGTTTAATAATTTATATGTAAAATAACAGAGGAAGTGTTAGGATACAGCATATAGTGCAAAATAACAGAGGAAGTTTGGATACAGGATATAGTGTAAAATACTACAGAGGAAGTTTGGATATAGTGCATTATAAAAATATACATATATGTTTTTCATATACATGTATGAACACACAAATTTTGAATATTATTATAGTATATCCCTCTTATGTGTTTAAAAATTCAATTTTTTTCAAAAAAGGTTGTACCCAGCTATCACACAGAATTGTATATATATAATTTTCTGAAGAGGCTGTACTGTGTAAAATCCACATCTTTATTAATGATTGATGAGATACTGTAAATGTATTATACCATATAAGTGGAAATTTTAGCGAGACACAAATTTAGCGATTTGTCCTTAAAAACTGGTAATTTATTTTTAGCGATATGTTATTTTAGCGATTCTAAAATGCACTTAAAGAAGCTATTTCAAATAAAACGCAATCAATTTTTAGCGATATTCAATTTTAGCGATGTTGGTACCCTCGCTAATAGTGCCAAAATTAAATCCTCGCTAAAAATTCTACTTATACGGTATTTAGCGTGTACGATATTTGGCGAATATTGACTTTTGAATAAGTCAGAGTAGATTTGATTTAGCGCATTTCTTCATATTCTTAATTATGTGTATACATGCAAGACATTTAGCTATGTACTTGATTTAGCGGTTGCTGCGATCCGCCAAAGCCGCTAAAAAGAATACACAGCCAAATGTGATACGTTTACAGTATAACAAGGATCTACTTACTTAGCGAGCCATGTCGATGTGTCGTCACACCAGTCCATCACTTGGTTGGCCATTCCTTCTGTGAGGGCTTTCTGAGCAACCTGGACAAAGAACTCCAGATAGCGATGGCGACGCTTAAACTTCACCACTGAAACAGACAAAAATTACGAAAAAATATTCAATGGAATATATCATAAAGTCATAATTATGTGTTTCAACAAAAAATGAAAATGATAGAATATTTGAAATTTTGAACACCTATACATCAAAAGTTCTGGAATATATATGTCAAAAGACTTAACTGTCCAAACTAATCATAAAAACACCTACTTTCAAATGATATTAAGTATTTTTTTCTATTGGCAGGTAAGCAATGCAGGCTTCAATATTTAGTTTACTTACCCTCCCTATAGGCCAGTTTACTAGGCAGGTAAGCTATGTATGCATGGAGAATACTAGGGTCCTCAAATCCTGACAGCTCATGCTCATACTGGGCTATAAACAAAGTGCAGAGAAAAATTATTTCAAAAGCTGTAGTAAGGACATGAGAGAATCTTTGTTGAATGGTCTTTAATTGTTATTGAATTCAACAAGTGGTGAATCTCTTTTTTATATCAGAAGTGAATAAAATAGGAAAATATAATTTTAGTGGGTCCCTCTGCGTTTTTTTGTAGTCTTGATCAGAATTTAAAGAGAGGTCTGTGCTTCAATGGTTTGCAATCATATTACAAAATGTTAACATAATATGGAGTCAAAACTATTGAAATGACGCTTTGATAACTGAAGGAAGCTGTTAAAGTAACAAGACATCAGATTTGGTACTGAACACACCTTGTTTGGAGAGGCTGAGCATGTGAGCTTCTAAGGCCTTCAGTTCCTCGTTGACTGGTCCCTCAGCTTCCTCTTTACTGGCTCCCGCCCCTGCTTTCTTGGCCCTCTTCCTCTTCAGTGCATGCAGGGGCAGTGAGTCAGACATGTCAGTTTTCTCGTCAGCGGACGTTTCTCCCCCTGAGAGGGCCCCCTTCTCTGTCATGTCCGTCTGCTCCTTCTCTTTGTGTTTTTTGTCCTTGGGATCCTCTCCTTCTAGAGCGAGCAGACGGCGCCCTGCCTCGTTTATGTTGTTGGCTAGCTGCTTGTGACCCCATGACCTCAAAACCTAAAAATACATAAGCAAGTCAAAATGTTAAACCCATCTGAAACAATTAACACAAGACCATTCTTTACTTGACAGACTAGACTCTTCTTTGATAATACAGTACTTGACTGCTTTCTTCTGTTCAACAAAAACAGAGAGAGGAACAATTGTTCAGAAATGGGATGAATTCTTTTATACCTAGATACAAAAGACAAAATTTGAAAAATGACAAAACAGCAAAACATTTTATAGCCAACATGTCTAAACCAAGCCTGCTGTTGGAGAAAGGAGGCAGATTTTTACTATAGGAGTCCCTACCTTAGCCATACTGTAGGTTATACAGGCTGTCATGTGATGGAGACTGTCTGCAATGCTCTGCTGTCTCTTCTGTCTCAGACCAGCAGGAATTTCTTGTAGCACAACATGGCATCTCTGTAATACCTATTTAATAAACAGAGAAATAAAATAAGATTTTAAGGTTTAATGTTCTAACACGCAGATTATCAGCTACAGTAATAAAACAGCAAGCGTTTTGATAATGACCTGCACCACCGCCAGAGATGGGATCTTGTAGAAGATGAGTGGTGCCAACAGTCCGTAACACTGGACCACCGCCTGGAGGGCCAAATTAGCCTCGTTCAGCCACCCCGCCAACTCCAGCGCCACCAACATCTTCTCACACTCACTCAGCCGTTTCATCTGAAGGAGGAAATCATGCATTACTGAATGTTCAGTATACAGAAAAACAGGCAAAATTCATTTTTCTTGAACTTGATTGCATAGAGAAAAACTTTCAAAGACATCCAGATTGAAATATTCAAAGACAAGCAAATTCAAGGAATTGTGGTCCCCCGCTTTCAGTGCCATTGTGGGTGAGATGTCATTTTTTATGACGTATTGCGTGTAATATGAACACCCTATCATATGTCATTTATTTAGAAATCATCACTGAACCCAAGGTCAAGGTCAAAGGGTTAAAGTTCTTGGTATCCAATGTAAAGTCTTCTCATAAGGATTACATATTTGAAGTATGAAAGCCCTAGCCCTTACCATTCAAAAGTTATAGTCAAGGTTTAAGTTTTTTATTAGTACAAAAAAATGTCCAAGGTCAAGGTCAAAAGGTCAAGGCCAATGGTATCAAATGAAAGGTCTTGCCAAAAAGAATGCATATGTGAAATATGAAAGTCCTAGTATCTACTGTTCCAAAGTTGTGGCCAAGGTCAAAGTTTTTGAAAAGTAGGTCAGACTCCAAGGTCAAGGCCAAAGGATCAAAGTTCTTGGTATTTGATGAAAGGTCTTCTCACAAGGATTACATATGTGAAGTACGAAAGCCCTAGCCCCTACCATTCCAAAGTTTTGGTCAAGGTTAAAGTTTTTTCATAAGTACATAAATCTCCAAGGTCAAGGTCAAAAGTCAAAATTGTTGGTATCCTATGAAAGGTCTTGCCACAAAGAATACATATGTGAAATATGAAAGTCCTATAGTATCCACCGTTCAAAAGTTGTAACCAAGGTTATAGTTTTTAAAAAGAAGGTCAAACTCCAAGGTCAAGGTCAAAGGACCAAAGTTCTTGGTATCTAATGAAAGTTCTTTTCTAAAGGATTACATACATGAAGAATGAAATCCTTAACCCTTACCATATAAAAGTTTTCGTCAAAGTTAAAGTTTTTTTATAAGTACATAAATCTCCAAGGTCAAGGTGAAAAGGTCAAGGTTGTTGGTATCCAATGAAAGGTCTTGCTACAAACAATACATATGTGAAATATAAAAGTCCTAGTACCTACCATTCAAAAGTTATGGCCAAAGTAAAAGTTTGGAATTTTTGTGTAAAACTGGGTCAAACTCCAAGGTCAAGGTCAAAAGGTCAAATTTGGTGGTACCCAAAGAAAGGTCTTGTCACAAGGAATACACATGTGAAATATGAAAGTCATGGCTCCACTAAATCAAAAGTTATGGGCAAGGTTAAAGTTTTTGTGACAGACGGACAGACTGACAGACTGACGGACAGACAGACGGAGAGAGGGACAGATGGACAGACGAATGAGATTTAATGTCCCCTCGCTTTCGCGAAAGCGGGGAACAAAAATACTTTATAAGATTAAGACTTCCAAATCATTTTTGAATCAATATATATTCAAGCTCTAGTTATTGCATTTGTCAATATGATAAACTTCTGAAGTTGTATTCTGAACTTAGCAGGTTATAATTGCACTGAAGGTTGACTGTGGTAAAGGGAGATAACTCTTGACATTATACCTGTCCAGGAAGGAGTGGTCCTTTATCATTGATGACATCACAGAAGAGTTCTCCTTCCTTAACACTCATGTCTACACTGATAAAGATACTGGTCAGGAACTGTCTCAACAGAACGGGGGACGAAACACATACCACCTTCTGGTTTAGTCTGCAATATACAGTTAAACTCGTTTAGTATGAACACGGATATTGCAAATGCATAAATAAAGCAAAGTTATCATGGATCCCCAGCTGTATAAATTTAACTAATCCTTATATGGATATTATAAATTATTGACATAGCTCAGTAATTTCATAGGTCCAAGTGACTTCATTATAATTAAGTTTAAACTGTACATGATTGTATTTATATAATATATATGTCAAAAATAGGTCATTGGGACCTTGAAATGCATTTACAGAAGATATCATAGCCACTATGTATTATTTTTGTTTCTTAGGCCTAACTTTTAAATCCTTTTCTACAATTCATCCACGAGTTTATAAATCTCCAGGGCTTATACATTAATAATTGATTAATGTACATGTATTCAAGAATCTTTTTTTTCACATTCACACTTGGTGATGCTTACTTCATCAATGTGACCTTGGAAGGTCCCTCTGATTTAGAGGTGAAGGTCACAGTTTGGGGGGCTGGAGGTTTAGCAATGAAGTGACCCCAGAGGACGTCACAAGCCTGTCGTGCAATGTCATAGCAACCAACCTGGTAGGCTATCTACAAAAACAAATGAGCCAAAAATAACAGATTAGAATTTTATAATGATGGATATATTGTAAAATTTATTGTATGATAATTATTTTTTGTGCTTTAGTTGATTCAATTAATTTGTATCCTTGAATTTCAAATGGTGATTTTTTTTGTTCAATCTTTGAAATGTTAATTATCAATGCTTGGTAGTGGTCAAAATAGCATATGTATAAAGTTGGATATGGTGGTTCTGGGTAGTGGGGGGGGGGGGATGTCTTGATTATTTCATGTATTTATTTAACCTTATGCACCAATTTTGTTCAAGTTCTGCTGCCAAAAATACAAAACATTAATACTCTGCATTAGTTATTATAATTCCTTTTAGTGATTTAACATATTTTAATCCTATATTTAGTACTTTAAAAACCTAATTAATCTTTTCCAAAAGAGGGATTTACTGCTGAAATCTTTATGACTATAATCTGAGTAATGCATGACCCTGTCCCTGAGTCAGATCCCAGGTAAACCTAGTAACACACTGAGGAATTAATCCGTGTGCAGTAGGTGTTTGGGCTGTCCTTAATCTTAGGTCATTGCTAAGAAGTTCCTCTACCAGAATTAAAACAGAGAATAGCGAAGGCTAAGGGTCCAAGTTCTCAACAATGCTTGAGAGGTAAGAATGTTCTTTAAGTTTTAAAAATTTATCTTCTAGATATTATACAGTTTTTCTAAAATTTCCTGAGTAGGTAATTATAAAATTTTGTATAACGCTGAGATTCTATTGCATTAAAAAATATTAAGACATCTATTCATTTAATTTTTAGTTTTATGAAGTTTTAAATTAATTAACTGTTGAATTTTTTTTTAGTAATTTTGAATTTTTTAATTACACAGTGACCAGTACTTTCCCCCCGAGGAGGGTCAGACCCCCTCCCTTCCAAGTATCCACAATACAGAAATCATTGTGAAAGAAAAAGACCTCAGACAGAAGATAGAGGAAGAGACAGATGAAATAGAACTGTCTGTGATCCCGAAATATGTGGACGAGGATGAAGAGGTCCAAGAATTAATCAAAACAACGATGGAAAATTACGCAGAGTTGGCAAAGGAAAACGACAAAACCAGACGCGACTGGCACAGAGAAGTGGACGAGATTTTTGACAGATACAATGCCGAGATAAACGCGACGAAGGACGAGCATCTGACAACATTACGCACACATCAGTATCTTCTGAGGACCTACATTAGAGGCATGCTGAAAACAATAAAGAAAAACAGAAGCATGCTGAACAAAAACAAATTCTCACACATCGCAAGGTACCAATCCAAATTAAAGGAATACAATGACATGCCCACAAAACGTCAGATCAAAATTCCTCCATTGATCACCAAAACCGTCAAGGGAACCGAACTCTCAGCTGAATTCGGAGAACTGAAATCTTCGCTAAAACAGACTTATGTGGAGAAGAAGAAAATGGCAAAGGCTTCGCTTCTGGATGAACAGGCTGTGATTGTGGCCAGCGTACCTACGGGTCTGAAAAATCTGTGTAAAGTGGCCTGTGTGGGGACCCACGAAGCTTGGGTCAACGGGACAGACCAGACCCTGACCTGTGTGGATATTTTTGGGGCTGTTCAGGGAACGGTCAAAACCACCTGTACACTGCACCCCAATGACATCACAATGACCAGGAGAGGAGAACTAGTCTACACAAATTCTTTCAAAAACACGGTGAGCATTGTCAAACATGGAAAGTCAGAAACTTTTGTCACCACACCCGAGAACTGGCATCCACAGGGTATCTGTGATACAAGGAATGGGGACATTGTTGTGAGCCAAGTCACATCTGACTTCTCCAAATACAAAGTTGTTCGCTATGATGGGAAGACAGCAGAAGTGAAGCAAGAAGTTGAGATGGATGACAAAGGCTCCAATATATTCACCGGAGGGAAATATCAAATCTTCATGTCAGAGAATATCAATGAAGACATTTGTTGTTCAGACCGCAACGCAAAGTCCATCCTTGCATTCAACAAAATTGGAACAGTCCAATTTAGATATGATGGAAAAACCTCCAGGATAAAGAAAACCTTCACCCCCAAACAGATAGTGACCGATTCTAAAGGCCAGGTCCTAGTGACAGACTATAAGAATGACTGCCTTCATGTCCTTGATCAGGCTGGGCAGTTTGTGAGACTAGTGGACATTAAAGGGCTGGACAGACCCACGGGTCTGGGTCTAGACAAGGAGGGTCGACTTTGGGTCACTCTCTACCACTCAGGAGAGATCAAAGTCATTCAGTACATGAAATAAATCTGATAGTTGTTATGTGTTGCAAGTGTGGCTTTTTTTGTTACGTGTTGGAATAAAACTTATGAACTTTGTTTTCTTTTTGTTTTCATTATTGTTGAGATTGCACTTAGCATTGAGGACAGAGAATGACAATCAATTTGATACTCTTACTGTGGATACTTGTTCTATTCAATCATGTTATAAAACAGGAAATATTTAAATTTTCCCTCATACATTAATTACACCACCATTTGAGCAAGAGGAATTTAAGCCTTACAGTATTCTAGGGACTAGAAAATTTTTGAAGAGGTGTATCAGGTTCATTATATGGCAATATTACCTTTATACATGCAAGGCACTTTTGTTTACTATAATCATAATCATGGTGAATTCATTCAGAAAATACAAATTTTACTAGGGATGAACATATTCAGAAAAATGAGAAATATTCCTTTGAAACACTGAATCATTTACAATTTACAAGTGCTCATTAAAAAGTATATCGTGAAACAAAATGTCTATGGAGAGTCCAGACTTGGATTACATTGAGTGATTTGTAAATAATATTCTGTATTAAAACCATGTGATATTCATGTGTATCATTGCTGAGATAGAAATTTTCCCTACCTGACTGAGGAAGCCCCACGTCATCAGTACAGGGAGGGGGTGGGAGGCCAGGACAGGTTTAGAACTCTCCCCCACCCCTCCTCCAATCAACTGACCGTCGGCGTTATAGGCCGCCACGGCAAAGACGTATCGCTCATTGGGCTGGAGTCCTGACACTCGTAGCTCACATCTATAACTGGGCACCTGCATGGGCACACAAAGAATGTGCAATGAGACATAATTTCCAAGAAAAATCATTTTTGGAAATATTAAGATATCAAAAAGCACAAAATACTTAGATAATTTAATAATATTCTTGAGAAATAAAAATATTTCTACATTCTATGTTCATTTAAATTAAGGCTTATTTGAAATAAGTCAAGAAATATGCTTTACTTGACCTTTTGACCCTGAATCTCTTACATTGAGTCACTTTTTGCATTAGGTTATCTCCCATTACTAAGAATTTAGAACTTACCTCTTCACCAGTTCCCGGGAAGAAATGGTCATTCAATCTGACCTTGACATTACTGCCTGAAGAGGAGCGAGCAAAGATTCTGTACCAAGCCACCTAAAAATTAAAATTTGTTAAGACACTTCAGTCACATTCCAAAAGAGAGCAAAACTTAGAACTAAAAGAAGTACTCAAAATAGCAGCCATATTCTTGAAAGTTAGACATAAAGAATGAGAAGTAGACAGACCTCCTGCCCATCTTCTGAGGAGAATGGGGCGGGTTTGAAGACCATCATGGTGTCGGTGCGACACAGTAGTATGGGGGGAGGGGGCACCTTGCGGGGTTTGTCTGGGACTTCTGGGACATTGGTGTTCTCTGTGTAGATCCTCTTCTCATCTGTCTGACTCTTCTGGATCATACTGACGGCATCCTTTATCATAAAATAATGAATAATGCTGCATTCTGGGATATGATATAATAACAAATTATTTTTTTAAAAAATGAATGCATAGGGAAAAACAGTATTCAGTATGTGGACTTGTGTATCTCTTTCTGATTTAAATAATGTAAATAAAATGTTAAAGTTTTGCTTAATTTACTTATTATTATACTACATGCACATTTTTTTCAGAATAAATTTCTTGCAGAAAATTATATAACTGCATTTAAAAAAATCAGTCTTTAAATTACTTCAACTTTTACAAGGTTACAGTCCTTAATTGGCTTTTAAAGTAAATTGAATACCGATTTAATTCAGTTTTCAAAAACATTTCTGTACCTGCAGCAGACCCTTCTGCTCTGTGGTGGTGACCCCAGAGTTACTGAGAAGTAGCGACTTCTGCATAAACAGCAGGGCCTTAGACAGGTAGTTTTTCCTACAGGCTCCTAGGAGCTCCTTATAATCCTCGATGTAGGCAGGGTTCAGATCATTACTGCTCTCCTATAAAACACCAAAATGTCAGTAACAGTTGTACAGACTATAACAGACTTAAAACAAAGACAATAGTGTTTATATCACGTGTAAAAAAAGCCAGTCAGCCTCACTATTTAATGATTCTGGACAGTCCGTCATTATTACCTGTTTAGAGAGGTCCTTCCTTTTAAATGGTTTGGGTAGATTCTCTGCCGGGTCAGGTCCCATGGAGGCCAGCTTTAGACAGACGCGGTGGTACATCAGAATCAGCTCTAGGTGGAGGTCCTTAATAGTATTCCACACAGCCGTGGCTGACCCCTTACCCCCCTCCTCTGTGAGCTGGGATTCTTTCTTCCCCTCCCCCTCATCTGTGGATTTTACTCCCTCAGTACGGTTTGTGTCTCTCTGAGAGGCCGGCTCTGGACTGAAGACTTCATCTTGTATGTCCTGTTGGTTACATATTTAAGGGAGAATGAAAGGCAAAAATGGAAAGTGGACTTTTTCCACATTTTTAAAAAAAGTACATGTACTCAAACAACTCCAGGCTTGGAAGTTGGAAGCTTAATTTTTTTTAAACATTAATTGAACTCAATTTTTTCACAACTATGTTAATAAAATCACACTACAAGGCAAAATATAACAAACAAGGAATGAAATTAGATACACAACAACTCAAGGGTTAAAACTCACAAAAAACACTCAATGACAAAACAATATCTGAGTTTCTCATTAGCAAGTATTTCAGGCTGCAAATGATGGGATTTCCTTACAAAATGGGAAATCATGCAAATTATACATGGTTAGACAACAAAACAAAAGACATGCATTCTGAATTTTTATGTGAAGTACATGTGAAGCCTAGCTAAATTTCCAATTCAAAAAATTGGAAACCATATAAAAATGGATGATGCGGTAATCATTTCAGGGTGATGAATGTTAAATTTCACAGTCATGTGATTAGCTGCATGACTGTCTTCCACCAATGAGTTGTCATGGCAACACAGGCAGATAGAATGTGGCCTTGAGGGGTCATGTGACATAAGGTCAAGGTCACTTACCAGACTTAGTAAATCACTTGCGATACTTTTTGTGTCCAGCTCCAGGTTTGTTGGGGCTTTCTTTGGAGACATCATTTGATGTTCCTCCAACTGAATTCATCACCAATAATGGTTATTGTACCATATATACTAATTAGAGTTTTAATCTGATTGTTATCACTTTTTTTATATCTATTCAAAATTACATTCAGCATTGATATACCAATACTGAAATTTTCTAAATCCGAATTGCCAAATCATATGATGTCACCCAACATCATAAAAATGCTGACCATTTTTATAACATTATTTTGGAAAATTATTTTATCGTTGAGTTCTCCAGATAAGAAGTACTAGACAAAACAGTTTACTAAACAGTCAAATACTTTATTTATTTCTTGATTTATCGGTATTTGCTAGACCTACCTTTGCCCAGCTGACATCTGCGATGGATTTCCCATCACTGAGAGCCACAGCCTGTCTAGCGTACGAGACGTTCTTGAGTCCGAGATCCAGAATATCTCGAGCCTGCAGCAGTTGTTGTCGTGGGTTGACATTGAGCATCGACGATGACAACATGGAGGTCCTTGACACCAGGTGGTGCTGGCTGCCTTCCTGTCCCACCTCATCCAGTGACATCTTGGAGCCACGCAATGCAAAAGTGGCCTCTAAAATAGGGAGAGAAGAAAATGATGTTACTTAAGACCTATCTGTTTTATGTATTTGGATCTATACTTCCAATGACTCTCATAGAGAATGTACAGAGTCAGTTAGGCATAGATGTTTGTGAAGAATGCTGTTCTCAATATCCATGAATTTCAATTTAATATTTTAATGGTTTCATTCTCCTACTAATTTTCATAAAAACTTATAAATGTACTTTCTCTCAAAGAATGAACCAATATAATTATTGAAAGTTATCTATCTTAGTTTTAACCAGATCTTTTAAAACACCTCGCTGAAATAAAATTTGATTATCAATTTCCTTGTAAGAAAATGCAAAAGGACCTCTGATAGAAAGTTTTATTGATCATAAAACTTAGGATGTACACTGTCTCAGTTTAGACAAAAAACAAATGCCAGACTTCGCTTCTTCACTCTTTGTTCAGCTAAATAACCATACAAAAACCAATATTTTATCACAAATCATGTAAACATCTACAAATCATACCCTGTGTGGAAGTAATACAATTACATATATGTGTGCTCATCTGCATGGATTGCAGACTTTGCAAATCGTTATTTTTTTTCTCTGTTCACAACATGCATTTTTTGTGAATTGGAAATAATTGATATTAATCAATGAATTTAAAAATGTAGTAGTTGATCTGATAAATGAGCAAGTCAAATCTTTTTTCACACCAAAGTCACAGCAAATTCTGGGTTTAAAAAACAAAAATGATATCTAAATGACATGTGCAGATTATCTATATGCATCATAAAAGAAAAAAGTTTAATTATAACACTATTACTTTTCAAACAATTAGATCAAATTCATGCAGAAAAAGTAAAATCTTGGAAATGGTAAAGTGTTTTGGAACAGCATAAAAATTAAAATATTTTTTTTTAGAAACTTAAGACGAATCTTTATCAAAGTTCACACATTCAATCACAGAAGTTTCACACCTATAAATTCTTTTGCTAATTGACAGCTAGTCAGTCATACAGAGCTACAAATCAAACAAGCGTGAAGTCAGCAGACACTTTATCTGCTGAAGCGTAAAGCCAGGCCTGTCGCGCCTGAACGACACTCAGCTCTTACCACGCGTACTGGATAAACGATAAGACGTGGGCGTGCTGGCGTCGTCAGGAGAAAACTTGGAACTCTGGGTAACTAACTTAGATCTTAAAACTCCTGGTGGACAATAAAGGAATGAGGAAACAGAATACAATATATTACACACAGGATCAAGATAAAAGAAAGAGTTTTTTTTTTTTTAAATTCAAGCAAATAATATACTTATACTAGGTAATGTTATGATTGTGCAATGTGGCCCATGCCAATGTAAATCAGAAAATATGGAGTAATGTAAAGCTGTGCTATAAAAATTGGATTTAATACTCTTAAATCCTGCTTTAATTAAAAATTCAGAGTCCTACAACTAAATGTTTTTGAAAAATTAAAATCATTACAAAGAACTTGTCAGTTTGTACTCTTGAATGGAAAAGGGCAGATTCAATGATGATGCACTACATCTATAATGATTATATATAATTCAACATCTGCATTCAACAACAAAGATTATCATTTTTTCTTCAAAATTACATATCATTTCATCAAGATTAAAGAATATTCCTCCAACAATCAAAAGCAAACACATTGATGGAAAAAAAAAGAAAAGCATTAACAATGCAGAACCAATAAGATCCCTTTAACCATAAAATAAATTGTAAATTTTAATCAAATAGGAAATTTGTATTTAATTCAGAATTTAATATGGATTATATTTTTATCTTAAATTACCATCATCAATGTGAGCACTACTCTCAAACACCAGGGCCAGTCTCAGCACCACCTCAGCGGTGAGGGCGGGGTCCACACTGCTGATACCACACCAACACAGGACCTTGTGGACCACGTCCAGAATGTACACCCACTGTAACAGAACAAAATATTTTACATGCTGTACTATACACAAAAGGATCAGCTATATATTTAGGGAAGGGAAATAGTCTTCCTAACAAGGAAATAACTACATGTGTATGATACGATAAAATCTAATTCAATTTACTCATTAATGATAACATTTTTACATCAATTCGACATTTTGTATCCTTGCTCCACTCAAGAGCTTTTTAATATATCATAATATTTTTTGCCCTCTTATCCAACAGAATACTTCCATTTACCCTGCCAAACAAATTTCATATAAGGGAAGTTAATCAAACAAATCCCATGACATTAAATTAAACTTACTGGCAGAAAACACATCAAATGAACTAGTCAGTCTCATGAAATTTTTGAAAACAAAAATCCTGGAAGTAAGGGTGTGGAGCAAAATGACCAGACACTTCAAAGAGATCCGGAAAATTCACCTTATTTGTGTTTTCTATCTTCTGGAAATACTTTGGGTTACAGACCTTATTTGGGTTCTCCATTTTCTGGAGGTACTTTGGGTTGTTTCAAAGAAATTTCATTTTTAGTAACCAAGGCAACACCGGTGCTTCAAAAACCGATGCACAGAAAACCGACTTGTGTGCCAAGTTTATTCCAAAGGAAGAGAGCGGCATCTACAACCATATCTACCTCGATCTTGGAGGGCTAGAGTGAAAAAAACAATTATAAAAAATTATCATGACTCTGTATCAAAAAAAAAAAACCCAGATAAATCTGGTTTAATCCTCTTGATAACAAAACTTGAATTTTTTGTTAGATTTCTATTTCTTTAATTCACTATGACTCAATCCTCTCTCTTTCTCATTTTGTGCTCTTCTTTCAAATTTAGGCCTGAGAGACATTAGAAAATAATTAATTTTTGATGTAAAACCCATTTCTTACCACAAATGGCCCATTAACAATGGACATCATGACCTCAGCCACCTGAATCAAGTCATCATTTCCACTGTAGGATCTGCTGGAAGTAGCTTAAAACAGAAAAAAACATGGATGATGAAGAATTTTATGTGTAATTCCATTACCTCAAAATGAAACTGAAGCTCTAACAAGCAGTTCAAAAACTGGAATGATTTTTAGATTAGAAGTTCATACCATTGAGCTGTGTGTGAATATGAAAAAGGTTAAGATAGCCAACAATAACTGATCTAAAAAATCTTTAAACAATACAAATCTGCTAAGAGGGCATACTTAAAACATGGACCCTTAGAAATTCCAGTGGTGGGATGGATCAGGTGCCCGGGAGGAGTAAGCATCCCCTGTTGATCCTGCAATGTAAACATTACAGTGCTCCTACCTTGTTGTGACTCTGGTGCTGTTTTGGGTTCTGCGGTTTGCCCTCCATCCTTCTCGACATCATCCACGACGGAGGCCATGTTACGTTTGTGTCGTCTGCTGGGGTTCACTTTCTCCATGGCCAGCAAGAGTTCCAGAGCCTTCTCATCCCAGCTATACTTGTTGTTGTTCAGAATCTACAGAAAATTGTATCTGAGTAAAAGTGCTTTGTTTTGGAAAATGTTAACATCTTTGAAAGTGGGACCTGCATGCCCATTGTGTTCTTTCATATTTTAACGAGTTTGATGATAACAACTACCATACCATACTCAACTTATCTTTTCTGACAAATATAATTTTTATCTTTGAACAACTACTTCCACCTCTCTTGATAATTATATTTATTTCAAAGCTAACATTTGTAAGCTTTAAATTCTGTGAATACCTACCCTGATATAGGTAAGAACATTCTCAATCAAGGTATCAAACACCTCCCATTGTTCAAAGCTGTAGGCCAGCTTCACCAGACGAATGGCTCCCTCAATAGAACTGCCGTCCTCACCTGCAAGGTCAAAGGAATAAATGCACAACTGTCTTTCAATGTCATCTAACATTTTTTTCCCTTCCTAATCGAACTAAGTAAAGAATACTTTTACATTTGAAATTCTGTTGAATACCTAACTCTGAATAAAAATATTAATCTGACATTTCTTTCCATTACAGATCAGAATAATTAAAGTCTGTTGATGTAGACACAGTCCAATATATCCAGCTGTCCCATACCTTTGGAGGCCATATCCATGACACTGGAGTCCTTGATAATTCCCGCCAGAGCAGGAAGATGGACACTGCTGGTCGGTTTGATGGATGACCCACGATGTCCACCACCACCTGTGACAAACAAATAAAAAAATATTTCAATGTTCAAGTACCTTTATTCATTTGGTGGATTTTTAAATGGGCCTAATTTTTTTTTAAACACAATATTTCCTTTAGACCAATAATTCAGAAAAAGAAAAAGATGTGAAACGTATTATCATGATGATTATAATTTAGATCAGCAAAATCTATACCTGCGAGAATCTCCTGTCCTGCCATGAAGAGTTCAGCGTACACGTCTAGTATTTCTACCTCAGAATCAGAGGCCGGAGGGGCTGTCAGGAGAATCCGGCGATTTGTGTCGGTCAGACTTTCTAGAATGCATAAGAACTGGGCTGCACTGCCTTCAAACATGTCCGCCAACAGCTTCTCTGATGGAGTCCTGGGCCAAGTCAGCTATAAAATGTATCACATCCTTTACTGTTTTATCAGATCATACATTAAATACCAAACTAAACAAGTCTACTAATTCACTCTCTAACATTAGGCAATTAAAATATCTCAGTTTGAATTAATTCTTCAATGCTAAGCTACAGTCAAGGGACATAATTATTCGCCACTTCCGCCTAAATCGCGTCACGTTTTCTCGCATGTTCCGTAAAGTAGGGCTGAATTTTTAAATCAAAAGATTTTCCCATTCTATTTTTATCTTTGTGTTGTAATACTGAAATTGATGACGTGTACACAATATTTTTGTCGTCTGCTATATTGTTTGTCGAAAAATATATCTGAAAACAACATGGGTCGCAAGGGAAAGAATTAGATAGACCGTCAGAAATATGGTTGTAGAAGCATATAAAAACAACAGAAATACATCAGAATTGGCGAGGATATTAGGAATCCCTAGGTCAACAATACGTAGTATTGTTAAAAAGTTTGATGAAACGGGACAGGTAGAAAATCGACGAGGAAGAGGGAGGAAGATTAGTGTTTTGGGACAGAGACAAAAACAAACTTTCACGTGTAGTTAAAGATAACAGACGAAGAACTTACGAGGACATTACAGGTATAATAAATGAGGAAAACGATCATAGATTTTGTACAAGGACTATAAAAAGAAAAATTCACGAGCTTGGGTAGCAAACATGAAGGGTTGCCAAGAAAAAAGTCGCTATTCGTGAGGCCAACAAAAAAGCTCGCTGTAAATGGTGCAAGGAGAGGAGAAATTGGACTGTTGATCGTGAGTGGAATAAATGGGTGTTTAGTGATGAAAGCCAAAAATATTAATTGGAAAAAATAAGAAAGTTTATATCTGAGAAAAGACGAGGAAAATATATTGCGCAGCTTGTGTGTCCGCCATCTCGACGACAGTGTGTGATCATGATCTGGGGTTGTGTTTGTATAAAAGGAATGGGAACTTTAACTAGTGTAGAAGGTAACATAAATGCAAGAAAATATATTGAAATATTAGACAACAACCTTTGGCCCGTTCTCCAGACATTTTCCAGATAACGCATATGTATTTATGGACGACAATGCTCTCCGCATAGAGCTAATTTAGTAAAAGAATACATCGCCAATAACAATATAATTACAACATCATGGCCTGCCCAGGAATATCTAAATATCATGTGAACATTTGGTTAAAATTGAAAAGAACACTGGAAACCCGTGCCGAATTATTAACACAAAAGATTTTATGACTGGCGGAAATTTGTCAAAATATTTTAAATCCAATCTTTATAGCAAACGGTAAAAATAAGTATTAAAGATGAAAGGCAATTTAACAAAGTATTGAGGTAAGATGGGCATTTATTAATTTTTAAACAGCTCCTAAATATCAAGGTGCGCTTTGTAAAATTTCGGCGGCCATTTTGAAGTGGCGAATAATTATGTCCCTTGACTGTAGTTACATGTCTATACATAATTTCCAAAAATAAATCTGAATCGATGTGCAATAGAATTAAATCATTTTGGCTCATTTTAGAATTCATTCCTGAAATAAAGCTGCTCTGATTGTAAGAAATGAGAAATTCCTCCATTATCTTTCATAAAATCCAGGATTTGAAGTTGACACATACATGAGAGGCCTCCTTAATCATAGCTTTCAGGGGCTGGGGGGGGTCTCACTTGTAGGTACTTACATGGGAGGTCTCCTTGAGATTAGCTCTTCGTTTTGGGTATCAGTATTGGATTCTTACATGGGAGGCCTCCTTAAGATATGCTTTTGTTTTGGGTCTCAGTATTGGATACTTACATGGGAGGCCTCCTTAAGATTAGCTCTTGTTTTGGGTCTTAGTAAAGCCTTGGGTTTCCTCCTTGTTTCATACACTGATCTTTTGAACACCATAATGGCCATCTGTAATTAAACATCAGAATATAACTGTATTCAATAAATAGAAAATGAAATTAGTTAAAGCAAACATGATGTCAACTTCAGACAAGAATAATAAACAAATTTGTCACTGTATTTAAATTTTATAAATTAATTGATGGTACAATGTGACCTTGATCTCTGCTGTCCTTGACAGTGGATACTTAATTTATAAAAATATTCATTATAAATGACCGCAGCCTGTGACCTTGACCTCTGGTTACCTTGACAGTGGCAGTCCTGAAGGTGATCTCAGACAGGGGCGTCTCTATAGAACTACTCAGGTTCTCCAAGTTACTCAGCTCATTAATCTTCGCTAGTCCTCGCCTTGCAAAGGCCTGAAAGAGTGAATTATACAAGCTTATTAACCATGTAGGAATATATGACTAATCTTGATAGCCAAATGAAAAAAGAAATATAACATTTTTTGAATTCAACTTTACAAGGTCTTTAATTTTTCATTCAAAAATATTTGTAAAACCCCATTCCATTAGAGCCCCTACTTACCTCTGCATGTTGTGATTGTTTACAGTCAAAGTAACACTGACAGACAGCAGTGTAGAGGGTGGCCCTCCAGGGGAGGTACTTGACGGCCAGGAGGGGGACGGAGGTCTCCATACACATACTGGCCCACAGCAGGTACTCCAGGGCCTACAATGTCAACAATTTAAGTCACTTACTGAAGGTCAATCAGTAAAATGTTAAAATCAGTCATATATTTACTGCAATTATTAAAGTCTAACTTTCACAACTCGATACTGATATTTTAATACAATTGAGTATAACTCAACTCATTACCTACCCTTGAGGAGTGCCCCAGGGACATGAGATGACGTGAAATGCTGTAGATGTGAACAGTACCTGTAACAGAATAAAGTATACACATATTATAACTTTATTGCTATAACATGGTGCATTTACCACCTCTTTTTTCCATGCAGTACTGACACTTGCTTCAAAGCATGTATGTCGATTACATGGTGGAATGTGAATATGTCACCACGTACAGAAAGCTCAATTAAACTACCAATGAAATGTGCTATATTTCAGCCTACCATTGTACACTAGCCAGCACAGTGTTTCTTTTGGAAGCACGACCTGCATGACGAGACGGAGGAAATTCAGGATGAGAACACACCTCTCTACAGACTGCTTGTTCTGAAGTTTGGGGTCACCAGCCTTCACCATCTGGTACATACTGATGCTCTTACCCATCAGAGCTCGGAACTACAAATATAAACAACCATCTAGTACATACTGATGCTCTTACCCATCAGAGCTCGGAACAGTAAATACAAATATTAAAACAACCATCTGGTACATACTGATGCTCTTATCCATCAGAGGTCGCAACTAGAAAATATTGACAAATGCTTACTGAAACATATGGAGCTATAAAGCTATATATTTTTTGTGAAACATGGCCCTTAAATGAAAGCTATACATTAGTGAACATGGACCTATAAATGTACATCAATAAATGATTTAAAACAAGACACTGAATGAAATTCTTTAAACTGCATGACCCTTGCCATTTTTGAGAGCTTACGACCTATATGGGATAATATTTCAATTCCAACATGAGCGGTGTAATGCATAACAGTAAATTATTTTTCACTCTAAATAAAACATAGTGAAATAAACTGTAAAAACAAGTTTAATATAAAAGTTTCATGTAAAATACAGATAAAGATAAAATAAAAATGTGTTGCTCATTATGTTATAAACAATCTTGTACTGCCCATAAAGTGTTTCAGTGGTGACATGTATTTTAAATGAGTAGCAAAAACTTACAGTGAGACCGGCATTTTCTGAATCAAAACCCCCTGGGAAGAACATTTTCTTGAAGGCGTCTACATCAGTTATTTCTTCTACATTGAGATTCCCAAAGTGCATCAGATATCTATCATAGCACTGCCACAGGGCAATACTGTACTCCTGGAATAAAAATCATCAAATCTCAATTAAATTTTGAATGGATATACAACAGTATAAATCAACATTTTACATGTACAGACGCTTAAAAAATTTAATTCTCGCTTTTCAGGGCAATTAAGGTATAAAACATGTGCAATTATAATATGATTTATAATCTTTATATTTATTCTGTTCATCTATTCTAGAAGCTATAAATACTAAGTTACATTGTCTTTATTGCTTATCATAGTATATTTACTTACCTTAACCAACACTAGGAAGTCTCCCACCTCTAACAACTTGCTCTGGTAGTACTCTTTAGGAAGCTTAGGTTCATACTTGTTCCACAACTCAAACAGTGTGTCAGAACTAAAAGGGAAATTAATTGATTATCTTCTAATCAAAGGAATTGATTCAAGTTTTGTTGTATTTCTTGAAATAAAAACTTACAGTTCTGTTCTTCAGATGCACAAAACAATATCATTATACCCCTTTTATATAAACAGTCCCTAAAAATCCAACAGTTCAATTGTTTTCCACAACTGTCGGTCCAGGAAATGATAAATAGACCATTAAAAAAATACTGTAAACAGTTGCTCGCTGACATCAAAAGGCACTAAATTGAGCTATATTTTCATTTGGCAAAGGAGTGCAGTGTATAACAAAATAGTTGTTGACAGGAATTTAAACAGTGACTGCCAATATGTTGGATTGGAGTGCTAACTGTTGTCAGCATCCTACGGCCTTGGGTAATCTTGCACTCTGGTACAACAGATCGACCATTTCCCTATACCCAGTCAACAACTGTATACTGTTACCTATGCTATGTGAACTAAGAATGTTAATGTAAATTTTATAAAAATCAGAAATTTAGGAAAGTGACTGACTCATTCACATTGAAATTAATCTCTTGGGGGAATTTTTGAACATGTAATTAAATGAATAAAACGTACGGCCTTGAAGACGGTTCCTCGTCTGGCTTTTTATACCCAGGTGCACTTCTTTTTCTCATGTACCCCATAAACTTCTTGATTTCTTGGTCAAGGGATTGGAAAACGGGGTTGTTCTTGTCCTTGTTGTAAAAGGAGCTTGGCTGGCCACGATTGGCAACATTTGCCGCGGCGCTTCGCAAAATCGCCGCCATCTTCTCCAACTGTTCACTACTTGTGGGTTATACTTATTGAATAAAAATGTTTTCTTTCCAAACAGCCATCATCGACGCGCACCGCGTTTCTAGGGAAGAACGATAACTCGTGCTAGCACTTTGGGTTACAGAAACTTTCAGATAGGAATTCATTTTCCCGAATATACTAACTGAACGTTAAATCATCGTATAATTAAAATTTGTCCTAAAATTTGGGAAAAGTAAAGGCAAAAAATCTAACTATTCTGACACAATATAAAATTATATTAAGTACTACTTTATCTATAAAACTAAATCCGGGAAAATAATCGAAACCAAGATGAATTTTACTTCACTTTGTCTTTCCCACATGCTTCCGGTGTGAATGATCTAAGAGAACCGGTAATTTGTTTGACATATTTTGATCTTTTATACACTTAAAATTTGTAAATTTCTTTTTATTTATCCAAAGATTAAATAGTTCTATTGAAAAATTTGTACAATTTTATATAGAAATGAAAATTTACATTTAAATTGTTCACTTATTCAGACTGAATGTTGGTAAAAGAACATTTCATTAACATTACGCAATTCACAATATTTCAAGGCGAAGAAACTATACCAGATAAAATATGCCGAAAAAGGGTAAAGGAAAAGCAAAAGAAGAGGAACTCTGGAACGGCGATGAAGAGGAAAAAGCGTTAGATGAAAAAATGAAGAAATTAGCGACGGATGATGGTGCAGCTGGAAAAGAGAAGAAGAAAAAGAAGAAATCAAAACTGGCCCAGCTAGCTGAAATAATGGCAGCAGAGGACGATGAAGAGGAAGGTGAGACAACTTTTAGAAAAGTCTTAAAGTGTCATATTGTGAAACACTATACAAGCTTCATTAGATTCAGTTAGTAGGGCTGGGTATTGGCGCGAGATTTTGTATTGCGATATATTGCGATACTTTTAACTGTATTGCAATATGTATTGCAATCTTTTTAATGTAATAAAAATGACATTTTCTTACTATATTTACTTTAATTTACATGCAGAATGTATATAACTATGATAAGTAACCAACACGGAAAAAAATCGTGTTGATTTCATTTAAGTTATGCTCTGAAATGTTCCCACAAAACAACTTCTGACTAACTGTTTGGCTTAATAACAAACTTTCATAAGTCCATTTTTATATTCAATGCTAAAATTGCCCATATATCGATATTACAAAATCGTATTGCGATACTATATTTTTTGCCATTGTATTGCAATATATTGAAATATCGATATTATTGCCCAGCCCTATCAGTTAGAATAATCTGTGTCTTGATACAAGCCCTCACCTCAGTTAGAATATGTCCCATATACTCGCAATGTAGCTAATCGGAGCGTTCCGCTCCGAAATGATTTTGAAGAATATTTAAAAGGATTTGCACTTGAAAAAACAAACCCTTTTGAAATTGCGTATGCCTTTCATCCCAAAAAATAATCCATATAAAGACGAAAATTTAATTAATTTTCTCAACATTTTCCTCTCACTTCAAATTTACCTGCCATGTTTACATTTGGAACTCTCTGGATTGTTGGTAGTAAATGCACTGGAAGTGAGTGAGTTATCACCCGTGTTTCTTCTGCTACATTACGAATATAGGAACAAATTAGGGATGTCAACGAATGATCGACTATTTGACTGTCAGTCGAACGGACCTACTATCGAATAATGAAACAACACTGGAATATTAAATAAAGAAAAGGAGGTGATAATGAAATTTATCTTAGCCTGATTGCAATTTCTGAGGAATGGGGGTACTGACCATGTATGATTTTGAGTAACTGAATAGTTTTTTGAGTCTAGGAAATTTTTTTATTTTAGTAAAAGAGGAAGAAATTGTTGAACCACAAAAGAAAGAAAAGAGCAAACCTAAGGTAGAGGAGAGGGAGGAGGTGAAGTTTGATTATTACGAGTCTGACGAGGAAGGACAGAAGGATGAAGAAGAGGAAAAAGCAGAGGAACAGGTGGAGGAAAACAAACCCAAACTCAGCAAGAAGGAAATGAAGAAACTCAAAAAGCAGGCCGAGTACCAGAAACAGCTGGAAAGCATGGAGGCCGGAGGGGTGGAAAATTTCACCGTTTCACAGGCGGAGAAATCTGCTAAAGCCACCATACTGGACAGTCAGGATATCAAAGTGGAGAACTTCTCCATCGCTGCTAAAGGAAAAGATCTGTTTGTCAACGCCAGCTTGTACATCACCGCAGGGAGGAGATATGGTCTGGTGGGTCCTAACGGTCATGGAAAGACGACCCTTCTGAATCACATGGCCAAGAAGATTCTGAACATTCCAGCTAGTATTGATATTCTGCTGTGTGAGCAAGAGATTGTGGCGGATGAGACCAAATCCATTGATTCTGTTCTGAAGGCTGACAAGGTCCGCACCGCTCTCCTAGAGGAAGAAAAAAAGCTCCAAGTGGAAGTGGAAAAAGGGAACACAAAAATCAATGAAAGACTTCAGGAGGTTTGTTTTGAGTAAAAATAATCTTTTAATTCAGAACAAAAATAAAATATTTGCAAAATAAATGCCAGTTATAAAGAATATTTTTGAATTATTACTTGGGCATATTTATAAGATTTGTAATTTTGTCATTAAAGCTTTTTCTCTTTCCATGAGGTTTTATGATCTTTCTTGAGACCCGATTTTATAAATCAATATAATGTACATACACGTACAAACTTTCACTATTTTAGGTTTATGACGAGCTTCGAGCCATTGGTGCTGACGCAGCAGAACCAAAGGCCAGGAGGATCCTCGCAGGTCTTGGATTCACGAAAGAGATGATGGAGCGCCCCACAAAGAATCTCTCGGGAGGTTGGAGAATGAGGGTGTCCCTGGCTAGAGCCCTGTTCCTGGAGCCCACCCTCCTCTTACTGGACGAGCCCACGAATCACTTGGATCTCAATGCCGTTATTTGGCTGGATAATTATCTGCAGACCTGGAAGAAGACGCTGCTGGTGGTCTCTCACGACCAGAGCTTTTTGGACAATGTCTGTACGGACATTATTCATCTAGATCAGCACAAGTTGTTCTATTACAGAGGAAATTACGCGACCTTTAAGAAGATGTTGAAGCAAAAGAGAAAAGAACAAGCCAAGGCATATGAGAAGCAGGAAAAGATGTTAAAGGAAATGAAAGCTTCAGGTAAATCAACAAAAGTGGCTGAAGCCAAACAGAAAGAGGCCCTGACACGAAAGCAGGAGAAGAATAGAAACAAGAAAATGCAGGCTGCCATTGAAGAAGAGAACAAACCTACAGAATTGTTACAGAAACCAAAAGAGTACATTGTCAAGTTCAATTTCCCCAACCCCAGCCCATTGAATCCTCCAATATTGGGTCTGAATAATGTGACATTTGCGTATGGAAACAACCCGGCATTGTTTGTGAATCTGGACTTTGGAATTGACATGAGTTCAAGAGTTGCTATAGTGGGACCTAACGGTGTTGGAAAGTCTACGTTTTTAAAACTCCTTGTGGGAGATCTAGAACCTCAGAAAGGAGATATGATTAAAAATCATAGACTGAGAATTGGGAAATATGACCAACATTCTGCAGATCAGCTAAATATGGATGAGACACCGTGTGAGTATTTACAAAGACTGTTTAACATCCCATATCAGGACTCCAGAAAAATGCTCGGAAAATTCGGGCTGGCCAGTCATGCCCACACAATTAAAATTCGCGATCTTTCTGGAGGACAAAAAGCCCGGGTTGCCCTGGCAGACCTCTCATGTCGCGCGGCAGATGTGTTGATTCTTGACGAGCCTACCAATAATCTGGATATTGAATCGATCGATGCTCTCGGTGATGCAATAAACGATTACGAGGGAGGAGTTATTATTGTGTCTCACGACGAGAGACTGATCCGAGATACAGACTGCACTCTGTGGGTGGTGGAGGATCGTACTATTAATGAGGTGGATGGTGGATTCGATGACTATCGTCGTGAACTTCTGGAATCTTTGGGAGAGGAAGTGGTGATAGCTCAGCCAACAGATATAAACTGAGGAATGTCTAGAATGTTGGTTATTTATATATAAGATATTTGTTTTGGTGCAATGTTTTTGGAGGATAATGAAATGTCAAATTTTTTTTGGCACTAATTTCTTTTTCCAGGTTAGTGCTTGTAAAAATTTTTGGAAAAATTACGATTGATAAGGCAATATGCTCTCTCTTTATGTCTACCATATAAAAGGTTAAATTGAAGATATTAATTTTATTGGAAAAAAATATTATACATGTATTTTCCTTCTAATTTTGGATACCTGCAGTTTTATAATGCATATATTTTTCATGTTTAAACTAAATTTCTCTGGGGATTTTTTTCCTACATTTTAAACATATTGATAAAGAAAAAAACTGATTTTTTGTCTATGCATTGTACAGTAATACATGTTTGACTTTCTTATGAAGAAAAGTGTAGCTTTTTAATGGCATTTAATATGAAATAAAAAAAAAAAGCAAGTTATCTGAATTTAAAGAGTTGAAGATCATTTAAATTACCGGTATCATTTTTCTGAGAGATTCATTTCTATGGCAACACAAAAGAAAGATAAAAATATTTTTTAATTTAAAATATTCTCAGTATATTTTCTATAGGCCATTTTGAATACCTTTCTTTTATTGGATTTACATTTAGTGAGACATTTGTATGCAATTTAAAAAAAAGCTCTTTTAAAGAGTTTAAGATCATTTAAATTACCATTTTTCTGAGAGATTCTAGGCCACAAAAGAAAGAAAAAAAGACTAAGTATAGCTATAGGCCATTTTGAATATGTTGTAAATACGCCATCTTCTAGACAATCCTTTATTCAGATATGTATATTCTGGTTGTTTGCATTTTCTTCCAATTGCTTTTATAATTATATATCCTTCTAAATATTCATTGTTAGTAGAATATTTTGATTTTTATGCCCAGTTCGAATTTATTATATAAAAATATCTAAGATCAAGTTCTGTTTTGGGTACATGCAATCAAGCTTAGTTATGCCCCTTGAACTTCAAAAAATTTTTATTAATTGCAGTTTCCATTCATTTCCTCTGCAGAGGTCACACATACTGAAACGAAATTTTGAATGCAGATTTATCATAATATCTAGGTCAAGATATTTTGGGCACTATCAAGCAATTTTTGACAGAGATATGCCCACATGACTTGGAATAATTAGAAGTTTTTGCAGTTTCTATTCATTTTCTTTGCAGAGGTTGCACATGCTGAGATGAAATTTTGTATACAGATTTATCATAAGAATGTTTATGTCATGTTGGTTACAATCGAGCAATTTTTGACAGAATTATGTCCCTTGTGCAGAGGGGGGTTTGATGGGTTAAGTTGCAGAAATGATATCTCTTGTAATTATAATTTTATCAGTACATATTTTTTTATGTGTCGTCAAATTACATAATTGGATTGGACATCAGGCATGGCATAAAACAAGTCTTCAAGTGGGTCAAGGTTAAATGTTAAGAATTTACAATGATAAAATAAATATTTCCAGATGTAATGCTGCAAGAATAAGGGGCCTTTTTGCTAAGAAGAGTTCTGGTACTCTGATTCATTTCCTCACTGTAGTTCCAATAAGTATGAATGACAGAATCAGGCAGTGTTTCTTAATTTCCAAATCAATGTTTTATTACTAAACAGCCAGTTCAAATTTAATCAAATAGAAGTAGGTAATTGCTTTAATATTTTCGTTCACTGATTCCATCTAGTCACAAAAAGAAGAAAAAGACTGGATAATTTAATGTATCAGGTAATATATTTATTAACAAATTCAAAAAAATGAATATTTAAACCAAGATCCTTGAAATTTTTACAAGAATCATTGAAAATATTGTCTAAATGCACATTTAATGTACAGTACTGTAAAATTTAAATAAATGATTGGTTAACTTCTCTCATGGATTGATAAAATGATTTCTTTAGATTCTGAATGTAGCAAATAGTTGAGTGCACAAAACAAAGGTTTCCAATAACTACAACTTCACATATATAATTAATCTTTTTTTAAAGTAACCTAGCTGAAACCTTGTGAAAAATTGATTTAAAGCACATTAGGTGTGATGTAACAATATGAAGGCAACAAAAACTCTGATTTATATGAAATCCATCAATACGTTTTGAAAAACCTTTTTCACTGTCAAGTGTTTAAAATTCAGCCAATGTTGATATTTATTTTTTCAATGTGAAGAGACTATTAGGTATAGTGTAAATAAACAGAATCGATCATCATACTCGGCTCTGATCCAAGGCAGTGTTGAGGGAGTGATTCTTGTACATTCCACATGTTCCTAGGTGCTGTAGGGAAAAAAAGGAGTAAAAATATTTAAAATAACGTTATAAAATGATATCATTTTAATAGGTTCAGACCTAAAACATTTTATTTCTTTTATTACAAAAAAGAGATTGTATACCTGAGATTAAATGTTCAATAATTGTACGTAATATAATTTTTTCCTAACATATTCTAATCACAATCTGTAGTATGACATTGTGTACATATAGGTCTTGCATGTAAAATTACCAGCAGCCCCAAGTGATGACACCTGTACATTCTATTTAAAAATATAGGAAATGATGTGTTGGGTTTCTTACCATTGAGAATTTTTGTGACCGGGCATGGAAAGTTGTGGGCATGGTGTGAACAGAGGGGGCCTTAGCTCCGTAATCTGAAGAACTGGTTCTGTACATAGGATGCTGGGGTTTACCTCCGTAGCCCTGAAACCACTCTGTCAAGGAAATGTAAATTGATTTGTTTCATATATGTGTATATCCCTATTTAGAATCTGAGGAATCTTAACATTCAAAATAATAATCTTTTTTGGTAAGATGTGCTGATGATCACAATTAATGTTGGTTTTATTGAATTTATCCATACCTGGGTTTTCAAATCTGTTTGGAATGTTGTCTGTTCTGTAAAATTCTGAGGTTTTTGAACCAGCTGGGACATTGCCAGGTGCAGCCTGCTGCTGAAATAAGTTTGATGCTTGATAATATATCTCTGTTAGACATGTTAAAAGTTTAGCTCACCATGCCTTTTAACCAAGTCATGTAGCTTATAATTCTTGTGCCGCAAGCCCACAATCTCCACATATCTGGGCCATGGGAATGGCTTTATACAAGTAATACATATATGACAAATGCGTATATAATTGCATATGGGGACTAGCTGCAGAACTGAAGCTCTCCGAAAAATATTTTGACAGACCGGAGAGCTACATTGCCACCCATTGAAAAAACTATATATTTATTGCGCAGTACTTTGCGCTTGGTTACCGATTAATTCTTCCAATTTTTACCTCAATTGTATAAAATTTAGATTTCAACAAATTCCGTACTCCTCTATCAAGTACTTGTGTAGTTGACATCTACACGAAGCGCATTAGGCCGATTATCTTGCAAACCAAAATGGCAGTATAAATAGACAAAATTTTCGATGATCTCGATTTCAGGGCCAGGAGGGCTATTAATAACAATTATATGGAATGTTTTATTGTGAAAAAATATATTAGGAACATACGGTTAGTAATATTTTGAGATGATAGTTTTTAAAACATCGAGAAACAAATCAATAAACAGCACACTTTTTTGTGCGCAATAAACATACAGTTTTTAATTCAATGGGTGGCACTAGTTCTCTGGTCTGTCAAAATATTTTTTCGGAGAGCTACAGTTCTGCAGCTGATATGGGACATGCATGTAAAAGTAAACTAATATTAACCTTGTCCGGGATTTAATAAGATTTCTTGACTTTAATTTGAGTAACAAGCTTAATTAAATCATGTAAATTGGAACTTGAAATTTCGAAAGTTGAAAGTTTGCTATATTATAGTTTTTCAAAGCTTTTAAAAATAGCCTCTTTAAGTATTCAAAAGTAGATTTTATTTAAAACGTACAGTATAAAACGCTGCTTTAGTTTTGAACAAGGAACTTTAGGAAGATCGATATCTATATTGTTTTCCATTTCTGTATAAAAATAAACGTAAAATATAACATGCCTACTGCGAATAAAATTCTTTGAACAACATTAAAAATTAAAAATTTCGCCAAGAACCTTACCTGATCTGCCATCTTATCTGTATGTCTAAATGTTGACTGCTGTATGTACAAAGCTGAGGTGTAATCGTCGTGGTTGCTAGGACGTTACGTCACTTCCAACAACACAAATAACGAATCGCGAGCCCGATGAAAATAAAACTTGAAAAAATTGTCCTTCACACCCGTTTTACAAAAGAGGAGAAAATTAAAAGACGTCCAAGATATTTAATTGTTTGTAAAATATTGCATACTTTTATTCTGATTAAAACTACTTTTGTAGACATGACTTACTTCATTCTTTTTTTTTATATAATAGATTAAACCTTTTGTCAATGTTTAATAAACATTAAAAAAATATATTGTAATGTTGAATGATTATAAAATAATGCAGAACAAAATGTTGGTCTTAGTCGTTAGTTCGTTTGTAAAACGGGTCCCTTGATTGGATAATAAAATAATAATAATGATATATACATTATATAATATTTAATACTTTCAGCATGCAGACCACAGTTTTATCAGGTAGCAACCCAACCTCTTTCCATATACATGTATTTTACCTTTTTTTGTTTTTTTTTTTCCCTATTGAAAGGCTTTTCCACCATCATTCATTTAACCAAACTTAATTATATAGGATCCTCTATCCGCATCATTTTTTATACATGTAGTATAATAGTAACGTATTTAAATAAAATTTTGGTAGTAAAAAAAGCAACTGAGTGATTTGAACAAAATCAGTAGTATTTTAGTAATTAAAAACTTGAAAATCCTATGTTGTGTTGCAATTGGTGATGGTGGTATATATACACACACCCGCCACGAAATAGGGTTTTCGATTTTGAAGATTTTGTTTTGCTAAAAAAAATACTTCCAATTTTTGAAAAATGACCTTGAACTCCCACCCGTCAGACATCTAGTATAACTTGTAACAGACAAGAAGACAGTCAGGTGTTTGTGTGCATGTGCTTTTAATTTTTATGCGCCCGAATCGATAGATCCGGGGCGTATATTGTTTTTGTCCTGTATGTCTGTCTGTTTGTCTGCAAACTTTAACCTTCGCCATAACTTTTGAATCATTAAAGATAGAGACTTCATATTTGGTATACATACTTCACTAATAAAGTTCTTTCAAATGACACCATGGTCAATGACCTTCTGACATTGACCAATATGCTAAAATAGCTTTTTTCTGCAAACTTTAACCTTTGCCATAACTTTTTGAACCATGAAAGATAGAGACTGCATATTTGGTATGCTAATTAAACTCTTTCCAATAATACCAAGGTCAATGACCTAGTGACCTTGACAGTGAAATGTATGCTAAAAATACATTTTTGTCTTCAAACTTTAACCTTCGCCATACCCTTTGAACTAAAAAAAGATAGAGACTTCATATTTGGTATGCATACTCCACACATGATGCCTTTTCAAATGACACCAAGGTCAATGACCTTGACTGTGACCTATATGCTATAAATAGCTTTTTTGTACCTAGCTTCATCATAACTTTTGAACCAGGAGAGATAGAGGCTTTATATTTGGTATGTGTGTCAATAACCTTGTGACCTCGATTGTGACCTATATGTTAAAAATAGCTTTTTTCCGAACTTCGTAGCAGCCGGGCGCATAGTGTTTCACAAGCACATCTTGTTTCTTTTAAATTATAATTTTTGCTTGTCCGTGAAAAAATTAGTCTAACATATCTGTTAGAATATATGTGGGACTCAGCCCACCACTATTATATTACCCGGTTAAATGGATGGAAATTCAGCTATTTACAATTTGTTTAACACATACATGGTGGGTCCGTGTAACACTTATCAATTCAAATTTCTAAAACGATTTCGAGTTTTAGAATGTTAATATATTATTTCAAATATCTAACTTTCAAAAACTTGATTTGATATTGAATTTTAATATTTTAGAAAAATCTAAAATTTCAATTTTCCAAACAGGTTTAACATTTTGAGTTTTAAGATTTTTATTAAATATTCAAAATTCAAATTTCCAAAAACAAATTTTGTATTTTAAACTTTAGAGTTTTTAATCTACCGTTTGTTCCAAAGTTTAAACATAAAATTCGATAACATTTTCGTCTTTTAATTATTTAAAATTTACCTCAAACTTCCAACTTTCAAACGCTTTAGATTTTTAGAAATTTAGAATTTTGATTTTAAATTTAAAATAACCAAAACACGTTTGTACTTTTGAAGTTTACAAATATCCAAAATATGAAATTCATGTGTAAATTTTGGATATTTGCAAAATTCTAAAGAACAGCGTTAATTATCAAAAATTTTCTAAAAATCTTAATATACAAAGTTGGATTTTAGAATTTGAAGCTAATTTCAAATAATCGAAAGAAAAAAATATTACCAAACTTTAGATTGTTAAGTGTAAACTTTCTGAACAAACGGAAGCACCATAATATTTGGTAATTTGAATTTTGAAAATTTAACAATAAAGTGAAAATTCTAAAACCTATTTGGAAATTTAGATTTTTGACGAAATATTAAATTTCATTATATCAAATCAGTTTGAGTTTTTGAAAGTTAGATATTTGAATTAATATATTAACATTCTGTGTGTGTGTGTGTGTGACACGGACCATGGTGATGTAATATAAATGTCAGTGCAAGTTTAAATTTTGGAAGTGACGTATACGTAATTTGCATATAAATCTTGTTGTATCCTTATGCTCTTTAAGCAAACACTGTGGAATATCATTCCAATAAACATACACAGCAAAGTTAAAATACAAAATTTGTTTATGATCAAAACGCTAGTTTTTATTTTTTTTTTTAACAAATGGGTAAACATAAATTATATGTTCAAATTATTCATATATACACACATATCAATCTTATAACAAATGTTATTACCAAAAAATATTGATTTATATCAAATATTGTGTATTTTTTACACATAAGTAAACATATAAAATCATATTTCCCGACAAAAAGTTCATCAAGTTGTAAGTTGGCAATAGGATCATTAAAGTCTAGGAATACTTGAGGACTTTAATTTTGGAGGTGTGGCATTCAGTTACCCACACTCGATTTTCACTGTCTACTGCAATGCCCGTGGTGCCTGTAACCCCGCATGCGTCATCAATGAATCCCAGTAACTGACCATATTGGTCCAGTACATGGATCAAATCGTTCCCTGTGTCCACAATGAAAATGTGATATAAAGAATCAGTCGCCAGACATCCTGGTTTAAATTCGGCTATCACGTGACTTCCCGAGTATTTGAATCGAACACTCCCCGATTCGTCGAATACTAACACACTTTTGGCTTGACAGTCGGTAACACAGATATCAGTGTTTTTATTTTCTTCTACGAAAATGGCCAGATCTCCAGGCTTGAAGAAGGGAATTCCGTTTTCGTCAAAATGAATTTCCTGAATACATTTCCTTCCGAAGTATCGCCTGATCAGTTTCTTTGAGTAGTTTTTATTTGACAAACCAATCAACAATTCGCCTTTCGATGTGTAACATATTCCCGAGGGTCTCCACTTCCTAAAACACATCACCTCCTTAACATGTCTGTTTTTCCTTTTAAAGATTTTTCTTTGATAATGATCTGAGTACATAAGTCTACCCTTAAAATCTACGGTAAGGTCGGTCGGACGACGTCCAGATCCGGTTTGAAATATATCTTTCACTGCAAATTCTTCCTCCATGTTCCAGCCTTCAATGACGTCATCTATGCCACTTATCCAGACCTCCGAGGAACCGAAACAAGCCAATCTTCTAGGAACGTCACTTCCGGTTTGTATAGAAGCAACAAGAACTGTTTGCAAGGAACTAGTAGATATTTCCATCGTTTCTTTTTCAATGCAGTTTACTTCCTTTGTTCATTTTAAAACAATTATATAAAGACATATCTACTGGAAAATAAATACCACACTAAAAACTCTTTTTATATTGTCAAGTTGAAGCTATTTAGCTACAGATCTCTACAAGTAACCTCTGGTTTCATCAATGATTGATACAGTGCATATTTTGGGTGTCATTTTGAACAATTAAATTACAACATATGATTGTCCTCACATCTTGTATTTGTTTTACCTACTCAGTTGGTACTTTGTTGGCCAAAAGCACTGTCACTGTGGTTGGATGATCTCTATATTTCTCTCCATTATAAATGGTCGACGAGGACCGCAAGACCAAAAATTTCAAGCAAATACCAATTTGATTTGAATTTCAGTCCACGTGTTAATTTTTGTAACTTTTTTGGGTTAAATGATATATACTTGTCTTCAATCTTCGTCCCCATGTACTGTGTATATACCCAGAGGGTATACTTCGAGATATATCCTTCATGCAAAGAAAAAATTGGATATGCCTGAACTTTCCGATCCCAATCACCTTTTTTTTTAAATTGAATGCGAAATTATACAGAATTTGAACTTGATAAAAAGACTCCGTTTGTAGATTTCAGAAAGCACAATTCAGCTCCATCTGCACACACTACTGGAAAATAATTACACTATACTTTTAATTACTTCTCGCTCAGGACTATCCAGTTTTGCTTCCACTAATCTATCTTTTTTAAATACCATGTTCCTGTATGAAACAATTTATACAAGAAGCGCCGTCAAATCAAAACAAATATGGATACACTATATATGCTCCAATTGAACAAGTACATGTAGCTCGTTCACAATATCTATACATAATGAAAGCACAGCGATATTTGAACGTTTTAAATTTTGTATTATAAAATTCCTTCGTTACTATAAATTAAACTCGAATGCTAAGAAACACATAATTGTTCTCTTCCGCAGATCAAGCAAACAGGAAGAAATAAGAAACGACAATACTCTATAATATATCAATCCTTAGTCATCCAATTGTTAGGCATTAAACAGTGACCATGAACCCATTATACTGGGTTAAAGAATATGTGAGACAGTGTGGGGGCAGTCTTAAAGTACTAGTAATAAATCTGAATTCAAAAATTTTCAAGTTCGCTTTAATTTCTTCCGAATGTCCATTTGCCAGCCAAGCATAGGCGACGAGCTAAAACATATATATATTTAAATAAAACATGCAATATAAATAAAGCAGTATTTCTGGGCGTCCTAAGTTGTATAAAATATCGGGTCTAAACAAAGGACAGACACACTTGATAGATCCTGTTCCAAATAAATGACCTTATATCAACTGATTAGATAAAAAATGTCAAAAACCACAAATATATTTTATGCTAACGCATAGCTAGTTATTAATTAGTAGGCACCACCATGTGCACTGTGCGGGTGTAACAACTTTTCTTTTTGCTGAATTCATCAGAAGAAACTAAGGTTTTTAAAAAGCATACAACTGGCATATTTTATTCAATTTTTCAACTTGAAATAATTGTCATGTAGGAAAATAAGTTTGTCTACATATCCTTTTGGTAGCAGCCTCCTTTGCGAGACGTATTTATGATGGCCGCGCTCATACATCCGGTCTGGCGGACTTGAGGTGGCTGGCACACAGAGGTACGATTTAGCCACACGTGACAAAGTGGTGAATATTAATTGTCGGTTGTTCCACCACAGAAATGGCGAAGTGGTCCTTTGTTCCATGGTGGAATACTGATCAATTTCTGCCATGACACTTTCTTCCTTCGTGACGTCATTGGTTGATGTCTTAGTGCCCACAACGTCTGCTAGCCAATCGTCTGACTTTGAAGGGGTGTTCGAGTCATTTTCTTCCTCACTTTTTAGTTTCTTTAGTTTAGGTTCGCTGTCTTTTGCGTTGTCGACAAGAATAACGGAGTACGAGGTCCCATCTTCTTCACTTCGGACGACAGTTTCTTCTTGGACAGGGGCATCCGTCCCCCGACGGTACAGCTCCGTCGCCACCACAGACAAAACGTCACGGGCAAGTGCCCGTTCTTCCGACTCCACGAAGAGGAGATCTTTGTATCTTGGATCCAGGAAACTTGCAACTAGAAGAAATTTTCTAACACTGGGGTCTGAATAACTTGAATAAAGAGTTTTCCAGATCGTTTCTTTTAAGTGCTTGACAGGCTTCGAATCGCTTTTTTCTGGAGAGAGTGACACCTGTAGTTTTTTGATAATTGGTAAAATCATAGAAGCCGTGATAGGTGTCTGGGAGCACATGAGGTCAACAGCCGACTTGAGAGGTCTTAGCACGGTGCACATGTCCTCAAGTTGTTTGCAGAGAGAAGCACAGTCAATATCGTCAACCTTATCCATCAATGTAATAAGCTCTTTCTGCTCCATCAATTTCGTCAGAATATCGAAGGTGAACAACCAGTTTTGACGATCTAAATTCTCGGTCTGTAATGAACTTGATGGATTGTGTTTGTCTTCACTGAAATTTTTCACCAACTCTTCTTGAGCACGACAGACGTTCTTTATAACGTCTTTGACATTCTTCAACTCCAATCCAGCTCGGGCCGCCTTGTTGATAGCCTCAGCCAAGCAATGAATTCTCTGGACCCCCGGACTACAAGACTGATCAAAGTCGCCAGAAGTAACTACGGTCAAAGGTTCTTGAATATCCCATTTGTTCTGCATTTTTTTCAAATCATTTTTAACGTTGACGCACTCGGGATTTGTAGCTAGATTATATGTTTCCAGATCCCAGGTGCCACCGACTATGTGTACGCTGTATGTGACGTAATATTCCCGCGAAGTCGACATCCATTTATCATACGAAATGGCAACAGCTTCACAGTTTTTCAAAACGTCAGATAAAGAGTGGTTTATAATTTCATAGTGCTGTGAGATAAAAGAATCGCAAAATCGATGGCAATTTTCGCGTTCAAATGTCGGATCGGCTACTGACATCATGTTTACAAATGTAGAATTTTCCACAGCGTCTGGTATCTCCATGCTCTCTATCAGGTACTCGGCAATCATCGTGTTCAAGGAAATCGAAGTCCGCTGGGTGTTTGCAAAAATGTCGGACATCATAGGCTGGAAAACATCCTTCTGTGCACTGGTAACGACATTCTCGCCCTCTGAAGGAATCGACAAAGATTTAGCCATCATATGCACTATCGGTGACGATGCAAGTCCCACTTCTGACAAAGGTCGAGGCTGTTTACTTCTGCCATGACCGTGACGGGCGAGATGAGTATGTAGATTTGTGGTATTTCCAGAATATCGCACGGCTGTCAGACAATGGCGGCAAACAGCATGCGATTTATCGAGATGGCCGTCATCTCCCATATAAAATCCGAAGTCCCTCCACACCGTGCTTTTAGTTTTACCAGGGAATCCATACAGAGTTGGTCGCTCAGATGGCGGGGGATTCTGTGGCAGATGTACAATTTCTTCCCTTTTGATTAAGCTTTCGTCTATCGTGTCTGCCATGGCCAACACACGCTTGTTTGTCTATTTTCCGCGCCTGCGCACATTTGACCTCCGATAAATCGCGATAACGAATAGCACACTGACACTCCTGGCGATCGATCAAACCTGAGAGATTACGGAAGCCACACTCGATAGAGCGCGCAATCGATTGACCTGGATTGCCGAAAGATAAATGTACACAGTCTATAAATAACACAAACTTTTTCAGTGACACGTTTCACTGATCTCTATAATCGTCAAGGTCGGCGATGGCAACAAACGATTGTGTATGCTAAAACTGTGTTTATTATCAACGGATTTTACATCTTGAACGACATCGAATTTTTTCCTGTTCAATATGTACCATCGGTGCAGATGAATCGATGCCATTTAAACAGTTAAAAGAGAAAAGAGTTGGCGGATCAGGAAATATTACACGGACTTTTCACACTGGCGCTCGCTATGAAAGTTTTACCTCCGAGTCTCTATATTATATACACTGCTATAATAAGATGGAAACTGACAATGGAAATACCCTCAATAAAATATAAAAAAAAAAAATGGCTGAAATAATTAAAGCCATATATGGCGTGTGTACAATGAAAATTATTGGACTAAAATTATAAGAACTTATTATTCGTATCATTACTTTATATAAAGATAGAACTTTTCCGTAAATTACAAAATCTAAATCAATTGCGTTATAAAGATATCACAATTTAATTTAGTTGCTTTTGCTTTTTCCTTTGTTCTTAATTTTCTTTTTTCTTTGTCTCGGAAGAAAATACAAAAGATATATATATATATATATATATATATAAGATATATATATATATATATATATATATATATATATATATATATTTCCGTGTTCAGAATTGTATGAAAAGTTTTAATTTAAATGTATCAACTATATTTCTTTACTTAATTTTGTATTTTTCAAAAATATATTTTTTGATCAGTTACGCCATATATGGCTTTAAGCGAATTTAATAAATATTATTTTACTGTATATAATATTACTGCCAGAGTTTAAAAAAGTGACTTCATGAATATACTAGTACCCAGGTATTTTTTTTTTAAAATACTGGTTTCAGTGATGTTTTTCTTTTTAAGAAAAAACACACAATTGAACGAAATGTATACCATCCGGAAACTAAACGCCTATGCTCTCTTCCCGCATAGTCCGAAATATCTGAATCAGACGTTTTCCAGGCTTTTTCTCGATTTCGATATTTTACGTTTCCCTGGCAAGTAAAATATCAAAATCGTTAAAAAGCCATATTAAATAGGAAAACATATTGGTCATAATATTTAATTTTACCATTGTGACCCTCTTTCAAAAAATTTAACCCCGGGGCCTGTTGGACAAATTCAGTATATTTATTACACTTACTTATCATAGGAAAACCCGTGAGAACCCGATTATTTGGGGTTTTAAGAATTTTTTTCCGATGAAAAACATGATAAATAATTTGTTAAAAAAAAAAAAAAAAAAAATGTAAGAAGCTCAAGTCAAGGTTAATTTATTAAGCTTTTTTGTTATTGTTGTTAATTATACAATTTCACTGGGAATGAAAAAAAAATCCTGTATCATACTTGTACGTATCAAATAAAATTAATATTTTTGTTTCTAAGGTATTAATTTAAAATAAGTAATCGTAGTTGAAGGAGAAAATTTTTTATTTCAAAGGGTTTTTCATGAGGATGAAACTCTCGCTTTCAGCTGCTGTGCCTATATATAATTAACGATTAGTTCAAAAAGAGTAAACTTTACTTTAAATTCAGATAGCTCATCTAACATGTCTAAAAACAGAATTACATTTATAACCACAAAAAAGACTAAAATTAACTCAGTAAAATACTGTAAAATTGCACTAGATCTAATGCGTTATTTACATCAATGGGTCTTTTTGACGTCATAAAAACACAAAATCAAGAACGATAAGCGGGTAGTAAATTTATCAAGTGGACAAGTTTAGGTCTTCTTCTTTCTGTTAAGCAAAGGCATTTTTTTTTTTTTTACCAAATGTAATTTGACATTCTTCCGTACCAGTCTTTACGTTTAATAAGTAAAATCGTGTTATGAACCGTTTCGTATAACCTTAAACAAACAATATGAAAATGGGCATGGGTATGAATTTTAAATTGGATCATCTAATAAAGATAAATTCTATGCCTCCACCACAATCAACTTGTAAGTGTACCACCTCCCAATAACAACAATGGAAACAAAGTTCCAACTTTTCACCAAAGAGATTTTTCTCCAACCTACAACAAATTTTGGAGCTCAAAAATCAATAAAATTTTCCATACTTTCATTTTCATTGCAAAATTTTTAAGTCATTATTATTGATTGATAACTGGTCTTGCAACTCTGTTATTTCTTGATGTATAAAAGTGTAGGCAAGGTCCAAAGTACAACCAACAAATGAAAATTAAAACATTTATTTGGTTAGGATTGTCATATTTCTAGTAAAATATCATAATTATGTATTTTCCAAAATATGAACAAATAGCATAAGGATCTTAGTAATACTGTATTTTCCAAATCATTACTGTCCAATATATATAATATCAACTATCAGTCAAATTTTGTCTTTTCTATCATACTGTTGTTCTAAATATATTCAGTAATATTTGTACTCTTAAAGCGCGTTGGATATAAGACAACCTTTATTCTGTCAAACTGTCAAAATACATGATAGTGAGCAAATGTCCAGAAAATTACATGACATTGAATTCAATTTGTGTCTAGATAATTAATGCAATTGCACAGATGTTTCACAAAACAAAAATGCTGCAATGTTTCGCAAAAAATGCAGAAATGTTTCTCAGAAAATGCAGAAATGGTTCACAAAAATAAATAACACTGTGATGTAATAGCAAACAACAGGAAGATACAAAAAAAAAAAGAAAAGCAAATATAATGTACATGTATTACAAGGAATATAATGTGTTTTCTCCTCTTTATAAATTAAGTGCTATTAAAGTTTTTCTTCTTTGTGTAGATATGAAAATTGAAATCTTCATGTAATTCATAACGCAGATCCAAATATTGCCCAAATGAATGTCTCTTTTGATAAAATCTGAGCAAAACCGATAATTGCCACTGCCGAAGATTTGATATTAACTAGAAACAACAATCAAAGGTAACACTGATCAAAGCGTCAACGAGAGTTACTTGTCCTTGGAATTCAAAATTCATACAAACATGATGAAAAAATCATAGTACTAAACATATTGAAAGTAAAACATCAAAGTCACTAACATATCCCTTCATAGGTGACTGAAGGGATTTAATGTCATCATCATCTGATGATGTTATTTCAAACCAAGATATCTGGAAAGGACTGACTCTAATACTATTGACTCAAATGACATTTCAAACTGAGATCTTTGTGAAGGACATCATATCACTGACTAATTATCTGACATTTAAAATGAGTATTTCATTATTTATTACCCTACTTTCAAATATTCAGACTGACTGACTTCAATTTAACAGTTTTTTTTTCAATCATTCTCTAAAATTATTTTTGTTTTTTTTTTTTATATTCCATTTTTTTTAACACTTCAGCAATCTGATTAAAATCTGCTTAGTAAGGGGTAGCATATCAGAACAGCTGATTTTAATCAGATTGACACTTCAGATGCATATTCTAACAGCTAGGTTGTTCAAATGTAAGAATACAAAAACATTACAGAGAGTGGAAGTTTTAAAAAGCTAGTTTGAGATTCAGAAATTTGTTTATCCAACATTTGATTTATAATTTACGCCCACAAAATTATGTTTCCTTTAAATTTGAACTATCATATTACACTTTCAATAAAAATATCAACAAATGAAACATCCAAGAATAAAGTAGAATAGAAGTTTTGAATAATAGATCATACAATTTTTTTTGACAGTACATGGACATGAATTTCCTCTGTGAATTTTAAAAATTAAGATATACTTTACAGAATGTTATTGCATACACAAATACTAGTAATTAACTCACTCAAAATGTTTTGAATAGTATGAAATTAAACTGCTTTTGCCCCAAAACATTTCTTATAAACAGAAAAAACTTTCAATTGAATACTATACATGTATATGCAGCATCCATAATAAAAAAAAATGACTAACTAAACTTTTGTAAGGATTTTAAAGCACCTTTAGTTTTAAATTCCATTCTAAGTACAGTCATTATCTGCAACTTTTTCCTGAAAAAAGTATTAGCCATAATTCACAGTTAACTGACTAGAGCCATCCTCCGAACTCCTATAAGACATCACAGTAGCAAGCAACCAAACACAACATAATAACGGGCCCTAAGCCGAGGCCTGATAATAATCATCTGCGTGCCCCATGTCCTGCTCCGAGACGTTAATAGAGCTGTGTTGATTCACTGACGGCCGAGTGTAGTACGACCCCGAGCGATGGTCGAAATGTGTACTGTCAAAGCTGGCACTGACGCTATCCATGTCCTCGGTCTTCTGAACATTTGTCTGGTAGGGCATGCTCACTGTGTCGTCCTCTGGGATTTCGTCGACTTGATTTTTATAGGAGAACAGAATGCGGGGCTGGGTGTGCCTGAAACAGGTAGAATGGACAGACTCGTATACAATTTACTTAATTTACACTGAATTCACTTTTTTAATGATTTGTAATTGATGTATATGTAGTACATCTAATAAGTGTATTTATATAAATTGACAGAATTTTTACAACAACACAAAATTGTTAAGAGGATGATAATAAAAAGAAAATTTTAAGCTTTCTTGAATAAATTTGATTTATTGTGTGAATACCAACACATGTGCCACTCTGACAGGTTTTTTTTTCAATTATAAAGAGATCAAATCAAAGTTTGATACTTACATAAAGAATTTTCTCAGAAACACTAGGTAAACAAGAGGCACAAAACAGGTGAAGTAGATATAGGATGTCAAGTCAACAACACTGGAACAAAATGATGACAAAAATCATACATTTTCTGATTTTAAACATTTAAATTTTGATACAACTATACGTAGACAATGATAAATCAAAGGCCTGAAGGGCCACAATGGCGCCGCGCTTTAGATATGGCAGTGATACCGTGAAATAATTATATAGCTTAGTTGTACATATTGCTTAGTTGTACATGTATATCTAGACAAAATACCCCGATTTCAGCATTTATGAAACAAGAGGCCCACGGGCCTTATAGGTCACCTGAGTATCATGTAACAACTTTCCAGCGATCGTATTTGGTTCGTGTTTTAATCCAAAAGCCATGAAATTCACAAATTTTGAAAGAGGCACCATTGCTTATCAAAGGGCAGATTTCAAAGCATTAATTTATTTTTAGTCAAAGTACCCCCATGGGACCCCTGACCCAAATGGCCCTGAATTTATCTATTTTGAAAGAGGCCCCTCTCTTCATTATAAGGCCAGCATTTTTTTTTATGTTTAGGTTTAGTTATGAACATGAGAATAAAAAAGTCTCGAAGGAAAAGGAAATAAAAAAAAAATTTTGGATAAATCAATTGTACATTCTTTTTTTATGCTATTCTAATAGGCTCCTTACCACTGGACACATAATGCTTACAAATAGGAAAGTAGAACATTTAATTGCTTATTTCATCATCTGCCAGTTTGGGCCAGTTATATAAATTTTGTGATGTTGGTCAAAATATATTTTAAAAAGTCAATTCTTTAAAAGTCTTTCAATATATCTTCATTTTTTTTAATATGTGTTAGGTGAATGTGTAGACATTGTTCTAAAATTTACTTGATGCCTAAAATTATAATTCCTATCATAAAACAGACAGGGAGTATTGGAGAGTACGGTGAACATTTTTTCAATTAAGTGTAAAATAATTTCTCTGGCTGATACAAATGATACTACATGCCTGTATATATTTGTATATTCTTGCCTTAATAGTTGAATTTTTTTTTATTTCTTCGGGTTATTGTTCATTTCTTCTGACCTCAAATGGACTTACTTCTCCCATAGTTTTATTCATTACATCTGATGCATAAGCAACCCTTATCTGAAGAATGATGCTTAGACTGTAAGCTATGACAGAGACCTAAACAATGTCGCTGGCAATATGCAATAGCTACCACGGGCAGTTTAAAACCTGGGGGAGGAAAATAATTTACAGACAGAAACTTGAAACGAATACATAATTATCTCACCAGCATGTCATTGTGCAACAAAGTCGTCAGCATTTTATTTGTCCTTTGAACGGGTGAAACGTTTTGAATGGCACTCGTATCGATGAATTTTACACTATGTAGATTTATTTACCCGCCGTTTAAAACCGGAAGTGCGAGTTCATAAATTTGAAATCTCGATCCCGACTCATATTTGACATCGGAAAGAAAATTTTTTTTATTTTTTTATGAAAATTCAAAACCTTGAGCGGAGGCTTTGTACAACTGAAAATAAAATAAATCCTGGCCTTAAATATGTATTTAGATCATTAGCATATTAACCAGGAGCAAAGGATAATATGTTCAAAGAATTCATGCAATTCACTATATAATCATTAGAGCCCCACCCTAAAACAAGAACCCCTGATCCTGGGGCCATAAAATTCACAATTTTGGTAGAGGCACTCTTGCTCATCATAACTATGTACTTAGTTAGTTTATTTAATACCCAGGAGCAGAGAAGAAGATTTTCAAAGAAATAATGTATTTTCACTATATAATCAATAGAGCCCCGCCCTAACACCAGAACCCCTGACCCTGGGGCCATAAAATTCACAATTTTGATAGAGGCACTCTTGCTCATCATAACTATGTACTTAGTTGGTTTATTTAATACCCAAGAGCAGAGAAGAAGATTTTCAAAGAAATAATGCATTTTCACTACCTACTTATTTAGCCCCGCCCTAGCACTAGAACCCCTGACCCCAGGGCTATGAATTTCACAATTTTGGTAGAGGACTCAATGCTGATTACAATCATGTAAACAGTTCGATTGCTTGATGTCCAGGAGTAAAGAAGAAGATTTTTAAAGATTGCATTAATTTTAGTGGTTTTGGCCCCACCCCTCAGGCCCCAGGGGGGCAGGGATCATGAAATTTACAATTTTTGTTCCCCTTCACCCATAGATGCTTTGTGCCAAATTTGGTTGAAATTGGTTCAGTGGTTGCAGAGAAGAAGCTGAAAATGTTCAAATGTTAACGCACGACGCACGACGACAGACGAAAACGGATAGCAATAGGTCACCTGAGTTTACTCAGGTGACCTAATAAAAGCATTCAAATCATTTGGTCCAACTGAACGGCTTGAGAACTGGTTTAAATGTGTAGTCACTAGTCAGTACCACGGTAAAATAGTATCAGGACCATACTTGCCAACACCCAAGATGTAAAAATCTGGTCATTTGTGTACATGTATTGATAATTATTCTATTTAAAAAAAGGCTTTACAGAATTATTTACGTACAATGATGAAAAATTATTGATTAAATTGAAAGGTTAAATAAGAACAGTGGTTTTATTTCCAGCATTGACCTGAATTATGGTAAGTCTGCATTAAAAAAAAAGCCTTTTCGGTATGTGCTAACAGGGACCTACATCATGTATATAATAATATATTTGTTTATATATAGGTCCCTGGTGCAATTTTAGAGGATTTGAAATTAACTTTCCTCTCTCATAATTAGGCCTAATTAATTTAATTAACCAGTGTAATGAGTGCTAAATGTACAGTAAGACCTACACTGTTTTCGATCACTTTACTTTATGTAATCAGGTAATGAAAGTTGTTTTCCAAGATTCCTTGACATGTACATAAATATTCTATTGTTTCTCTTTCTCTTAGTTCAATTTGTTCCTTCTGGTCTTGATAACAATCTTGTTCTATCGGAAGCCATTTTAAATTTTGATTTGTCAAAACAATTCCAATTAATTGTTTACACCTCCACCGATAATTTACTGGCCTACTGAACCACATAGCCATCGGCATTCTAGTTTACGTAGATCAAGCTTGGGTTGTAACTGGAAGTTAAAAATACAACCTAATTTACGAACCAAATCTGGAAATCGGGGATTCGGGCGATAAACATGACTCGCCGTGTCATAAAAAATAATCAGGTTAAGGGTCGAAAAGTAACCCGACGAAAGTGGGTGAGTTGTCAACTATGTATAGGACTGTTAAAATTGTATGATTTTTAAGCAATTTATGGAATAAACGCAAAAGTGGCATGTATATTCCTACGCCAGATACATGAAGGTCTTGGTTTGAGTACTATATTATTTGGCGCATGAAGAAGACGGTGAACAGTCAGAGATTTCATCATTGCTATATGTGCGCCGAGCTAAAGCTCGACGCCATAAAAATTGTTATTGATAAAAGTTAGTGTGAACCGATTTATTGATTATAGATACATATATACATATCATATAAACATTAAATGACTTTTACTTTAAAACCCATGTAGATTGAATAGAAAGTGATTTAACATTTAAGGCAAATTCTTTAGGTGTCCCTAACAAATTCTTTTAAATGCAATATTTTAAAAAATAATGGTTATGACAAGTTGTGATAAAAAAAAATTAACTGTTGTAGTGAATTTTTATCACAAAGAGATAAAATACAATGGAATTAACATCTTTTAAACGTAAACCTGACAGACATTCCTTAACCTACCACATTCCTTCCTGGATTTCCCCGTATAACAGTCCACTACCCACTGCCTGACTCAGATTTAGGACGGCAAGAAACGCAGCATAGCGGTAAAATGATTTCTTGGCTGCAAAAATCAAACAGGAACAGTTATATTATACAAACATTACTTGTATCATCATTTCCTTTAAATTTCGTAAATGTCCCAGATATAACACGGATGACCAGTATCAATGTTTACATAAGTTCCATGTACATCGTAAACAGTGTGCAGTTTGAAGTAATTTAAGTTTTTTTTTTGCTGTAGCAATAATTTTTCAAATACTGTAGATCACTTAATTTTCGCGACATCTTATTTTCGCGAGATAGTCATTGACTCTTTATTAGCGAGACAAAATTTTTGCGAATTGTAATCATTGCTTTATACATGTACATGTATAATCTTAAGGAAATATATTATACGTGAGAATTAAATTTTCCCGCGTATGCCGTCTTGTGTAATTATGCAAAAATAAAGTTCTCGCGAATAAAAAGTGATTTACAGTACTTTAAAGTTGTTACAGAGGAGCCTCATTTATCCGGATGCTTTGGTTCCCAGTCAATTTGTCCAGATATGTGAAGTGTCCGGATATCTGAATTACCAGTTAAACAAGACAAATAAAAGTTCAAAAATTCCGTTCCGATGAAAAGTCGTCCGGATACTGAAGCATCCAGATATCTGAAGGTCCACTGTATATGACTTTTATTGAAGGTAAAAATTTGTAGCATTGCATGTTCATCATCAGAAATACTTACGTGGTAGAGACCATCTTTCCTTAAGACTAGTCCAAGGTAAAATAAATATAACAGTGTATACCTACAAAATAAAACAAAGATAATGAATCACTAGTTCACAACGTAATGCAAAAATTCTACAAAACTCCACTTAATTGAAATGGTATTCCTCCTACACCCCTAAAAGTAATAATATACTTCATGTAAATAAAATGATTTTAAAAGCATAGTCAACAGGTTTAATTATCTCTTCTAATATCTTGAACAGATTCATTTGAATAATATCCATCATCTTTGACAAACATGACTACTCACAACAAAGAAAACAAGAGAACTGGTGATCCAGAATATCATTCCTCCATGGGCAAAGATGTCAAAGTTCTGATACGTCTCGTTAGAGCCCTTCTCCACGTGGAACTGGGGGTCTGGATACTCAAACTCTAAAGTCCCCTACAAATGAAAAAAGTTAATTAAACATTTATTAAGCAGATAAGTTCTTTTTTAATTAATTCTAAGGAAGAAAATGTCAGCAACAACTATATGCACAATTTCATCAATGGAGAAATAAATACAATCAGTGAATTTCAAAACTTTCGCAACTCCCAAAATTAAAATTTTTTACAGCCTTTTCCATGATTAATATTTCCTCTCTGATTGAATGAAATTTTGATTTGTGTCATTGCTATGGTTACCTGTGTGCAGGAGTATATAAGGGCTACACATGAAGTCACTAGTAATACTCGCTGTATGGATTTACCACTGTCTAAATGACCTGAAATATATAGCAAAATCATTCATCTCCACGTACACAAATCTGATCTCATATTCTTATGCCTTTTTAAACATAATTGTGTCTTATCATCAGTTAAAATATTACTGTCTTAATATGTAAATATAAAATATGACCTGAACTCTGACTTTTAAGGATTGAATTTCTAGATTTTATTTTTGAAGAACATGAGCAAAACGCTGCAATGTCTTTCACAGGCATACACCCAAGTTAGAAATAACATATACATGTACATGAATCAACAAAAACAACAGAAGAGAACAATGTAAAGATTTTTTTATAATACCAAATGCCAGTCCAAAGACAATGATAGACATCTCTGTGGCAAGAAGGAAGAACCTGAGGACAAGCCATAGGACCTAAAATTTACAACAGCAAAAAAAAAATCATTATGATTGTAATTATCATAAATACACAGAGAGCCTCATTGTCTACATAAAGATTATTCCTCTCTTGAGCATTTCTTACTCATGAACATATATAAGCCTAAGGGATCCCCCCCCCCAAAAAAATTTTTTATTTAACTCCTGTAAACTTGCATTTGAATTCATGAAAATTTTACTCTATTCATTAAAGAAATAACTTGTAGGAAAAATCTTAATTTTATTGTTTTTTCTCCACAAATGAAAAAAAAAATAAGACTGCAACTAAAATATCAAAGTGTACGTTGACCTTAAGTTTAAATAAAAATATTGCTTTAATTTTTTTACCATGAAAACCTCAGTGTGAAATTTCAATGTGATTGAATAATAACTCTCCTATTTTTAGCTGACCTTGTCTGTTATATCTCCAGCCAGAACGGAGGCATTGACCGTCATAGAAACAATACATCTCAGGACACTGATGACCGCCACCAAACACACCTGTCAATCAAAAGATCAGAAAATAAGTAACGATAAAATAAAATTAAAAAAAAAAAAACAAACCAAGAAACACAACTCCTGAAATAAAATTACTTGCTTTTATTATTAAATCAATGTAAAATCTCTTCATCCACTCGTGAATTATTGTTCTTGCAATTAGAAGTTAAAGAGCCATTTCACAATACATGTAATAAGTAATTTCGAAAAACAAGGATTTCAAAATATACACATGTACAGTACTGTTGTATCCATTTGAACAAGGACAGCTGTAAAGTTACTCACCAGAACATAGAAAGCAGTAAATATGGGACTGCTGGTGCTCCGTAGTTTGATTAAAGCTACTCACCAATACATAGAAAGCTGTAAATATGGGACTGCTGGTGCTCCGTAGTTTGATTAAAGGTACTCACCAGTACATAGAAAGCTGTAAATATGGGACTGCTGGTGCTCCGTAGTTTGATTAAAGGTACTCACCAGTACATAGAAAGCTGTAAATATGGGACTGCTGGTGCTCCGTAGTTTGATTAAAGCTACTCACCAGTACATAGAAAGCTGTAAATATGGGACTGCTGGTGCTCCGTAGTTTGATTATGGCAGATTTGGATTTGTAGATCAGAAAAGCCAGAAAGAAAATGTTAGGAATCAAAATAATCAGGTCCCATACTCTCACTCTGTCAAAATATAATATATTAAATGTATGAAATGTTTCGTGAACATTTTTGAATCAATAATTTTATCATGTGTAACTAATGTTTCATTATCATATTAACTTGTACAATTCAATATTTACTGCAGAAATGCACCACTCCCCTACTTTTCCGACAGTAAAGAGAATAAAACTGAGAATTATTTTTTGTCACATTGTGTCATTTACTTCACTAAGGCATTTGCTGGGTCCATGAAATATTAAAAAAAAAAAATAATAATGAGAAACTAATACTAAAAAAAATAGCCAAATCATTTTCTATAGAAAAGTTTGATTTTTTGACAATTAAATTATAATCAGTACAATCTCTGTATATATATATTAATTTTTTTTACGATTAAATCAGTACAAAGACTGAGTACCTTGATTCTCCAATATCATCGTACAGGATGGCCTGACAGACAGGCTCTGACAGGGTGAAGGAGGGGATGGGGGTGTCATTTCCGGAAAACGGAATAACCCCCGGTGTGGTCGTCAGATTGTTCTTTATGGGTAAGTTCCCAGATCCCTGTCCAATATCTGCCGCATTGCTTCCCAGTGACAACTTCAGATGATCAGACATGGATACTGTTGGCTACTTTAACCTACAATTTGTCAAATGGTGATTTTTTGTTCCTAAATTAACTCCTAGCTTCGTAGGAAAATTTATTTCTTTTAAATAAATAATGATTATCAAATATATTGTCAATGTGAAATTACAGAACTTTGACCCGCAACAGCAGTTTACCATCTTCAAAGTTTAATACAGTAAACATGGTAAACTATACACACATGCAGAAAAATTTTTAATGCATGTGTAGCGGACAGTATATAGGGAACTTATACTGCCTCGCCAGTGAGCTAGCTTTTCTGGTGATGCGGTAGAGTCTCCCTCTATTTCAGGCAAGTTAAGCAACGACGAGCCTGTTTAATCCTTGGATGGGTGACTGCTTCACGTTACAAAATTGGTGGCAGCGTAGTGACTCTGGGTGTCTGGTGTCCTGCTTCAGGAAGTCTAAGAGCTAGGACTTAGTGTCCATAAACAGACTTCGTGTTTGTGGACGGCAGTGGTTGCCGTATCTGATGTCAGGTTCCGACCTACTTCAGGAAGCTCTAAGACTAGGAATTTGTGTCCAGGTACGGACTTCGTGTCCGGGAACGGCATTGGTTGCCGTAGCTGAAGGGGCCCAGGTACTCAGAGAGAACTCATGCTAAGCTTCGGGTCGAAGCTTACCTGAGCGGGGGGAAGTGTAGCGGACAGTATATAGGGAACTTATACTGCCTCGCCAGTGAGCTAGCTTTTCTGGTGATGCGGTAGAGTCTCCCTCTATTTCAGGCAAGTTAAGCAACGGCGAGCCTGTTTAATCCTTGGATGGGTGACCGCTTCACGTTACACATGGTTTGGGGGGGGGGGGGGGGGCTTGCTGAATTGATAGCACGTGACATGTCAAGCCAAGGTTACTTAAATTTTCTTTTCCATGCTGTATCTGAATTTATATTTAAATAATATTTACAAATGGATTCTTATATATTTTAAAAAATAAATTTATAAATATTAATTTTTTTTAAAATAAATTAATACAATTTTAGAATTCTAGTTAAATATTTCCAAATCTTTAATCTCTAAAGTTAATTTTTTTATGTTATATAAATTCAGATGAACTTTGAAGTCTATTTGGAAAAGGGAGAGAGTAGATATTCCCCCCAAATTTATCAAACTGAATATGGGAGGAGGGTCAACGTAAAGAGGGGGTCATATATTTCATATTTCAGTTAGTAACCTTCCTTATTCGTCAGAATTTGAATTGAAAAGCATATATTCTAAAATAATACTACACTGAATGTTTTACCTACGGTAAAAATGTTTCTAATTAGTCATTTTTCCTGAATTACGTCAAATTTTGTTTGGCAAACACCACCACTGCTTCCTGACTATGGAAAGTATTTGTACCATCCCGAGCTCGATCCTATTGACAACGTATCTTTTAAAATTCAACTAATTCAAGAGGTTGATAAGAATATTTTGACATATTTACTCACTCTTTAACTGTTTTTATTAAAATATTCATTTCGATATATTATAATATATTATTCGGTACACCAAACTAACAAAATTGATTTAATGCATCGGGTGTGAAATACTTTTGATTTCAAAGCTACTTTCACTTTAAACAAATTGTTTAGTGTCGTTCAACCAAACTAAAAATTGTTTAAAAACAAACACTTTGTCCCAAAATTGCATAGTACTGCAAGATTAGAATTGCGAAGGAGTGATGGAATCACCAGAGCTTAGCTGATATTTACAACATTTTATTCTAAAAAGTATCATGAGCTGCTTCAGTGGCAAAATGCGGGAGTACAGAAATATCTCTTTAGACAGATTTGATGGCTTAAACCTGAGATCAACAGCATACTTTCTGTCTCACTGTCATTGTGGTGAGTACTTAAACAATAAAATGCTTTCTTTGTTATTACTGGAATGAATGGAAGCAGCTGTTGCAGAAAAAATGGAACACTTCTAGTATACCGGTCCCCATAAATATGGCGCTAAAATAGGTGCCGCCGAAGGCGGTGTAATTATATAGGATCGACAAAATCGAAAAAGAAGCCACAAATTGCATCAAAAATCTTTTTTAAACACAGTTTTTTAAATGAGAATGGTACTTGTTTAGGAAATAAATCTCCATCTTGCGTTGTTTAGGAATGTAGTCACATGATCAATTTTTGACGTAATCTCATAAATATTCATGAGATGCGTCACTTGTGTTTTGAGTAATAAGAAATGCCTGATAGAACAATATTAAAATTGCTGATTTTTGTGAAATTTTTAGCTTTACTAGTCATCGATGGATTGAATTGTGCATCATTATCGATTTGGAAGAAAAAATATTCTGAATATTTGAACATGATTAGGAGGTCAGGATATCGAGCTGCAGTTAACGGTAAGTTGCTTTTGGAATAACTTGCCTAAACTAAGCGCTGAAAATCGTCATGTTTCGACAATAGAGTTGATTTACCCTAACTTTTATTTCTTAAACTTTCCTTTGTAAAGCAAAAATTTCATGAACTAAACCAAAGTGTAAGAATGACGATTTTATTGCTTTCATGCAAGTTTTTGGTCACAAAAGGCACTCATAGTGCCTTTTGTAAGCAAAAATTACATAAATTAGCCCAAAGTCTGTTTTTATAAAACAACCCCAATTTTAAAAACTATATAACCTATAATCACTCGATTAAGCGAGTGGGAAATAATTTTTAACTGCTCATGCGCAATCGCGTGATTCTGGTGACCGGCATACTAGAAACTTCCCGAAAAAATACATAACCCGCGTAAGCGGGTTATGTAATTTTTTTCACCGTTCATTCCAGTAATAACAAACAAAGAAAGACATTTTATTGTTTATATTTATATCTGTTTAAATAATCAATTAAAGTAGGATTAAAAAGATTAATTAATATTGTATTAATGATGCGAACGTCTTTATACGTTTCATTGATGGAACAGCCACTGATTAAGAAATCTGTACAGGTGACATGCCAACTGTAGTTTATGCAGTGATGAACGCAATGGGGTTTCTTAAGAAATAAAGGAGAAAATATTCAGTGGATGTAAATATAACAAAATAATCAATATACTACACTGTATTTATTCGAAGAACTGCTTCGGTTTTACTTTATCCTTCCCCCTCCTTCATTCCTCTTTTCAACATTGGAAATAAAACGTAGAACAAATATATACCTAAGCCAACTTTGATTCATACATTTAAAGAGAATTAAAAAAAACTTTACACAAAGGTTTACCAGAATAAAAAGCTTCAATTTGGAGACAAAACAAATACCCCTGATTACCTGGTAGTATACAAATTATCAGCTGTCATATTATTGTGTTTGTATGTATCAATCTTGCTTGTTTTTTGCAATTGACTGTGATGCCTGCTAAAAAGGACCCAGATTTGGGAATAAAGAATCTTATAGTGAAAACCATTTAAGTGTTTGAAGACCTTCAAGATTCAAGATACTTTATTTACCAATCAGGGGCCATGAAAGACATTCCAACATTTGTTGATCATACAAAATAAAATTTCAGATCACATGCAAGGACTTGCTTATCCAGAATTTACTGAAAGGTTGTCCTCAAGGTAGGAGATAATATTATATATTTTATATTATAACATCGATTCAATAAAGTATGGAGTAATATCATGAATTTAATGCATGTAGCTTTATGTATATTTATAGAGTGAAGATTGCTAACTACACTTTTTTGCTCTGAAATAATTTAAGCTTCACAGGTTCAAATTAATGATTATGCTTCAAAACTTTTGAATCTTGTTATTCTAATTTTATTTATTGTAAAGGAGACATAATCAAAAGTAGTGGACTTAAGCTTTTGCTGAAGTAAAAATTCAAAATGCAAATCAATTTTGCATCTTTTTCCTTTTCAGAAATGACATTTTTCTCTACTGCTCAGAGGTCACCAAAATTCTACTCATGGAGAAGCATCCTAAATTAGAGAAGTTTGTTGTAAGAATTCAGAAAATTATTATACAGTGTTTTCCTGCACCAGGAATCTTTGACTTAATTCAATTATCATCTCTAGTAATTTTTATAAAATTCATCTGTAACACTTTATATACCAAAGATGGTAATCTTTCATATTTAAGCAGACTTAACTTTATTATAAATTCTTTCCAAATCTTGTATAGAGAACTCTACCCGTGGCTGAACCCACCGTCATCCCAATTCCAGAACCTGACAAAGCTAAAGTAAGGCTTTGTAATTTATATGTAGATGAAGTAAGATGAAGTAAATGATTTGCAAAAATGTAACTGAAGATGGTGAAAATCAAATTCTTCTGATTTAAAATATTGTATACATGTACAGAATTTATATTAATTGAATAATAGATGACTTAACACACTTAATGTTTGATCCACAGAAAGACAAGGTGACAGTGACTCTGATACATGCCAGTCATTGCCCGGGGTCTGTCATGTAAGTAATTCAGTTTACTTTACTTTACTTGCTTTTGTCCTCAAACACTAGTCGAAGATTTAACAATTTTTTTTAAATGTTAGATTCATGGAAATTCATGACATTTCCATTGTTGTGCATGTGACTGTATGTTTCTTGGATAGTGTATTGTTTATGATTGTTTGTAATGGCAGGTTTCTGTTTGAGGGATTTGATGGGACTGTACTGTATACAGGGGATTTCCGATGGGAATCTGACCAAGTCATGAAAATACAGGCACTCCATGTTGACCAGAGGTAGAAATGTCGTATAACATATAACTCATCTGTTCCAAAGGAAAAGTAGCATACATTATAAATAAGATACCACTACTTGGAAATTAACTTTCTTTCAAATGATTTATTTTACTACAAGTTTATTACATGTAAAAGAGTATATCTATTTGAATTTTATGTTTTTATCACATACCGTATAATGGGTATTTTCTGCGGTTGTCCAGTTTTTGCGGATAGGACAAATCCGCAAAAATTACAATCGCAAAATATTTTACTATGCCTTCAGGTATTTCAAACATGCAAGTATGTGTCTGCAGACTCATGCGTGGACATGTCTTCGTTCGCGAGAAAATTATGAGATCTTTAAAAATCTTCTTCTCAAGAAACTGGGCACTCTGAAACTTTTGTGGATAGATGCAAACAAAATATGACAGTTTTTCTTTCTTTCTTATTTTCCACTTTTCAATTTTGTGCTTTGTCTTGAGATCGTGATTAATATTACCGCTTGTGTATACAACGTGGTTTGATTGTCTCGTGAATTTCATTCCAATTAGACCACTGACAGTATTTTACACCTCAATGCATGACACGTGCGATCTATGGGGTGGTTGATTATGCAACTGTTTGTTTTAGCTTAAAATGAAACTCCCGAATGAATTTTGATGGCAATTAATTATAAGTATATTTTAGATTATGGCTTGGAGGTATCAATTATCATTATCTATATACTTTTTAAAATTATTTTGATAGATCATATTAATGAACGTCTGCGGTGTTAGATTAAAGATTTTAATTATTGTTTGACTGGACAAGTTCCGTTGCTACAATAAATAATTTCAGGACTAGGCATAATTTTACAAGAGTGACTAAAAGCTAGTAGTTTAATAGCGCAATACCTGTTCTCATGCACGTTTCATTCATGTGCCTGAATGAATTTACAAAACGTAATCATGGCAGTGTTCTAATAAATCTTAGAGTTTGGTGATCCTATACACCCCGTGTATAATTTTTTGCGGTAAAGTGCAACCGCAAAAAATGAAAATGCACAAATTAATTTGCTACCTTTTAGGGGTTAAATCGCAAAAATTTCCAACAGCAGAAAATACCCGTTATACGGTATTAAAGTCATTATTATAATAGTTTGAAATTATGTATACATGTAGTTTATGAAGGGAACTTATTTCAAGAGACAGTTGTTGTCTCATGAACACATATTTGTTGATTTCAATAAAATTATCCACAAAGTATCCTGGATTATTAACTAAAGGTAAAGGATTTTTTTTAATAAAAAGGAAGATCCAAGCCACAGACAGATCGATGCATGTAAATTAAACTCTGGATGAGTTTTTTTAAAAACTCTGCAAAACAATAAGGATTATACAAATAGTAAAACTTATATAAAACATACTTGTATGTATATGTAACAAGTAATTTATAAAGTCAAGTTCTTTTTTACAGTTCTTTTATTTTAATTAAATTATCATATTGGCAATGAGCTACAAACAAACAAAAATATATACACACATTACCAAAAGAACAAACAAACAAAAATAAAAGAATTAATCAGTATATGAATTTATATTCAACTGAACACATACCACCAAAATATGGTGATGCCATCAAACTCCAACTCACCCACAAACTCGAACACCTTACCATGTTACATTCAACACAGGGGCATCAGCTTAGTGAGTATAAATAAATTACTTGATGAACCAGTTTAAATCTTAGAGATTTACTCAACAAAATAATTATTTTATAAATTCAAATCACTGCACTGAAAATTAACAAAAAATAGAAAACAACGAAGTAAGATTAATATTCAAATATAATTTTTATAAAGTTTTTAATAATATAATCTCTAAATAAAATTAAATACCTGGCACAAGGACAGAAACTCTATAAATAGACTCGGTTTAAAAAGTATGGTGCATGTTTCATGTTCTTTTAATATGCACAAAATCAACCGTTACATATATATGTATTAGCATTCCTATGTTGCATTAAGTTAGTAAAATGATAGTTCGCAATCTACGTAAAAGTTGAATGTTTAAAAAAATTTGCCTTGGAGGTTTTATGGCCTATATAAGCCTTCTTTTGGATATTTACTTTGAAATTTGTAATTATAATGCTGACACACTTTTCTCAGGGTGAAGCCTTTGGTCAGTCTCTATGTGGACACCACATTTTGCCACCCCAACAGTTTCTCCATCCCCTCCCGCCAGACCATTATCAGCGCCGCCTGTGACCTAGTTAAGGAGTGGACTGCCAAGGGGAATAACTACGTTGTCCATTTCACCCCCAGAGCTAACTACGGACATGAGCCACTGCTTAAAGAGGTTGCTCAGGCCCTGGGCTGTAAGGTTAAGATCACTTTAAAAAAAAAAAAAGAAGGGAATATTTTATTATTAATTATAAAGTGTCAATTTTTTTTTTAATTTGACATTCATAGTTTATGGGGATTAAGTTAAAGATTTGTCAGTAACATGCTTAACATAGTAGCATTAATCTCGCAATAGTGATAAGTTAAGAGAAAAATTAAAGTTAAAAAAAAAAACAATAAGGAAAAAAAAACTTTTATGTATGGTACAGGATACAACTGTTTCTGTTGAAAGTTACATAAGTAATGGTTTAGTTTTACACACATGTATGCATTGTTTACATTTGCAAATAAATGTATTCGTACATGTTGTCTATTTCGTACATTTCTTTGTAGGTTCATGTCAGAAAGGATAAAGAGGATGTATACAATCAGATGTCAGAGCTACGAGGAATATTTACTTCTGATTCCGCAGCCACATGTATCCATGCTTGTGGAGGAAGGGTAATGAATTCTTATCTTATTTCCACTTTAACAGGGCATAGTAATCCGAGCAAAGGCATAGATTAGTTTTATTAGTTGGTCAGCGAAGGGTGAGGCCCTGATATAAATGTAATGTGAAGTCTTTTTTTTAGCTCTACTGGTCAGAGACCAGAAGAGCTTATGTGATAGTAATGTGTCCGGCGTCCGTCCGTCTGTCTAGCTGTCTGTCCATCTGTCTGTAAACAATTTTTCAAAATGCTACTCCTCCTACAATTTTTGTCTGATTTCAATATTACTTTGAACACAAGTAGAATGCACTAAGATACATAGAATAGTGCATCGGTTTTTGATTTCGACGTACGGTGTTGCCATGGTTACTAAAAATAGAAATTTCTGTGAAATTCCTTTAAAATGCTACTCCTTCTACAGTTTTTGTCTGATTTCAATATAACTTGGCACACAAGTAGACTACACTAAGATACATAGAATAGTGCATCAGTTTTTGATTTCGATGAACGGTGCTACCATGGTTACTAAAACTAGAATTTTCTGTGAAATTCCTTTAAAACGCTACTCCTTCTACAGTTTTAGTTTGATTTCAGTTTAACTTGGCACACAAGTAGACTACACTAAGATACATAGAATAGTGCATCGGTTTTTGATTTCGATGAACAGTGTTGCCATGGTTACTAAAAATAGAATTTTCTGTGAAATTCCTTTAAAACGCTACTCCTTCAACAGTTTTGGTCTGATTTCAATATAACTTGGCACACAAGTAGACTACACTAAGATACATAGAATAGTGCATCGGTTTTTGATTTCGATGAACGGTGCTACCATGGTTACTAAAAATAGAATTTTCTGTGAAATTCCTTTAAAAACGCTACTCCTTCTACAGTTTTAGTTTGATTTCAAAATAAGTTGGCACACAAGTAGACTACACAAAAATACATAAAATAGTGCAAAGTTTTTGATAAGTACAAACCAGTAGAGCTACAGTCTCAACAGAGACTTCTGGTTTTATAAAGTTTCAGCTTTTGAATTGTTTAAGTTATTTAGATGACCTATGCACTCTATCTATAAGATAAAGCATTCTCATGTATCTTTTCTAGTACTAGTCTATCTTGCATCATTTGTAAAACTTGCAACACGTACTTTACCAAAACAAGTCTTTGACCTAACTTCTCCATTTAACCACAGGTGCTTGAGGACATGTACTGAAGAAAATTCTGTTTTAGGTTTATGGGGAAGTCCCTTGTCTTCCATGTGACAAGAAAAATAAAAACCTGAAGGTCATGGTCATCCTTCCGTCCACCATGTTTTTCACCCAGTCTTTCCGCCTGAGTGAAGATGAGATCGTTCTCCGTGACAAGGGAAAATATCGCATCTGTTACTCCTTCCATTCGTCAATGCTGGAGGTGCGTGACCTAGTGACCTACTTACAACCAAGACGTGTGTTTCCTAATGTCAAACCCGCAGAAGATGCCAGTTTAGCAGAGGTAGATTCTATTGAATTATGAATAAGAAAAACAACTCTGAAATTTGTTAGAGAAGTTCTTAAAATTTGTAAAATTATGAAGTACATCAAATTTGAAAAGAAAAGAGAATTTTAAACAGGACAACAAGAGATCAATTTAGGAAATAATAAATTGGTCATGTGGGACAATGTTCATGAATTTAGTTGGTCAATTTTAGCAACAAGTTAATATCTACATGATCCTTTATTTCAGAAATCAAATGTGTAGATTAATATACCTGTATCTACTAATAATTCAGTTACACACAAAAAACCTCTCAACAAACAAATTTACAAGTAAAAATTTGCTTGACTACAGACATTGATCCCAATAAATTAAAATGATTCCACAATAATCAGTCATGCGTTTTACTTTTAATTAAATTCAATAAAACAATCTTTTTTTATTAGGTACAGAGAAGATTAAATGAGTTTTTGAAACTAAAGCACAGCTCTCATGTGAGAGAGGAACTGGAATCACAGCGCCCTCTAGGATTATTACGACAATCCATCAAGAGGAAAAGACACAGAGTTTCAGGTATGTTCTTAACTTGGATAAAAATATTTACATTGGTGAGGACCATGAGGCAAATAACACAGATTCTTAAACAAATGACTATCTAATGACTAACATGTTTTACTCATTTCAACTTTAATTTTAGAAATGTTTATATACAGGTATGAATAAAATTTTTATTAACACACGTATAGCATCTCTCACATCGTATATATCTGTGCAGAACACTCTAAAAATATTTAATGACTACAATGTACACGTTTTCCAGTTGCCTCTAGTGATTCAGAAGAACTCTTGTTTGGAAGCCAGATTTCTTTCTCCCCCAAAAAGCAAAAATTCTTTACTGAGTCCCCTGCTAAAAATAGAATCACAGAGAGGATGGAGGACGAAGAAGAATATCAGAGCTCTTATGAGGGTAGCTGTCATAGTGACAGCGAGATGAGTGGAATTTGTGAGTCAGATGAGGAAAATCAAAAAGAGAAGTAAGTTCCTAAAAATGTGCATGTATTTATAAGCAGTCATCTTGAAAATTTGTCTACATGCAAGGTCTGCAAAAGAGAGAATCTGATATATATAATCTAACATTTGCCCTGTAAATTGATTGTTTGCCAGTAAATCATTTAACAAAAGATTTACATATTTCCGCCATGTATGGAAAATATATTTGTTCTGTCTATGCAGTTCCCAGACACTATCCACTCCAAGACAAAGTCTACTGGACGCCATCAACTCTCAGATAAACAGCCAATCAGAGAGCTTGTCTCATAGAATTGTGTTGTATGATGATTGTGAACAGACTGAGGGAAAAGCTCTCTCATTGGAGGAAGTCAATCAACAGCACCAGTAAGTCTTTAATGTTAATTTAATGGTTACCTAGTATTCTAAAGTGTTTATGTCAAAATTCAAGTTAAAAATATTCAGTATAAACAAAATTACCTATCTTTAAGTAAATTTTAAAAATATTCATCATAAGGTTATATGAACCCATTCTGAAACATTTATATTCCGACTGAAGTTAACATTAAAACATTTATATCTTTTACATTTAAGTGTTACAGTAGTAAAGAAGGGAAAAGTAAAATTCAATGCCATAAACAAATGTTAGAATTGATTTTTTAATCAGAGACGACGAAGAAGAAAATAATGAGGATGAATCAGATCAAGACACAAACAGAAAGAGTGACACCTGTACAAGTCAAGAATCAGAAGCTGTAAATGGAGCCAAGGAGGGTACTGATTTGACAAAGCTAAATGATAAAGAACAAGAGAATTTAAAAGAGGGTGAGTCCAAAGAGGGTAAAACCACAGCAGGAAGTTTAGAGTCCAATATGCAGTCAGGAAGTTTTAGTGGGAGCAATGATTTGTTTGATGAAAAATCTGATGAAAAGTGCAATACTCTGAGTGATAATGGTAGCAATGTGTGTGATTTACACATCTCCCCAAGCGACTGTGATAACCAATCATATTCACCATCTGTAGCTCCTAATTTAACACAAGGATCAAATAATGGCATTGTCTGTGATATTCCAGAATCTCAGGGATTTATTGCTCATGTGATGGACTATGATAAAGTGGACTTAACTCATTCTGCTGATAATGATGATTCCCAGAGAAAAATTGAACTGATTGATTCTAAGAATAATGTGATTATTATTACAGATGGAAGTGCTTCAACAGGAGAAGAAAGTCATTCAACAAGTTCCTCACAGGAATCAAGGATCTCCATTGACGACACAGGAGTAAGGGGGACTGAAAATGAGGAAGATAATGATAAAAGTAATTGCCACCAAAACAAGACTCAGTATTCTTCTAAAAATGGGGAATCCCTAGATGATGTTGAGGCTTTATTTGAGGTTGAAGATTCTGATGATGACATTGAAGTAGTTGAAGTGTCTACGTCTGTACAAAAGACAGGCACCAGTTTACCAGATGTTCCGGGGAGGAGTACCAGTTTACAAGAGGAGTCGGACAGTGACGCAACACTTCCACCCAGTCAGAATTCCTACACAGAATCACCACTCAAAGACAGAAAATATGTAGCAGAAAACTGTGTGGAAATTCTTGAAACAGAAACTGAAAGTAATCATTATAGAGGGAATCAGACGCCGAGAAAACTTTATCAGCCCTCGATTGATTTTTATATTTCACCATCCAAAGATTCACCAGAAAAGTGTAGTCCCAGCATTGTGAAGAGAAGAAAGAAATCTAATGGTTGGCTGAATGCCAGTAACAGGAAGTTAGTGTATGTTAGTGATGAGGAGGAGTGTAGTGGTAATGACAAAGTGGTGGATCTAACATTAAGTAGTGATGAAGACAGCTAACAAAGTGGTGGACCTAATATTTAGTTTTGATAAATACACTTGAGAAATGATGGAACTCTTTCTACATTAAACAGAGATGGAAACATAAAAAATTATGGTGGAACAAACTTCAGTAATGATGGAGGAAGCTGAGTAACAAAGAATCACAAAATTCGAAAAATTCAATAGTTTATATCTGATTCATTTATAGTTTTGTTGGATTCCTTGTCAGAATGTTTGTGTGTTTTTTTTTAAATTTTCTCTTCAAGGTTTTTTCACATTTTGCACAGATCTGTGTCCCGGTGATTATCATCTACCTCAAATATTATAAACTAATTTTGTATATAAAATACAGATTAATTAATTAAATTGTCATATATTTTTATGATGTATAACACACATGACTACATGATGTATGGTAAATTATTTTTGTACATTATCAGCTTATTGCATTATTGCATCAAATAGTAAATTTAAAGATATTTTCCCTTTTTTTATGAATGCGTGAACATTGTCAGTATTAATATTCTAGTCAAATAATTAATTTCCTAGACAAATGTATCTATAGGTATTAAATATATGAATAACAAAATTTTGGGGTTTTGTTTGTTAGTTTAAGGTTATTCCTCTTGAGAATTTTTCAGTCATCTGGAGACGCCACTACTTGCCGGTGGAGAGCTGCAAATTTTGTCCTATACTCAGCACTCATGACCAGTGAGGGATCTTTATCATGCTAGCACCTACTGAGACACAGGACCTAGGTTTATACGGTCTCATCAGAAGGACTAGTCTTCACATCCCTCATTGGTATTTGACATAAGGATCCTTACTCCGCAACTTTAGAGCAAATGCTCTAACCTCTGCACCACATGGGCTTGTGTTTGGTTAAATTACCATCTTTTTGAATTGAAAACGTCTTATTTTTATATGGATGTTTATTAATTATTGTCTCTTCATGGTCTTCATGGATGTTAAAAAAGTGCAGATTATAAATCTCAATTAAGTGATAAAAACGAAACATTAACAGGACAAAATCACTATAGGGTTTGTTTGAATATTTTATATTTAATAGCTGCTGCTTTAATGAATAAAAATTCTCTTCCAGTTCTCTAGAAATTTATTGCACATAATTCATTGTTATTTCAGTCAAAAGTTGAAATGTTCCTTGTTGGAAGTTTCAATAATTGAAGAAAATTGCACTCAAAAAATGATTTTAATCGCCATCTTCAAATTGAATTGATGGCCTTGACCTCTGATCTTTTAAGTTCATCGATAAGGAGTTTTCGTAAGACCATTGGGAGCTGTGATATAAAATTTTCAGCAAATTAAGGTCTATCAGTTTCTTGAAATATCGTCTGGAAACAAAAGTGTCACAAACACAATTCAGATCATAATAAAATTTGACACATATACAGCCTACACAAGTTCTGCAAAAAGCATATCTTATTGTTTTACTTCACGTTTCGTAATGTGAAAATGACGTCAATACGTGTTTGTTTGTATGTTGTTTAACGTCCCTCGAGAGAATTTTTCACTCATAAGAAGACGCCACCACATGCCGGCGGAGAGCTGCAAATTTTGTCCTACTCTCGGCACTTATGGCCATTGAGCAGTGAGGGTTCTTTTTCGTGCCAACACCTACTGGGACATGAGACCTTTATGAGTACGGTGCCCACCTCCCACAGTTAGTATCAACTCCTGACTTAGAATAGAATATATTTTATTAATCCAGATCAGGGCCCTTGTGGGCATATTACATACATGATTATTAAACAGAGCATAGTTATTAATAATAGTTATTAACAAGGTGTGATGTAAAAGTAGTATTCAGCATATTCTTAGTACACTACATGTATATACTTTATCAATTTAACGTTACACATGACATAGACTGTAGAGTAGACGCTCTAACCACTGCACCACATCAAGCGGACGTCAATATGTAGATGACTTGTATATATATATATATATATATATATATATATATATATATATATATATATATATATATATATATATATATATATAAAGCACTAAAGATGACCAACGACACGAACAATAAAAAAATTGTCAAACTTTCGGGACGCCCTGTCCCTTCCTCAGGACAAAGAAAAAAGTTAAAAAGTCATAAGAACAAAGGAAAAAGAGAAACAAAAACAACTAGCACTACTACTAAACTACTAAACACTAGATATGGACAACCCATTACCTAACGGGGGCTTTAAAACTTGCTCTGACAGAAGATGTCTTCTTTGTAAGCACAGCACTGACACAGACAGTTTTAACAGCCCTGTTACAGGCCGCAGCTACAAAATACTAGGGAATTTGTCCTGTCATACTGACAACTGCATTTATCTAATCAGTTGCAAAGTTTGCTCCAAACAGTATCTTGGTGAAACAGGAGATCTCCGCAGGAGAGTCAATAACCACCGTTCGACCATTAGGACCAAAAAACTCAATGAACCCGTTGGGGAACATTTCAACCTTGAGGGTCACAAATGGGAGGACATGACAGTAGTGGTGATTGACCATAACCCAAGATGGACAGATGCTCAGAGAAAAAGCAAAGAAAAGTTCTGGATGCACAGATTGAAGTCATTCCGCCCTAATGGTATTAACAAACTGAATGACTTCACCAGAATGAACGTAAACTAGACCCAATTCCTGATGATACTAAACAAGACTATTCTCTCAATTTAGTGTAAACTCTACAGTTAATTTGCGTCACCAACTCTCGAACAACTCTCATAACTATGTATTGCTTACACCTTTGTTAATTATTTTTTCAAAATTATATTTCAAAATTTATAATTGATCATAATTCATATGTTTAAATATCCCTGCTATATTATTTTTCTTCGATTATTCTTTATTAAGTAAAGTTACGCCATTTTGAGAGAATGAAACAATGTACGATTTACTGATTGTTGTAATTAATTAGCATAATTAATTCGTTCAATTATGTAAATCGCACTTCACCCGAGTATACCCGATAGACCGGACGCATTTCATAGCGTTCCGGATTTCTTTCTTTATTAGTGTTCTTAAAAATTTCCAATTCATCATGTAATTAAGTATGTAAATATCTAGTGTTTAGTAGTTTAGTAGTAGTGCTAGTTATGTTCCCCAAACGAAGTTGGGGAACATATTGTTTTTACTCTGTTTCTTATTATTATTATTATGTTCCCCAAACGAAGTTGGGGAACATATTGTTTTTACTCTGTTTCTTATTATTATTAAGGTCTTCCGTCTTCAGCGGAAGACCTTCTTGTTATTCGTTTGTTTCTTTTCCACTGTTTTTCTTATTATTTTTTTTCTTACCGATTTTGTGCACGCGATTTCTCGAAAACGGCTCGTTGGATTTTAATGAAACTTCCAGGTCTAATAGAACATCAAAAAATCTCAATACCCTTTTTTTTATTTTGATGACGTCACTTCCGGTTTGGAGATTTTCGCAGTTTAGTGATTTTTAAGGGTCAGTTTGTCCGTCGCTCTTCTTAAAAACCGCTCATCACAGGAAGATGAAACCTTTTGAGGAAGATAGAGCAACATATGTAGATTTGCATTGTGTTGTTAACTTTCACCGGAAGTACTGCACGTTAACGCTCGGTATTGACTGAAAAAAGTCATATTGAGCGTTTCAAAATTTCTTACACTTTTTCTATTATATCATTTTACTTGTAAATATTTTGTTAAAACATATAGAACAAAAGTTGTCAAGAATTCCGAGATCTTTTAATTGATATCTCGAAAAAAGGGCTGACCCCTAAAATTAGGGATCTAGAGGGGCCAAAAAATTTTAATTGATATCTCAAAAAGTATTGAGATTTTGTTATACGTCAAAGAAGCAAAGTTGTTCAAAATGTCAAGCTTAATCTATTTGTGTCATCAAAATACGTACGGCGTCATCACTTCCGGTCAAACCGGAAGTAGTCAAAACCGCATATTTTTGCCGTTCTTGTCAAGTTTTGGGGTAACATATGTCTCTGAGAGCATAAAAATTAATTTTCCGTCCGTCGTCATCACTTCCGGTTAAACCGGAAGTAGCAAAAATTTGCATATTTTTGCATTAATTAACATAGCCTTAGAGGATTCAAATCATTTTTAGGCGTTATTTCTCATTTTTGTTAAAAATGAAAGCTACTTCCGGTCAAACAGGACGGAAGACCTACTCGTTGCTTTGCAACGAGCTCGGCTCTAGTTATTATTATTATTATTATTGTTTTTTTTTCTTACCGATTTTGTGTACACGATTTCTCGGAAACGGCTCGTTCGATTTTCATGAAACTTTCAGGACTGATAGAACATCAAACAAACCTGATATATAATTTTTTGTTTTGATGACGTCACTTCCGGTTTTGAGATTTCAGCGATTTAGTGATTTTCAGGGGGTCTCATTGTCCATCATTTTTCTCGAAAATGCCTTAAGACAGAAACATGAGATTTTCAGCGATGATAGAGCAACGTGTGCTCTTTTGTCACACACCACTCTTTTTCTCCGGAAGTGCCGCACGTCGGCGCTCGATATGGCTCGAAAAAAGTTCTATCAGGGAATTAGAAATTTTTGACACCTTTTCTGCAATATCTTTTTACATGTTAACATTTTTTAAAGACATATAGAACAAAAGTTGTAGAGAATGTTACAATCTTTCGAAAGATATCAACAATAAGGGGCTGGCCCTTATAATAAAGGACTGAAAGGGGCCGAAAGTTTTTCCTCTATATCTCAAAAAGTATTAAGAATTTGTAATACGTCAAAGAAGCAAAGTTGTTAAAAATGTCAAGCTTTATCTAATGGGTCCGTCAAAATTCGTCCGATGACGTCACTTCCGGTCAAACCGGAAGTAGTTAAAAATTGCTTAATTTTGCCGTTCTTGACAGGTTTTTGGGTAACATATGTCACTGGAAGCTTAAATCCTAATTTTCCGTCCGTTGACGTCACTTCCGGTCAAACCGGAAGTAGCCAAAAATGGCTTAATATTGCATTAATTAATATAGATTTGGAGGATTAAACCATTTTTGAACTTGATTACTTTTTTTTTTAAAAAAGAGAGTTACAGATGCACTTCCGGTCAAACAGGACGGAAGACCTACTCGTTGCTTTGCAACGAGCTCGGCTCTAGTTATTATTATTATTATTATGTCGCCCCGAACGAAGTCGGGGACGACATATTGATATTGTACGCATGTTTTTTTTATCCAGGCTGTTTCTCGGAGATGGCTGGGGCAATCTTTCTGAAACTTTCCTCAAAGGACGATCACTGGTTGTAGTTGTGCAGTGAGGTCGTTCAGTTCCAATATGTCTACCGTTGCCATGGAAACCTGTAAAAAGCGACGAATTTTGTCCGAGAGTGTTCTCTCTGGTCCCTTAAACGTTCGTCATGAAACTCTTTTTATTTTAATGATTAGTATCTGTAGTTGTGCGCCTTGCATTTAAAATTTTCAAATAATCGATTATTGCCATGGAAACCAAGGGAATGTTAAAATTCTTTAATTTCGATTTTCTCAATAACTACTCAAGCAATCGTTTTGAAACTTTCAATGTTAATTCCTTGCAATGTGTCAAAGTGATTTTTACTTTTCAAATAATTGTAATGAGTCGCTCACAGTTGTCATAGAAACGAAACAGAAAAAAGGTTAAGATGTACACATGTGTTCTCCAAGGTCTAGGTCAAAGGGTCAAAGTTCTTCGTGTCCAATAAAAGTTCTTTTCACAAGGATTACATGTTTGTAATACAAAATCCCTAGCCCTTACCGTTCAAACGTAAGGTACTATGTTCAAGACGACCCCCCCCCCCTTTTGAAGCGC